TCATGCTCATATAATACTACAACTGGAGCAGTAAAATCTGAGCTCACTGTACACGTACAGCAGTTATGCCCTCCTGAGGCAGTGTCCTGCAGCCTTTTCCCAACCCTGTTGCTGTGAGAAATCTTTGACTGGTAGCTTTATTTTTGAATATAAAAATGCAATCACAATTTTAATGTGTACACAGAGGTCTTTTCATGGTTTGTCACAGCTCCTTGTCCAGGAATCAAGAAAGTAACTTATTTGAGACTGCCTCAGGAAAGGAATTGAAACTGCAGAAGTTTTTTCAACTGATGGAAGTGAATATTTAACTTCCAGAGGAGTCTTGAAAGTCACTCGCTATTGCTGTGCCTGGTCTTTTCCTGGAAGTTCAGTAATAGATTTCCTGTATCTTGGGGGCTTGCAACCATGTTAAATGAACTTCTATTCTCTGTATTTCTAGTTTTTTTGATTTCTCAGTCTAAAACGCTTAGAGTTCTCATTGAAGTAAGATGGAACAGCAGATCACAGAAAATATCATAATAGCTTTAAAACCCTGCTATTTGTGTTGATATGTGTTCAATTAATCTTTGATTATTCACCTTTCTCTTTTCCTTCTAAAATCCAAAGCAGAAATCCAACTAAATGTGTTGGATAAGACAAAGGATGAAGACTTTGGAGGTGTGGAATTTGGTAGTTTTAGGAAAGTTAAATTATAATCTTTTGTTATTGCTTTTGTAAGCTTGAATAATCTTTGTTATACATTACTGGAACTGCATTTGTAGTGTAGGTCCTTGGACTAAAAAATGCTGTATGGACAGAAGACTAAAACAAAAGACTGAGAGTTGGGATAGCTTTCATCCTAGATTCTTCTGTTGCTTTCCATTTTTAATAGAAATTTTTAAATGAAGTAATAACTAATAATAAAGGCATTTTTAAATTTTAGTTTTGTTTGGGTTTTGGTTTTTGTTTGTTTTTAAATTAGTAAAGACAACCTTGGTCTGTGAGTACTAGATTACATCAGTGAAAAAAGAAAAAAGTTTACAGGAATCTTATGCATCTTCATTAATTGTCACGAGAGAATACAGGCACTTCTTTACACAAGAGTTTTGGGAAGCCCTCTGTCTTTCTTTAATAATTTCTCCTTTTTATTTTCATTAGTGCTCTGTACTAATGTATAGAAAGTGATGAAATTAGTACTAGTTTCATTTAATATTTTATATGTTTCTTCAAATACAACTGTTTTGGTTGCTTATTAGAATTGCAGTGTCTGCAAGGTCAGGTGTTAATGGGGGATGGGGGACTGCTGGTGGGGGACTTTTGTGCTGCACCAGATGCTGACATGAAAACTGAAGCATCTGCTTGCCTGAATATTTTTTAAATCTTTATTGAACAGATTTCAATTAAGAGTTTTCTTCCTCCCAGTCTCAAATAATATTTCCTCATTTGATCTACAGTTTAAATTAAGTTCATCGGTTTGTGATACCCTGCTCATTACTGTGACAGCAGCCTGCCAAACAGATTTGATGAATACGAGGAGTTGGAGAGAATAAGAAGCTGCTTTGTGAGCAAGGAAATGTTCTTGTTCAGCCCCATCTAATTAATAATATCCCACTTGTGCTCAAAACTGTTATCACTGTGATAATTTGGAGGCAGTGGCTCCCTGCTGCCTGTTGCTTCTTACTCTGCAGTAGGTGTGGTTGGGTGTGAAGCCTCAGCCATGTGTCCCTACTCAGTGCAGTGTTTGAGGTGGAGTGCTGTATCCAGCAGCTGTGTCTTCCATCTGCTGTGTCTGGACACTGCCAGTAGACAGTGGGAGCCAATTTAAGAGGAAATAAAATAACAGTATTTTGAAAGTTCTCTTTTTATCAGGCTGCCAGTTGTGCTTTTAAGAAGACTAGATTGTGTCTGATGGATTATAGCATATCCTTGTTGGCTTGTTAGGGACTGTTAAACTGAATGTGAGGTTCTACACTTGCCTCAGGCAAGTACAAGTCCATACTGCTGCCTGTACCTTTGCTGGGCTGCTTTTTTTTAGTTCTAACCTGCCAAATTGTGCTGCTCATGTACCACACAACCAGGAGGATGAAGATCTCCTTTAAAAACCCTGTTAAGGTGTTCAGGTTGTTTGAGCTCTGTTCCCAACCCACAGCAGCCTGATCTTTCTGTGCTGTCGTCTCCCAGAAGTGTTTCAGCCATTTATGTGCCTGCCTTTTTTCTTAAAGTATCCTTTCATCCTGGAGAGCAAATATGGCTTAAGCAGTGGTGGGACAGACACATGCTAGGAAAAGAAGAGACAATCTGCTTGAGGAACCATAGATTGCCTGTCTGTCAAAGGGTAGGGTGTAGTTCAGCATGTACTTTGCAAACACACAGAAAAGTTTTTAATTTAAGTGTCCTGCTGTCTTGTCTAAAATATGAATTCCCATATTTTCAGTGGCTTCGGTGGTGTTGTGGGAATCACACTGACAGATATATCAAAATTCCTAGGTACCATAATAAATATATGTTAATTCAGAAATTATGAACAAATTGAGACCAAATGGAATTACATTTTCTCAACAAATCTTAAGAAGCAATGGGCTGATTCTAGATAACCATGTATGAAACTATAAGATTATCTTTCAGAGAAGTTAGTGCTCTCTTGTGTGCTCTATTCAGGGTTTTTTGCGTTGCTCGTTGTGCTAGTTTGAATTGTGATAAGCAGTCTAATTCTTGGAAAAAGAAACACTAAAAACATCCCAACCAAACAAAAAGCTTACTCAAAGGTCATTATTAGTCTCTATAAATAGAAGTTTTTGGATGTTGCCAGTCCAGTCAGCAAAGCTTATAAACAAACAGCTTAAAAAAAAAAAAAAAAGAACAGCCGAAGTAATACTACTGTGGACTCAACTGAAAATGTCCATACATCTTAATGGTCAATGGCTATGAGCAGGTACTCAGTAAAAAATGTTGAATTTGCTGCTGAGAGCATCTCCACATCTACTTTATATTTTGCTTCATTCCATAGAACATGGTGTCAGTAGCTTAGGTAACTTCCTGTTTTGTCTGTATCTCACCTTTTTGTCAGACAAAATGCTCTGAAAGTCTGTGTGTTTTGGGTCTTAAAACAAATGCACTTAGACTACTTTAAGGGACTGTGAGATTGGCTTTGTTCAGTGCATTCAAAAGGTTGTAGAAACACAGTTTTCAACTTCAGCTTATAATTGCAGTCAGTTCCTGATCAAGTATATTTGTTATGGAAATATACTTTCTTCTCAGACATTAAAGCACTATTGAATACTTTAGCCAGAACATAAATAAATTCAATATCAGTGTTCAATTTTTGACCAAAAAGAATGTATTTCTAAAGTAAAGAAGAAATATAGGTGATAATGTAGTTAATTGTCCTTTTGATTGTAGGTGAGGCTCTAGAGTATCATGAATTGGTATTTGAACTGAAACATCTCATTGCAGCTTTAATTGTTGCATGTGCATTACTTGTGACTGCCAGTGAGTCAGTTGTAGAACAGGTCCCACTCCATGGGATTGCAGTGTGCTCATCTTCCTGAAGAAACAGGAGACTGAGAGGAGACCACATAGCAGTCTACAACTTCCTTGTAATGGGAAGTTGTAATGGGAAGAGAAGGGAGGAGAGGCAGGCAATGATCTCATCTCTGTGGTAACCAGTGACAGGATCTGAGGGAATAGCCTGGAGTTGTGTCATGGGTGCTTTTCTTTGGGTATTATAAAAGAGTTCTTCACCCAGAGGGTGGCTGGGCACTGGAACTATCCAGGGAAGTGGTCACAGCACCAAGCCTGACAGAGCACAAGAAGTGTTTGGATAATAGTCTTGGACACATGGTGTGACTTTTGGGAATGGTCCCGTGCTGGGCCAGGAAGTGGACTAGATGAGCCTGATGAATCCCTTCTAGTTGAGCTTATTATGTGATTCTGTGTTTATTGTGCACTGAGCTCAGTGCTAGGCAGCTGTTACCCTGGCAAGTTTTGTGCTGAGGCTTGCTCATATAATGGGACTGCAGTAGAAGCACTTTGCTGTTTGTTTGCACATCTCCTGCCCAGGCACTCGTCTTGCAAATTGTCCTCACTTCCAAAAATCTGCAGTTTTACCTTCTAGCCTTATGGAGACAGAAACCAGGCAGTTAAACATGAAGATTCTAACCATTGGAAAGATTTGTTACCAGTTGCCCTAGCTGCTATAAGCCATGCTCATTGATTAGTCCTGTGCTAAATGCTGTACAAACAGGGGGAATAATAATGTCTTGTTTCAAAGTAATTTTAATATTAGAGAACAAATAAGAATGTAGCTGAGAGCCACAGATGGGGTAACAGTGATGTGTGTGGGGGGGATTTGGGGTTTCTTTGGGGATTCTCTGTTGCTGTACAGTCACAGTGTGTTTAAAGCAGGGTGATACATAGTTTTATAAATTGTTTCTGTAAATATGAGGGAGAATAACACAAAAGTACTGGCTATAGAGGCTGGATTTAAACCTAATAATCATAATTTCTTTTATAAATTAAAGGTGAGAAGTCAAGTTGGAATTGGCCATGACCTCCATGAATGTGCAGGAAAAGCAGTTTGGTTAGTAGGGAAAAGAGGAACTATCTAGTTCATGAATACAGTTTTTTGTAGTCTTCTGAGTGGTGAGCGAAGTTAAATTCCAGGCATCGGAACTAGACAGGAGGTATTTTAAGAAGTATAAGTGATGCAGCTGGAGCTAAAACTTAATCAGAGTAGCCAGCAGAAAAGGCTGTATGTTAAATAACTAGAAAAAGCTGTGATATCTAGAAGTACAAATTGACACAGATCCCAGTCAGCTGATAAAAAGGCTTTCTATCTACTGCATTTCCCCCTTTAGTGTTAAAAACTTCAGTAAATCCAAAAATAGTGTATTAAAGCTGATTTCTCATGAGTCTCTGTACAGAAGCAGTAGTAAAGTTAGGAGTTCAAACTATTGCACTTATGTTATTTGGTTATTGAATCAGTATCCACCTTAACTCATGCTCTTTTTTTTTTCTTTCAGATTTTGTATTTTGTACATACATTGTTTTGTATATACTGTATATGATGACTTCGGTGGGCAGTGAACATACCCGGGGCACTCGGGACAAAATGCAAATTTCAGCCACACAGCCAATACAACCACAGAAACAAGTAGTGCAGGTATGTGCTACTGTATGAACTTGTTTGACTTGAAAGTGAGAATAAAATGATACAAATTTATTCTCTGAGTCAGTAGAAGTTGAAAGAAGATGGGGTGAAAATACATGGTTTATTTTGGAAGATTATGCTTGATTGCTTGCTTTAATTATTCAGTACTGCAGGACAGTGTTAAGTTATTCCTGTGTTCTCTCTAAATCAGTTTTGTGTTCTTCAGCAATGTCTCCTGTCAGTGAGGAATTAGATGCCTGTGTCAGGATTTCTGTCCTGTGACCTCACAGTCCTCAGATTTCATCTCTTCTATCTGCCAACCTCCTGATGCTAGAAGATTTCTGGTCAAGAGAGAAATTTGAATGGATGGGAGAAGCTTCATTAGATGCGTGTTGTGTTCTACAGCATGACTCAGTGTCTCTTCATGTTGCAAAATCCTTAACTTCTTGTGCAGTGGCCCCACCAAGTGAAATGGTCATCCCCTAGCAGACTAAAATTTTCAGTATCTGTTGGATAGAAATAAGTTTCACCCTACTGCCACTGATTCTTGGCAGTAGTAGTTGCGTGCTTGTCTGGGTTACAAAGAATGCAGAATGTTTCTGCTTCTGGCAACTCAGTATTCTCGTGACAGATACATCTCAGAATTTGTCTGGATTCAAAAACTATCTCAGTTCTTTGCTGGCAGAGTGTGTATCTGTATAGAGGTGCTCTACAGAGAAATACTCCCTTCTATTGTTGTTTAGATCAGTCTTCAGTATGGAGACCCTGTTGGTCTGTTTTGCACAGTATTAATCATGTGACCTCAATCCCCTTGCCATCTTCTTGAGTTGCAGCATTTGGCATAGTGGTGTGATTCATGCTAATGCTTGGATTTGGAAAGTGACTTTCAACAAATGAGTTGAATTTAGTTTTATTTTAAAACAACACTGCAGGAATATAGTGTGCAGCCTGGCCAAAGTGATGGCTTCCTCTTTTCCAACATCTTGCAAGACAGCACTGGAGTGGTTTGCCTGGGTTCTCTGGCACAAAGCAGATACAGGCAAATGGGAGGAAGTCCAGTGAAAAGCTGAAAAATTGGTTGTTAGACTGAAACAGAGGAGAAATGAGGGGTGGCTCAGGGATCTGGGTTTATTCAGCCCTAGTAAAACAAAGCAAGTGTGTTCTGTTCAGGTACCTCATGAAAGGGTATAGGAAAGGTAGAAACCAACTCTCCTCAGAGAACAAGTGGCATAGGCTGGAGCACTGGTAATTCCTGCTTTTAAAAGGAAAACCAAAAATTACAAATTATTGTGAGTATGGTCATGGTGTGTCTCTGAGGACCTTTCCAAACTATGGGACTCATTGATTTTAGGCATTAAGACTTTTTTCTGCATCTTGTCCATTTATCCTGCATTATGCATAATACATACTGGTTTGATCACTTCAGTGGAAAAGGTGGTTATTTCATACATAGCAGTTATGTTTTAATGCTCCATATATTTTATTGTTGAGCTATCAGATGGGCCTTTCTGCTTACTCATCAGCAGAAGTCTCTGGATTTACCTGTTTAATCACCAATTATTCATCTTTCTGAATATAGAATAATGTTTTCCCAAATGGATATTCCACTGTCATAATATCACATTGGTCATCATTTAAATTATTTAACAAATTACATTGTGTTTCTATTTTATTTCTTCTGGATAATAAATATGCCATTTTATTGTAAGATGTATGTCTATTACTGTCACTTAATCTTGTATTTTGTACACTTCTGTTTTCTGATAGTTTGAAGTTTTTAGTTTAAAATTTCTTCCACTCTTATACTGAAAAAGTACTATGTCTTGTAAGGTTGAGTAAAGTTCAGGCTGTTTTAAAATACTACTGCTTTCTTAGTCACAATTAAGACTTAATTATGTTCTTGGTTAGGATACTACAGCATCTGTTCTAACAATGGTACCTTAAAAATAAAGAACCACTACTTGCTGGAAGAAAAGCCAGAATTTTTTGTGACACTGGTCTGATGTTTTTGTAGTCATCTTGTGAATTTTGTTGGCTTGTTTTCTTCCGAGTCTTCAGTTCCATCTGGGTGTAATCCACTGGCATAAATATGAGTGGTATTGCACCTACAAGTTTCTAAGCTCTCTGCTTACACTGGAAAACTGAAGATGCTGTCACACATTTGTTATTCTTTTAAAATTGGTATGTTTTTGTCTCCTAACGTGGACTTGAAGAAAACATTTGTTTATGGAAAAAATAAAACCTAGTGGATTCCTGGTTTTTGATAAAATATGCCATCATATCTCTACCGAAGTTATATTGTGTGAATGTTTTTGCTCTGGTGTCTCCAAGAAAATGTCTTCATTTGCTTAAAAGTCACAGTGTGCCTGTGGAGGCTGTAATCAGAGTGAGAAAATGGATCAACAAGACTTAAATTCCTGAAGCCAGCAGACATTTTGGTTCTGCTGTCTGCTGAACTCTCAGCAATCACCAAGAGCAACCTCCTTTGCTCAGAGCACCACCCTGACAGGGCGACTTCTGTGAAAGGTGGAACTGAGGAGTTCCAGAGCAGGCCCTCCCCCTGTTACCCAATGGAGTGACATACGAGGCTGTCAGCATGACAGGCTGAAAAAGAGAAGTAATTCAGAGTGTGTAACTGTTACAATCGCTAATTCTCTTGGAGCATTGTCTCTGAGCACAGATGTCACTTCCCTCAAGGAACTGTGACAGCTGCAGTAACTTTTCAGCAAATGAGCAGCTGGGGGTGTTTGTTGGAGTAATTTTTAGACTCTCCTCAGCATTTATGATTGGTGGCCTCCTCTAAAGCTTGCATTTGTGGTAAACTCCAAAGGCCAAACGGTCTGACCCTGATTAGATCAGACCTTGTGAGGCACAGAATTTTATGTGTGTATCCTGTGAAGTGGGATGGCAAAAGGTGAGATTCAGTCAGCTGCCCAGAGTGAATAATTTCTGTCAGCCTCAACAGCTGCATAGTGGGTCCTAGCTCTCTTCAGTATCAGCTTTTTCTATATGCAGCAGTAGCCTCTTCTTTTTTAGCAGAAGTCAAGTGAGGTCCAGGATCTTGTTGTGCACACTGTTCTTTGGTATTTTCTTGGGAGTGCAGTTCATAGGCTGCAGATGGCACACTATGAAGTGACGTGTGTGATGTGACATCTGTGTGAGAGTTGGTTTTCTCTCAGGGGCAGCCATAGTGTGTTTGGATTTTTTGTACTTCACTGCATCTCTTTCAGTCTCTCGCTTTTGCAAGTTGCCAGTGTGCATTTTTGTCCAGAAACATTGCAGAAGCACCAGATACTTCATCAATAGCAAGTTGCTTTACCAGTTTTCAGAGACCAGTATTTGCTTGTAAAAAAACAGTGCAGCTGTTCATGGGCGAAGTATTGAGACATAACTCAAGACTTTTTAAGTGCTCAATAAAACTACGAAGTCAGCTTGTTGGTGGGAGAGCTGTGGAAGGAGGTGGGAGCAGGGGTCATCAGAGATGTGGTTAATTTAGAGATCTATTGTCAGTTTGTTACAATAAAACTCTTAACACTAGATTAATAGTTCTAAATAAAAGCCAAAGCATTAATGCTAAAATGTAGTCTTCCCTGGTCCTTCGATGTTATTATGTGGTGGTCTTGTCAGTGCAGTGACCTTTAACTGTGTTTCAAATAGATTAGAATGTATTGAATTGCTTCTAATGCAAATAACATTTGCAACTATAAATGGGAATAGTCTAGATATTGATCCCTCCCCCACAGCATCTCTGTGCTTGTTGTGTATGTTCTTTTTGGGAATCCGTAGGAATGAAGCAGGGATACTGCGATACCCTCCTAAAAAATATTGTTACCTTTTGTGTACTTTATTGGATATTGTCTTTTTTCAGGCAACAGCAGAACAGATTCGCCTTGCTCAGATGATCTACGATAAGAATGATGCAGATTTTGAAGATAAAGTGAAACAAGTATGTTTCTTATGGTACAAGTTTTTTTGTCCCACAGTAAAGTGTTCTAGAGCTATCTTACATTTTGGAGTTAGAGCATCTGTTTCTGGGTTAGATGAAAATTTTTCAGAAGGATGTAAGTTTAACTAGGAAAAGGTGCTCTTATTGCACTGTAAAATTTTTACAAGAAATTTTGTGGTAATACAGCTCTGACGATGTAGTTTTCAGTGGATTTTCCTTTGTAGACAAACCCTTAAGCCAAAACTCGTTTGTGCTGGTGTCTGTTCCTCAGTGCATCTCTGTAGTATGGTCCTGATGGTTAATGATTGTCAGAATAAAGAAAGCGTTCAGTTTGTCCACAAGTACATGCACATGAGAAAAATGTCGTCGGTGTAAGCTGAGCTTGTTAATATCTTCAAAGTTTTTCAGGAAAAGTAAAAGTCTAATGATAGCTTAAAGGTAAATCAGGGTGCTATTTTAAAAAATAATCTTACCTCACAGATCCATGTATGCATTAAAATTAAAGATTTAAAGTGTATAAATGAAATCTCTCACTTCCTCTACCATGGTGAATGTTGGGTGTTAGATAATCAAGCTTTCATTACCTTGTTGTAGCTGTGACCATTAATTAAAGCAGTCCTGCCAATATGGGTGTCTGTTCTGTTGTGGCTATTGGTGATTTTGTCCTAGTGACTACATCACAGCTCATGAAGTCTACATACTCATGAAGACTACACAGCTCATGAAGCTCTAGGACTACACCCAGGAGGGAAAAATTATCTTGAATGCATAAATGCAGCAAAGGAGCAGATTTATTGGTTTCTTTTCATCTCTGAAACTTCCTCTGAAGCACTGTTAAATGCTTTTTGTTGTTCTTGTTACAAACTAGTTCGGTTGATGTGCCAAAACTAAAGTCTTGTATTTTTTGAAGCCAAAGGACCCTCATCAATAGTGCTTGTAGCTGTGCTGGTGGGAAGGAGATGAATTAAGTTCTGCATAAAATATGTTTTACCTTCTGCATATGTATTTCTAGCTCATGTAGGTTTTGTTCTTTAGATGAATTTGCTAAATGCCCTGTGACAGATTATTTCTGTCCCACACTCTTCAGGATATACACCATGAGTTCAAGGAGCATAATTCAGAACTAGATCTCCTTAATCAGCTTTGTGACTGTGGTGTGGCCTTATGCTGACATGGATCAAGGGAGCTAGTCTGTCTGAAAGATAATGTATTTCTTAGTCTGGATGGTTTTTCAGGGGGATCTGTTCTCTGCCATGTCTTCTTGTATGTTTTTTCTCACAGTGGGATAAAGAGGGGCAATTTTGGTGGAGAAAGAGATAGGATGATACTGTAACAATTGTGGTCCTTTACACTCATGTACTGCTGCATGTGGCAGCATTTGCTGCAAGCATACAGAACAAAAAAAGTGTGAAAGAGTATTTCCTTGATTACCAGTTAATTTGTGCTTCTTCCTCTCTCATCTGAATCCCAAGCAGATCTGTGAAATGCAGATTACTTCATTCTGGATATTAGTTTACTCTGACATGGTAGCTATGTGCTCTGTTGTAATTTGTGGTCATGTTAGCTCTTACTTTCTTATGATGCTAATTTAGATATTTTAACATGTCTGACTTTTACTGCCAGCTTATGGAAGTGACTGGGAAAAACCAGGATGAATGCATAGTGGCACTACATGATTGTAATGGGGATGTGAACAGAGCAATCAACATACTGCTGGAAGGAAGCTCAGACACGGTAAGATTTTACTTCCATGTTTAACTACTTTTTCTGTTTGCTGTGATTTTCAGTTTCTAGAAGGACATTGGGGAAGTCATGTCTCAAAGGTTTTCAATTTCCATGTCTCCATTTGATTTCTTTTGAAGGAAATGAAAGCTAGGGCAGCTTCTCTACTGCATGCATACCTTGGAGAAGGCTGAATCTGGAAAATGTTGTGGGTGTTCAGTTGATCTATTGCAGCGTTCCTGTGCTTTCATTTATATACAGCAGTTGTAACTGCAGCAGAAGTCAGTGCTCCCTCAGATACAAGCCTGTTTCTTGCTGCAGGTTTTGTAGTTACTGTGTAGACAGACCCTCCTGAGGCCTGAGACCATCACAAAGGTCAATCTCTGTAAACTGAAGGGCAGGCAGGTATTTTAAGTTATGCATGTTCTGTAGGTGTGGGTTGCTGGTATTGAAGTTGTAGGAGGTGTCCACATCTGCAGGTTGCACTGATAATACTACTTATGGCAGGAAAGGATGCAACAAGTAGTTGCTTCTTTAACTGTGATGCTCATTTGCATTATTTAATTGAAAAACAGGAAAAGGAGACTAAACTATGTGTATACAACAACAAAAAATGTCACTTAAAAAGTTGAACAGTGAAAATTTTTAATCGAAGGGATACAGAGAAAATGTGTTTTACTGCAGTTGAAGTTTTTGCTGGAAGGATTTCTTACAGTTTGTCTTAATAAATTAGATTCTATTTCATCTAAGTTGGAAAAGTAACCTGGACTTCCTTTCTTAATGCTGAACACTCAGTATTTCCTGTCATTTGTCAGGATGTGTACTCTGGCTTATTGTTAATGAGGAAACTCACCCCTCACACACCCTCAGTCTGGGACACACACTGTTACGACTGAGAGGACTTTCTTTTCTATCCGCTTTTCATTTTTTATCAGAACTGAGGTCTTCTAAAGTAGAGGAGAGCATTTCACTTAAATCTGTCTAAATGTGCTGTGTTCTCTTATATTTTTCTTATTTGCCATTTTTTAGTTTAAAGTAGTTTTCTGGTTGATAGAGAATATTAAATCCTTTAATACTTTAGTAATTTGTTGTAGCTGATCATGACATGGAAAAAGGTTTCTGAACTCATTCATTACCTACAAGCAGTATTGATATGTTCTGCACTTTTGATAGGTCCTTTTTAACCCATTGCTCTCTGTAGACAAAATGCAACATAGAAACAAATAGAAAGAACTTGAAGGAGTCAAGGAGGAGGGAGTATTAATTGATGGGTGTGAAAAAAATGTATTTTTGAAAGTTTGTGGGTCTCCAGTTGGAAGGATTTGTGGACATTATACTTCTGAACAATGGAAGGCCATTATACTTCTGAACAATTTAACCATGGATTTGACGTGAATTGTAAGCTGAGGTACTGCAAATTCTAAATGCAGATTTCCAACTCTTTCTAGTCTCACTCTACTTTGATGAACTTGCAGTTTTTTTAAACTTCGTTTGAAATATGTGTCCATTCAGCTGAAGGAATTTGAAGGGCAAGGAGGGATAGTTAAGATGTGTCTTTATAGTTTATTTGGTACTCAGCCAATTTTGTCTTAATCTTTTTTTGTTTGCTTTTGGGGTTTAAAGCTGATCCACAAGCTGTAAGTGTGTGACTTTGTCTCTGTAAAGACTTTATTTTTGCAGCAGTTGTAGCAGTCTGGCTTAGGGTAGTCAGAGGCTTGTGTATGAGTAGAGAAGGGCATGTTTTTTTGCCTAAGACTTGTATTCATTTAACTTTTTACATCCATTTTATGCTCAGTTGTGTTTTATTAACTAAACCTTTGAAGATAGAACAAAATAGACCTTTCAGATTTTTTTTATTTCCATGTAAGGACAGACCATTCTGTTGCAGGTTTTCAAAGGTCAGACCCACTACTATCATTTGGGTTGGCTCAGGCATTGTCAGCTGAAATTGTAATCAGTTACTTCCCTTATGAAGAGAGACAGCTCAATGGTTTGTGATAGTGCTCAGAAGTAGCACCATCCTCTGTCTTAAAGGACCTGCCTGACTTTCTCAAGGCTTTCTTCAAAATTGTACTGTGGGAAAGCATAGATCTGATACTTTCTAGTCATCTTTTTACTGATCCTTCCAAAGTAATTTTAAATCTCACTCAGGAGAGGCTGCTTCCTCTTCAGTTTGCAACCTTATCCAGTTTTGGGTGTTTCCTGAAATGCTATAAGATGTTTTGGCACCAAGCCCATCAGTGGATTAGTGCATTGTGAACTCTACAGACTTGGCCTCACAGATAAAGTGATGGTGTTCAAATGTGTTTAGTTTCATACCTCTGATCAGCTCTGGCTGGGCTTCATCGAAGTTGATTTAGTCTACTGGTGGTAGAACTGAAAATTGATTTCACCCTTCTTTCTCACCAATGCCATGCTGAAAAATAAGAGAGTAACCATTCTCTTTGCTCTTATTCTCTCAAAGGAAACTCTGTAACACTCAGTTTGTAAACCTGCTTTCTTCATTGCACTGGTTTCCTAGGCAGCTTGAGCTAGCTGGCCATGGCCCAGCTCCTGAGGGCTACTGAGTTGTTATTGGTGGAATTGAGAGATAAGACAGGACTTAAAATTACTGATAAACAACCTTTTTTGTTTGATGTAGGTGCCTGTCAGATGTCATACTAAAGTGCTTTACAACAATTTGTATGTGCAAATGTTCTGATATTAAATATCTTACTAGAGCTGTAAGCTCCTAGAAATGGGGACATACATGTAAACCTCTCTACCATCTTCATGATTTGCAAATAATACCTTTTTTTCTTCTTACTTGCTTTGCAGCTATTGCCTAATAAACTAGTCATGCAATTGCATAATATATAAGTTGCTTAGGTATTCTTGGCAAGTGTTTTAGTCATTTTATTTGCAACTCCTACAGATACTCCTGTGGAGCTAATAACATCCTTGAATTTATTTTAAAGACTGAGTTTAATATTAAAACAGAAGCCTGATATCTGGACCTTGATCCTGTGTCCTGTTTAGACATAGCTTTTCCTGTGTTTTGCTATGTTTGATGGTCTATTAGGAGTGGATGGTCTGGCTTATGATCACTTCTCCCAAGATGTTGTTTTGCAATTCTGTCTTCTGGGACTTAAATTCTAGTGTGCCTGTTAGTTGCTTTGCAGATGTTCTGTGTTACAATAGTATCCAGTCTTCCTTGAACTAGTTAAAAGTCCATTATAGCCAGAAATATTTGGGGTTCTCATATTCCGTAAGGCAATCAAACTTAAGAAATGTTTCTTTCTCGTCTCTTTGCAAAAATACAGCATGTACTTCCATTTATTTGAGTGTAGTTTGCATATGTGACATTATGCAAATACCTGTGTTTTTTTCCATGAACTGGAGGGGTGTGGGGTAGAAAGCGTGCATTGAGAGGTGTCTCCTCCTTTTTGACTTTGTGTCTAAATTCTATTCTATCCCAATAGACTTCTTGGGAGACTGTAGGGGGTAAGAAGAAAACCCTTGGAAAGGAAGGTTCAGAAAACAAAGAGAACAGAGAGAAACGAGGGGACAGAGAAGTGAGTCGTGGACGGGGAAGTTCCAACAGACGCGGAAGAGGAGGCAGCCGTGGACGAGAGTGTACGTATAGGGATTAATCTTTAAAGATTGAGACACTTTTCTTGCAGCTGGAACTGACTGAGCTAAGAGTGAATGCTTAATGGAGCGAAGTCCATTCATCTGTAGTTCAGCGTTGAAGGGATTGTAACTTGTTTGTGCCACAGGTATGCTTGATCTGTCTATGTGACTTGGTTTTGGGATGGTATGTATTTGTTCAGAGACACTCAGTTTAATATAATTCTCTGTTCTTGTTTGATTAATTGATCTTGTACAAATTGCTGTTCTTCATGTAAGTTTTAGAATTGACTCTTTGTAAGTCTGCTTGAGAACAAGTATGTCACTGCACAGCTGATACACTTTTTTGTTTCTTTTAATGAAAAAATTATCCAGCTTTGACTCCATCTCCTTTTATGAGTGGGAGAACCTGAAGATGTTCTCATCTTCTCATAAGGGGAATGAAAACACTGGGATGATTATTAATCTCTAAATATATTTCTCACATAAATCAACCAAAGGTGAGTTTCTGTAACAGAGAAAATTCGTTGTTAGTTGAAACATTTAAAGCTTTGCTACAATTTCAATAATACATTGTACAAAAGCAAATGGATGTTTCCAAGTTAAATAGAGTCACAATAGATCATGATCGGATACATGTTGCTTTTTGTAGCTAAATTTTGGCAGCATTCTCAAAGCTGTGCACATTGTCTGTATTGGCTGTTTGCCACACTGATAGATGAGAAATGAAATCAGAATGGATACAATATGTTTAGCTTTGCACTTATAAGCAGGAAAAATATTTACAATATTAGGCAACTCATCTTATTCATAATTGGAAGATAGCCAGCTATTTTTCCAATATAGATGTTGTGAATTTTTGTAGGATAAAGTCAAGATGAAAAAATGTTAATACAACATGGAGCTGGACTTGAAAAGTATAAATTAGATCAATCAAAATGAAAGCAAAGGGCAATTTTTTTTTACCAGAGACAGATGCTGCCTTTCTCTTTTTGTAAACTGGAATTAAAGACATTTCAGATGGTTACCAGATCTTGGTATTTTCTTCCCAACTTTATGTCCAAGCATTTTTGGTTTTATTTTTGCCATTAGGAGAAATGCAGTACAAAATGTCATCAGTGAATGTTTTGAGAGGCCAGTTTTGTTGGATTTTTCTTTCTCCTTTAAGCAGCCAGCCATATTTCAAAGCACCTTGTCAGGAGTTTCCCACAAAACACTTAGGTTGCAGACCTTTTTAAGTGCCTTACCTTCACCCAGTCATCATCCCTCTGCTTTAAATACAGAGGAGAAATCTGTTTCCAAGCTTCCACAGGGATGCAGTATGGGCAGAAAGGAGAAGAGTTGGTGTTACTTTATTCGATGTTACTTTAAGAGTTGGTTATCTTTTATTTTTTCACTGTCATCAACCAGTGCATTATCTAGGAAACAGAGAATGAGGCAGCTGTATTTCCTATCTCATTAAATAATGTAGGCTGCAAAACAGGGCACTTGTAGAGGTTTGTCTCCTGGGGGACTTTTCCTTCTTATATTTTGCTTCCTAATTGACCAGTACAAAGGAAACATAACTTGCTTCTAGTGAAGCCTTAAAGAAGGGGAATGAATCAGATCTGCTGACCACCCCACTTGAAAATTTTGCCTTTTGTTTTGAGGGGTTCAGGTTAAGCAAATGACTGTACTGTCTCAAGTACCAGTTTCTAAAGCTTCTCTTAAGCTGTCCTCTCTCCACAGTTAGAGCTGAAGAGAATGGAGTGGACAACAGTCAAGGAGACAGGCCTTCAGACCGTGGGAAACGTGGCCGTGGGAGAGGTGAGATGGTGACATTGTTGTGGGACTGGCACTGTTTTCATGTCCTGAAATGGAACTCTTCCATTTGTTTCTTTAAATGCTTTTTCTTAATATTTTTTGTTTATCCTTTGATTCCATACACACTTCAGCCACCTTGTATTTGGGTACATCCCACTTCCTTACCCTTTATCGTTTCTTGATCTTGGAACAACTTTAAAAAAATTGACAGAAATCACTTCTGTGGTAATTTCCTGTGTGGCAGGCTGCTGTGCACTGGCTATGGAGAGCTGTTTTCCCATACTGACTCATGCCAGCCTCCTGTGGGTGGGAGTGTGGGGGGTTCTGCAGGATGTACTTCAGCAGCAGGAGAGCACAAGATTCCATCTGTATGGCTCTTTGGGAAGGATTTGATGTACACTTGTAACATTTCTTTGGGGTGGCTCTAGTTGTCAGGCTTGCCACTTTGTCTGCTTTTGGTAGCCAATCAGAGAAAGAATAAGCCACCTTAGAGACATTTTGCTATGAAAAGGAATTTGACATGGAAGAGGTGATGAGAACTGTGGAGAAGGAATACTGTGTAGTTTTAGGTACAGCTCCAGTCCTATCATGTAGAAGAGGTGGGATAATGGATTGGATGTGTAATCAGGTGATGTGTATTTGAATTGGATTTTCACTGGTTAGGGTGGAAAGAGGCTTGTTTTTCCTTAAAGTCGGAGGAATGAAAATAAGTAACACATATATGGTACAGATTATAGGTGGATGAGTGAATGAAAGAAGTTAAACTGATATAATTATAGCAGAACTAATGTACTTAGTACATACTGTCTGACTCAAGAAAAATTCTGCCTTCAAAGGACTCCTTTCTCTTGGGAGTGTTGGGTAACAAGGCATTCAGAGACAGGTGCATCCAACTTCATTGTCTTCAGATCTGCATCTTGAAGGTGTGCAGAGATGCAAAGAAGTAATTTCCAAAGGTTTGTGTGTGAAAGTGCCTGTGAATCATCAAAAACCCAATGGTGTGTGCAGAGAAGTAGCTCTACAGGGCAAGGTGTGGTATAGTCCACAGCTGCAATTTTTGGTATGTTAACAGTTTACACTTCCAGTAGCTAGAATGCAAGTCTTGCAGTTACTTATTTTATAAAATAATAATTTATTTTCAAATTAGAAGTGTAAAAGCAGGACTTTTTAAAAATGGTTCAGTAAAACTTAGAGATTAATTTCAAATTGCAGCGTTTTTTTGCTTTAACCTTACAAACCATACACTGGTTTTGTTGCAAAGCTGTAGCTTTCTAGATGAATATCGTGTATCTCAGACTTCATAATCAGATCAAACTGACCTGTCTAACTGAAGAAATAGAAACTTCAGGGAGTTTTTGTTCATTTGCTTCATGTACATAGTTTTATTATATGTCTCTACCAAATATTTTAGACTGTACTGTAAGCAAAGTATATTAATGAAGTGTCTGTGATACTACAAGAGCATCATATTACAAGTGTGTGTATTCCATGGCAGGAAATACCTGATTAATTTTACAGTGCAAACCCTTGAAATCTTCAGGGAGTTTTGGAAATCTGTGTAATTCAGTTCTTATCTTTTAAGGGATATGCAGCCTTTTTCTTTGGATATTAATAGAAATAATAATAAAGCTTCCTGCCAATTCATTCTGTAGTCTTTCTTTTCTGTTACACAGAACAGTCAAATGAGAGATAACATACTTCAGCTGAAAGTAAACAGATTGCTAATAATCACCACAGAACCCATTTTTAGAAATGTTTCTTGCAGTGTGTGTGTAGAAATCTAGGCACTGGATATGAAGTAAGGGCTCAGCTAATTAACTGAGCAACACACTATTTTAAGCTACCTTCTCAGGCAGGCATTACCTTACTGGCTGCCTTCTAGGAGATTTGATGGACCATCATATATATTAGTGCTTCATGGTACAAAAATGTAATTTAAAGGAATGATAAGCAACTGAAAATAGCTAAAACGGGATTGACAGAGAGGTGATAGTGTGCTGTTTACTGAGAGGGAAAAACCCTTATACTGAATATTTGATATTTGGTGTGTAAGGCACTAGCTTTATCTGGCAGTAAATCTTCCATTAATGACCATGTCATGTTCATTGTAACTTCATAGGGTAGTAGGTACACAAAGTGCAAACACACTGTGTGCTGGTATGCAGGGCGTCAGGGATTTGAAGCATATACAAATCATTGCCTGATTAACAGAATGCAAAAATATATCACAACGTGTGTAATAGGACACATCTCAGCTGTAACTAATCTAAACTAAATCCTTGCTTGTTATACTAAGGGTGTAAACTTGTATTGATGTCAGGGAATAACTTGTTTTAAGATGCCTTCTTATCTGTGCTTCTTTTCAGAGCCAAATTTCTTGCATGAGCTTAATTTAAATGTAAGAAATGCTGTAATGGTGATGAGCAGTAATGGCATCAAAGTGATTATATTTGTCAGTATAGCAAGGATTTGCAACTGTCTAGAATGGAATCTCCTGAAGAAATTGAGGCAGATGGTTATGTCTTTAGGATTATCAGCTATAAAAACATTTTCTTATTTGTGTTTTAATTAGCTGCAGTGTTGTATACAAGTTGGCAAACTTTACAAGCACAGGTTGTTTTTAAGCTGCTGTTTTCTAGGGTTCTTGCATTTTCAATTTTAAGTACAGGTCTGATTCTCCCAGTTCCACTACTTCATATTGAAAAGGATGCAGAGAAAAAGAAAGGGTGTAGAGCTAGAAATGGCTTTTGAAGGTACTGGGAAATCTGCAGTTACGGGGTGTGGGGAATAAGTAGTCTAGGATTTTTCTGCCTGTGAGAGAGGACTGAGTGGGTGTATGGTAGAGCTCTGTTAAACTTCTGTGGGGGCATCAATTGATCATGCCAAGCAAGTATGCAAAAGAGAGTATATTAAATGAGATCAGCAGGTTACAGCTTCAAGATGAACATAAGAGTTGGTTCTTCATACATGTAGTGAACCTGAGGAACTCCTTTCAGTAAGATGATGTGGTGTAGGAAATGTATACATAAAAAGACTTGGCAATTTCATCCTGAAAAAGAACCACAGGCAAGAAAAAGAAAAACCACCGAAGAATTTTGTACGCAAATTATCTTTGACTAAGGAAGTCAAAGCAACAAATAGTTGAAGACCAGGAAAGCATCCAAAGAAACTGCTCTGTGGTTTCAGTTCATGTGATCTTCCCTAGATATCTAATTGACCATGGCTTATAAAGGAATAACAGGTAAGTAGGCTTTTGGGCTTTTTTTCCTGATTCAGCATAGAAGTTGTTATAGACTCATATATAGTAATTCTCCTGGTTTGCAAAGGCAAGATAGATTTGTTGCTTGCACTTCTGTTTATCTCTTTACTTCGTTATTCCAGAACAACATGAGCATGCTATAAATGTGGGTTCTGCCAGGTTTTGTTTTTTTTTCCCCTACAAAACAGATATAAAAATAAAAGTAAAAAATGTTATGTTTTAATTCCAGCTCTTGTTTTGTCTGCCGGCTGTATAGGAAAATAAAACAGTTCATCCTTTTCATAGATACCTGATTATAGTCCAGTTTGTATTCTTGAGCTCTTTTCATTGTTTTTAATGTAAGAAGTATGCTATCCTTGAACAAATGGAGTTTCTGTATCTAGAATTGCATGTATAAACATTCTCTTGGTTCAAAAGCTTAGCCCAGTTGGCACAGAATGTGTCTTGGAATTTTTTTGCCCAAACTAAGGAGAATGTTGGTGGTTTTTTTTTTGTTGTTTTTTTTTTTGTTTTTTTTTTTAAATATGAATGTGGAGCATGTTTTGACTTCTGGAAGTCAAAATTTGAAGTTTGTTTAGTTTTGCTGTGGCTCATTCTGCATTCATTAAGAAACTCTGTCATGTACTTTTTCTTTTTAGATTATTGTAGTTGAGTTGTAACAAGTCAATTGTTTTCCTTTAAATGTAATTTTAGACTTGAAAGTTTTCAGCATGAATTGTAAAAATGCTTTCTAGGATAAATGTAGTATATAAAACTGGTTAATTGCTTCTAGTTTTATGGTGACTAATAAAGGCAGAAGTAATTTGAATTATTAAATCCAGCTTGGGTGTTTGTTTTGGTAGTACGGAGTAACCTAGAATACAAAATTTCTGCACTTCACCTTCTTATCTCTTAAGGCTTAATATGCCTCTGTCAATTTGGTTCTGCTGGGAGGATGGCTCTGCCAGAGTAGAGACCAGGGCAGTTCATTACTGTGTAGTCAGAGATAAGCACAAATTTAGAGCGTTGCTTGCCCTTCCACTCTGTGTTTCCTTTTTCTTGCAGCTGTTCTTCAGGCTATTTCTTAACCTTGGAGTAACTTCCTTTAATTTAAACTCTGAAAATCTGTTTAAATAGTTGTGCACACACTGCACCTGTGTTGCAGTGGAAGGATTTAGGTCTAGAATACTTGATTTTCTGCAGAATAGGTTATGGGCTAGTCCCATCCGAGTTGTGCTTCCACACACCTTTCTTGTGCTGCCATGAAGTGTGCATTTGGGGGAAGAGATGTTTTGAATGTGAAGAGCAATTCTTGCCATGCACTGATGGTACCTGCGTGGAGAAGTGATTATGTGATGAGTGTTTTGAACTCCTAGTGGGTTTTAGTGAAAACAGAAAAACTTATCTCCTACCTGATTGGATATAAGTATTACTCTTTCTGGAATTCATTCAGGAGAAGAAAAATACGAAGAGTTAGGCAGCAAGTGACAGTAATAAGAGACTCCTCTGAGAGGTACAGAGGCACTCTTTTGGTGACATGCTGTGCTTTCAAGAGAAGTGCACTGCTTACCAGGGGCTCTTAACATGGATGTATCTGAGACTACCAGGCTTCTTGTGGTCTGCTGAATGTTACTTCCTGCTGTTGTTTCATGTAGGTGCAAGGGGTACAGCCAGGAGCAGTCTGAACAGCATCAAGGGAGATTACAGAGCTCTGGGTGTGGCCACAAGGCACTCTGTAGCAGCTGGTTTTTGCAGGTAGTCTTTTCATCCATCCTCCAAGTCAAAAACTAAGTGGGTCAAAAGGGCCAGTTGTATTTGGAGAATCAGCAGGTGGTTATAGGCCTTGCGCCACAGCAGGGGATTTCACTTCTTAGACCAGGGGACTCTCTTTGAAAAACCTGGTGGTCTGGGGACTGATGTGTTCCATCTGTCAGGGAAAGGTACAAGCATCTTTGGTCATCCTGGCTTCATGGAGGAAAAGTTGCACCTGACTGATCTGATATCCTTCTATGAAGGAGTGATCATAACAATCAACAAGGAAAGGCTGGCATCATCTATCTGGACTTCTGTAAGGCCTTTGACATGGTCACACATTACATCCTTATCTCTACGTTGGAGAGAGAGAGTGATTTGAAAGGTGAACTTTTTGATGGGTAAAGAATCGGCTTCATCCAATTAGTTAGATGCATCCAGTTAGTTGTGGTTAATGCTTCTATGTCCAGATGGAGACTGGTGAAAGATGGTGTCTCTTAGGGCTCTGTCTTGGAACCAGTGCTCTTTAATTAATATTTTTATCACTGACGCAGTGAGATTGAGTGCACCCTCAGTAAATTTGCAGATGATTCTAAGCTGAGAAGTGCAGTTGACACACCTGATGGATGGGATCATCCGAAGTGTCTTGGACAAGCTTGAGGAGTAGCCCATGGGAATCTCATGAGGGTTAACAAGACAAAGTTCAAGATGCTGTACTCAGGTCGGGGCAGTCCCAGGCATAAATACAGACTGGGGAGAAGAACTCCTTGAGAGCAGCCCTACAGAGAAGGACTTTGGACTTTCTACAGATGAAAAGCTGTCAGGAGCTGGTGATGTGTGCTTGCAGCCTAGGGAGCAAACTGCCTTGTGGTGTGGTGAGGAATGTGAAGTTCAAGGGCAGCCTGGGCTGCAGTGACTGTGAAATGGTGGAGGTTGAGATCTTTGGTGCAGTGATGAGGACACATAACAAGCTCACTGCCACGGCCTTCAGGAGAGCAGACTTCAGCCTCTTCAAGGATCTGCATGGTAGAGTGCTATGGGATAAAGCCCCAGAGGGATGAGGGGCCCAGGAAAGTGTGTTAATATTTAAGGATTCCTTCTTCCTTGGGAGCAATGCATCTTAACCAAAAGAAAGACAAATCTACCCTGACTGCATGGATGAAAAGGAGCCCATGGATAAACTCAAACACAAAAACGAAGCCCAGAGAAGGAGAAAGCAAATAAATGTAGCCTGGGAGGAAGAGAGAAGTGAGATTGTCTGACCAGCCAGGGTTCTGAGTGGGAATGTTAAATTTGTATTGTTGGTGATAAAAGGAAGACAAGGGAAAATGTGGGCCCTCTCTGTAAGAAAACAGGAGACCTGGCTAACTGGAACATGAAGAAGCTGGAGGTACTTAATGACTTTTTGTGCCTTGGTCTTTTTCCACAAGATTTCCAGCCATATGAATTACAGAAGGTAAAGACAGGGGCTGGGAGAATGAATAACCATCCACTATAGGAGAGGATCAGGTTTGAGACTCTTTGAGGAATCTGAAAGTGCACATGTCCATGGGCCCTGACAAGATACATCTGTGGGTCTCCAGGGAAGTGGAAGAGGAAGTGGCTAAGCCACCATCCATCATATTTTAGGTCCCACTGATGAAAAAAAAGGGAAGCATAACCTCCATTTTAAAAAGGGGAGGAAGACAGACCTGGGGAACTAGAGGCCAGGCAGTCTCACATCTGTGCCCGGCAAGATCGTGGAGCAGATCCTTCTAGAAGTTAAGGGACTTGGAAAGTGTGAGATGATAGATGACAGGCAAACTAAACCTCACAAAAAAAAAAAAGGAGGTAGTCAACATGGTCTATGTAGGCAGCAGAGTTTTTTGGTGGCTTGGCGTAAAGGTTTTCTGGCATTTATCAAGGTGGGAACTGGTTTGGAAAGCTGATCCAAAAGTAAACAAATACTGTTTCTGGATAGTTATTTGGTGCTCATTCACTGGAAAGTGCAAAACTGTCAGTGCACAAAAGATCATAGCTTATGATCACTGATGAGGAAGACCACAATTGTAGTAGTTCTAATTTAAATGTGTTTAAATTACTGTGGGATTGCATGCTTAGTATTTGGGTTCCCACTCTGAATTCTGAAAGCTTCATTTACTCACTGACTCTTTAGTCGCTGTTAAAAAGCATAAAAAGTTTGTAGATACCCTGTGGGCATTCACAGTTGTTTTGTGACTAACTTTTGTCTTCTGTTTTAAGGCCATTTTAAAATTTTGATAGCTGAGAGAAGTAGCTTTCTTGGCATGAGAATTTAAGGATATGCTAGTGGTCTGGTTGTGTCAAAGAGAATATTAACCCTTTCCACTGGCACCTTGCACTAGTGACCATGATGTATGATATCCTGTGTCTGAGGTGGTATTGCAGTTGTGAACATTCACTGTCCCATATTCTGAGTTAATTTTTCATGTGTTTTCTAACTGTGAATTTAGTATTTTGGTTTGGTACCCCCTTTTGCTTTCATTAGAAAGGTGCTTTTGCATTTGTTGATAAAACTCAATTCTAGTTTTGACTGAAAGCATAGACAGCATTAAGAAGTTAAAGGAATCTACTTGAAATTCAAGTTCAGAATTATCTTTCAAAGTGCTCTGGTATGAAAAGTGCCTTGCTGGCTAGTAGTCTAAGACTGTGCATGGAACTTCAGGAGCAGCATTTTTTCTTTTTTGCAATTTCTAAAACTGTTGCTTATTGATGTTTTTAGTCAGTACTTTATTGTGCCCGTTATGAGAACATATCTTATGTATGCCTGGCTTGCTAAAACATCACCTTCTCTTTAGTATGCTGAGGTTGTTCCTTCAGGCCTTTGCATTTGAGATACTGGGGTTACTTACCTCCTCTATTAAAGTCTGTTTCTTCTTTCATGACACGTATTTCAATTATCTCTTTGTACTTTGTCTGTCTCACTCAAAACTCCTTCTGGTTGACTGTTTCTGTGTTTTGCAGCTCCCAGTTGGACTTGTACCTCAGGCTGTCAGAAAACTGTTGATCTTGCTTCTGCACAATTTCTGTAAATGGTGTTTAATGCTCTATTGATAGCGATTGAAAGTAATTTTATTTCATGATGGCCCCTGCTATGTCCCCAGGTAAACTTGTGTAGCTGGTTCTACTCTTAAAAAAACTTATTGGACAAAAGGTTAATCCAGAGTGCTCTGACTTTGGCAGAGGATAGCAAAAGAGTAGGTAGGCTGAGCAAAAGGTTCAGCAGCCAAGTTAGAGGCACTTTGGTACAGTGGGGTTTGGGCCACTGTTGTTTATGGCAAAAAGCACATGGGCTCGGTGTGAATAAATACTTGTAAACTTTTTTACAAGTATTTAAAGGGTGGCAAATGCCAGGTTGCACCAGTTGCTGCTTCTTTCCTAACCTCTGTCTGCCTTCTCTCCTACCAATTGTGAAAAGAGAGCAAAGAAGGGAAGATAATGTAGAGATAACAGAGCTGGTCAGTGTCAGACTTAAGCTATTCTTTGTTCTTATCCCAACAAAATTCTGTGTGTTGCTGGATGGGAATCTTTCCTCTACTTTGATGCTTCTAAGAAATCTTGAAAAAAGTAGGTCCAGAAATCTCTTTTATCACTTAAACAGTGAACTGGGCTAAGGGGAAGAATGAGTGGTGAGAGCAGGAAACACAAAGTCATTAAAGTAGAACCTTCCTAAACTGTTACCATGTCCTGGAGGTACTGCTCTTGCTCAGTTGGGGGATCTTCTGAAAGTAAAAAGTAACTCTGATCCAACTTTGAAAATTCTGTCGTGGGTAGTTCTAATCTATGGGCATCAGTGTTTTGGTGATTTAGGATTATAATTTTTGTGTGCTCTGGTAAATTTGCAGTTGCTTGGTGACTTAAAATTACCACACAATTTTGTCATTAAAGTAAACATTGTTTTGTTCTCTGAGTGCAGCTCTTGACCTCCTTCTGTTCTTGTAATACAAAATAATATTCTTACCCTTCCTCAAAGAACCTGAACAAACTGGGTAAGCCTTACATACCACCCCTAAAAAGGTGGGGAAAAAAATCTATGCAGATAGATTGCATATAAGAAATACTTGGTAGACATTTGCTTTGTGTATACTTGAGTAACACAAAAATTTTCATGCCTTGTTGACAGTATACTGTGTGCAAAAAATAAGCTATTAATTGTATCAAGAAGCCCATAAACTGTGTCTGGTAATCAAAATTTGAGAAAGCAAATACTTGTTTTTGTTAAAGCAAATGTATATTTTAGTGAATGATAACAAGGAAGATAAGTTATTTGATTTAGGTATTTTCCTGTCTGTCGCTGTGATGAAGGGTGAGGCAGAAGTAATGTGCGATCAGAGATTGATAAAAGCACAATAGGGTGGACAAGTGGTCCAAGAGTCAGAGATGAAAACAAATAGAGTATTTACACTTTTTCCTCACAGATAAGGAGTTACAGAGAATTGCTTGAGAGATCAGGATACTCAGGGAGGCTGGGATTCTAGAGCATCTTAGGCAAGAATGAAACAGTACAGACAAAATTTTGAACAATGTCTAGTAAGTTGGCAGTAGCAGTATTTGAAATGAGTCTTTAGGTCCCTACTTCGTGAGACTCAAAAGAGACTCAAAAAAGATGGCAGACAATTGAAGATCCTACTGAAATGCGTGGCCGTAGATGAACCAAGGCTTATTTGAGTCTGTTAGGGAAGCAAATTCTGTGTGGAAATTTGGGAAGTAAATTAATTTAAACTATGGTAGTTTTGTTCAACTGTGGCATTCTTTAATGTCACAGACTAGTGACTGGTGGCTCCTCTGCTGTTGCTGTTAAATGGTGTTTTCTCTCCTAGGGTTTGGACGTGGCAGAGGGAGAGGAGCGGGGAGGTTTTCAGCCCAAGGCATGGGGTAAGAAACATGCAGAGCACAGATTTTGGCAAGGATCAAACACAGTGGCAGCATTTATTGACAATGTTGCCACTGTATGTATGGATATTGCTGTATGTTTGATAAACCAATATAGATGAAAAACCTGAAAAATGTCTTAGGTGATGAATGGAATATTTTTGTCTTAAACTAGTGTTTCTAACTAGGCACACCTGTAGAATCCTAGTGTATGTCTATTCAGTGTTAATATCTCAAATGTGGAGAGGTATACCTGCTATCAGTAGCAGCCACATAGTGCCTTGGAGTCTGAAAGTTATGTGCTACACATAGTCTTAGGTAAATTTTAAACCAGATTTATTTCAGTGTAATGTAGAGCTTGCAGTGAACATACATAAAACTTGAAAGTGGCAATTCTAAACTGTGTTCTGTTTTTGAGGTTTCATGCTTTAGCTGTTTGGACTTATATGGACCTTAAAACAGATTCAGAAGTTATTCAGCAGCTTAAAAGTTTGCTCTCAATTTTGTTGGAATAACTTGGCTTATAGAAATGTAGCCTCCACTACTTTCACTCATGTTTGCCTTTAATGACACATTTGCCTTTAATGACACTTCATGCACGATCAGTGATGTTATGATGAACTGGAGTCTTATTCTACTTCTCTAATAATTCTTCTTGTTCATAATTGCAAATGAAGTGAAAAGAGGTTTTTCTTCACTAATGCGTCTTCACCTTTTAGCTGCTCCTGTATTTTTGGCATTGGTATCAGCAGAGCACTTTGAAATAATCTTACTGGTGCTCTGAAAAGACATGATACTGGTCGCTTATCAGTCACCTGCTGAAAAACTTACTAGTTGAGAGAGTCTTATTGTTGTGTGTATAAACTAATGCTTTATAACACTGGGAGGAATTTGGATGCTGTTATCTGGTTTTTCAGGAATTTATTTGGTTCAGTGTCTCTGCAGGAATTTTGTTTACCAGTCTCTTCACTTTTATATCTTCTTCTCTTTTATCCATTTTTATCTCTGTCTGCTCATAGAAGAATTTTCTTTTTTTTAACTAAAAGCTGTCAAGATAACTTATGTGGAAATCAAGATGTTAAATCTAATACAACATCAACTAAAAATTGACACTTATACTCACTGAATGACCCATGTGTTCTCTTCCATTTCTTAACTTTCAAAACTCTAGGACATTTAATCCTGCAGACTATATGGAGTCTTCTGCCACTGATGGCTTTGGGACAAAGTCAGAGATCTGGGAGACTGGTCAGAATGATGCAGATGATGGAACTGGTAAGATGCTTCAAGAAGTGGAAGGATTGGAATGAAGACCTGTAGCATATTGCAGCTAAAATAACCATTATGTTAGTGTTCAATTGACTTTTGAAAATTTATATACATCTCTTGTGACACAGATATTAGGTGATTCTTAAGTTTATCTTCTGCTGATGTGCAGAGCCTGAGTGTCTCTCTGGAGAGAATGAAGGGAGGCATTTTGCCATTCTTTTGTTATAGTACCAATAAACCCTTGAGAGACAAAGGAATTGGAAGAGTCACTGGAAGAACCTTGTATGTAAAGAAGTGTTTAGGTATCTTAATACTGCTTAAGATCTCACTGAATGTGGTTAAGGAGCATAAGTACTCCTAGAATTGATTGGCCCACAGGCTTTAGGCAACAGGATGTGAATATCTAAGAAGAAAAAGAAAAGAAAAAAAGTTTACAAGTATTTATTCACTGAGATGGATGACACTGGGATGGCTTTCGAAGCCCTAGCTCAGCTGCACAATGCAGAAATGTAAGGATGTGAATCTCTGGATGGAGTAGAGTTCCAGATCTGCAACTTCTGAAGAGAAAAATTACTAATTAAAGCACGAGTAGGCACTTGAATTGAAGCCAAAAAGCCATTGACCTCTCTGAAGATCAAGTCAGATGTGTGTTTCTGTATGAAGTTTTAATTGAGAAGTACACACATCCAGCTAAAGGCAAGAGACTGACATAGTTTGGAAAGGAACCATTTGGCAGTGGTCTCATTGTGATTCAGAAGTGAGGGTGGCCTGCTTATCTGTGATGGGAAAAATAGGATACCTTGCTGCTTCCTATGTTCTATAGTTTGAAATGGAGAAAGTCATGTATGTTTTTGTCCTCACTTGGGATCCATTGAGTGTATTTCTTTTAACTGCAGCAATGGGTAACTCTTCTGATCTCTTCATTGGTGAAACCTACTCAGGTGATTTTTCGTCTACTCCTGTGCAAGTGTGGAAGCTGATCCTGAAGGGCAGAGTATGCTCTGTTGAGCTCTGCTGTGAGCCACTTAAGACATTCAGAAAGCTGTATCTCACAAGCCATTTTCCACTTAACCAGAGAAGACAACAACAGGCTCAAAGTTTAGGGAGGCTTATTAAGCAGCTGTCTTGTCACTCTGATTGCCTTCCCAACCTTGTGGAAGAGTGGCTTTGAGTATATTTGTGGTTTTTAATGGGAGCATTCTTGCCAAATATGGTATCTCTCTAAGGAATTACTTCTTAAATTACTTGGTGCTGTAGCATAAACAGAAATACACCTTTTGTTTTCATTCACATTAGTTTTTCCAATTAGGAAGATACATAATGTCTTGAAAATTCCTTTGGGGATTCTCACGTTATTATTTTCTACCTGTTAGCGAGGAGCAGGGTATGTTATCACAAGCATTACAGAAGCTATAAGGTTAACTAAGTAAAGAAAGATCTGCAAGAAAGGTACTAGGAGATTGGACCAGAGGTAGAGAATCACTGGTTTGTTTCTATTGATTGCAGATGTAAGGGTATAGCTTACATACAACTTGTGCTCTACTTCCAAAATGAGCTCAAGTGTTCTGAGACCCTCCCTGCTAACTCAGAGTAGCCTCCATGTGCCTCTGTTACAGCCGCCTCTGTCCTTTTAGGCAGAGCCTCCTTGTCCTTCTTACTCAGTATTCAGTAATGGAAGAAATCTGCCTACGAATACGAGTAGTTTGGTGTAGGTAAACAGATCCCTTTAACAGTGTGAATGTGTGGAATTTCTGTTTGGATGCCAAGTGCATTTTTGCTGTGCAAAAGTCACCAATAACCACATTGGATGTCAATAACACAGCTTAAGGCATGCATGGAAATTTGGGAAGTATTGTAGGAAGAAGGTGTGAGAAGATGTTTGAGAAGTTTTGCTGGCCTTGTCAGATGAATGAATCTTTGAGGTATGAAAGAATAGGTGTCATTGTGAGGGAGTTCCCGCAAAATTACTTGATTGGAAGAAAATTAAACTAGGTAAATGTCAATGTTCTTGTTGGATGTTAAGTACCTTTTTGTTGCTAAACTTAATTTACTTTCAATTGAAGAAGGTACAATAAGTAATTTTGGGGGTAATTTTACAGCAGAAGAGACTGCTGGGAAGGAACATGGAAGTAGCTCTGCTGGAGGGACAGTGACAGACAAGGTTGGAAGTAAGTTGCATAAAATTGAGCATGATTTGACTTGTTAATCCCAAATATTAATTTTCAGGTTCCCCCCCTAATTTTACAGTGCTATTTTGTTAATTACAAATCAATGACCCGGTTAAGTTCCCAATGAAGAGTCAACTAAAGTTTTGGATTTGGGAACTATACATGTATGGAAGACTATAAAGCTTGCAGTGGGCTTTATAGATGTCTGGTAAAAGTTTATGCAGGAAGGACAGGAAGGAAATTTCTCTCTTTATTCTTCATTACCCAGTCCCATTTCTTATTTAATCTAAAAAATATTAGTTCATGCTTATGAGTTCATCTACTTGGAAAACTAGTGTCTTTCATCTGCAGTTACATTAAAGAGTAGATAACTGAGTAAGTACCTAGAGAAATAAGAGATCTTTGCTTATTAAAATATTTTCTGGAGACATTATAGCAATAGAAACTCCTTGTGACATTCTGAGTTATGTACTAAGTATTTCTTTCTTTAGCTACTGCTGGGGAAATTAATATTTTCATTAAAATAAATACAGTATTTGTTTCCAAAATGTAGTTTGTCATGTGTACCCTGAAAGTGCTCTAGAACCTCATGCCTTGAATTACTGCAGATGCCAGAGGCCTCATGATAATTTGAATAGTGTTTCTAGATGCACCATTGTGTAATCCAGTAGAAAAGCTAGCTGGTTGTGTGAAGGTAAAATTCAGTGTTGGTTGAAATATAGACTGAAGGGAAAGTCTTTAGTAGTTCATAACATTAAAAATAATTTTATTCCAAATAATACAGCATCAGTTTTCCTGCATCCTAATTTATATAGAAATAATGTACAGATGAAAGGCAAAGAGAAGGGACAGATGAAGAGAAACAAAATTACCAGTCCTCCTCTGAAAGGGAATAAACATGAGCAGCATCATTTCTCTCTTACCTTTTTTGTAATGTACAGGGCAATTGGAGAACATGAGCACAAATCACAGCAGTTCTTATACATACATTATATTGGAGGCACTCACATCTCAAAGTTGGTTGTAAAAATGGCCTTGTGTTCAGCTAATTACTCAGGTCTCTACTTGGATAGAATTTCATAAGTTTAATGGAAAATTTTCTTTGTTATCTTAGTTATGAACAGCCTCAAATTACTCTGAAATTAGAAATAAAAACTAAATTATAGAGTAACTTTCAAGAGGGACAGTTGTGTTCCTTGGAAGGTACAACAAGTTGGTGGTTTTGGTTTTGCTTTCTGATGGTTTTGGTTTGTTCGTTTTTTCAGTTTTTGTTGTAAAATTCAGAGGGAAGATTTTAAGGAAACCTTCAAGTCTTTCTACAATGCAAATCCAGAAGGCAAGAACTAGTACATAAGTTTGGCACCAGACCAAGTTAAATTTATTTTGCAGTTAGTATAAAGAATTATTCAAAGAAAGGGTAAAAAATTAAGGAGTGTGACAGAGAGAGAAGATTATTGGATGAACATAGCTGAAGACTCATCAAAAGATGTATTCTAATTTTGTTGTCTTGATAACTTTCTAAGCTGAACTTGTTACAAAGAAAAAGAGGAAAGGGTCACAACTTAACACCTAAGTTGAAGCTTGTATGACAAGAATCCTAGAAAACACAAAATATAATTTTGATGAAAACAGAAAACTCTTGAATTGTGATGCTTTGCAAAGCTTGGGGGAAAGCCTGGGAAGAGGATACATGAGTTGCAGTAATGCCAAGATGGGTTTTGGACTAAATAGAAATTGATGCACCTGTGGCACGATGTGACTTAGGAATCCCATCAATAGGAGGATAGGAAGAGGACATTTGAAAACCAGATTTAGTGGAGACAAGTGTACTGAAATAACTGAGAATGGAATGCTTGGGTTGGGAAGAGTATTAGTAAAGAGTGTAAAGAGTAAATGACACTAGTAAACTTGGCAGCTTGGGTAAACTAATAAAAGGGTGAAAGGCTGTACACAGTATTTAAAAGAGTAAATCCTCAGAACTAGTTTTATAAGAGAGAACAAGAGACAGTTGTTTAAATTTAATGTCAGGAAAACATCACAAGTGTTATTTCAAGTTTGATCTCTCAAAGGTGGTGGAAAATACACAAGAGTCTGATGTGATGTACCTGAGCTCTTTCAGTGCTTATTTTTTTTAGACTCTGAGCTCTGTTTTAGTGTTCTGGTGTCAGTGCAAGGCTTGTCTTCTAGAGACAGGTGTTAGCACTGGCTTATGGGAGATAACTACAAGCAGGGCAAATACTTTGATTTCTTCTTCAAAGAAGAAATACTGGGGGAAGGGATTCTGTGCTGGTCAGGGGAAGGGAAAGAATATCAACTGTACTCTAAAAACTGCTGCTTACTGGGCTTTTCCTCCTTCTCAAAATTTCTGTAGAAATGTGTGGATTACTATAGGAATTTGAAGCATTGTAGTAATTTTGCTACAGGATATGGGTATTCATGAAAACATCAGCCCTGGATGGGGGCTGTTTGCTAAAATGAGCATGAGATGTTTCAGGCAACTCTATATTGCTCCACAGAGCCCACACAGAGCAGATGTTACCTTGCTCAGGACCTGCCAAATAATTTTGGATTCCAGGGTAAAGTTCCCCTCTCTTCCCCCCACTGTGTGTAACCTCCATGGTCAGCCTGTTTGTTGGACGGGACTGGTGCTGCTCAACCCTCCTCTGCCAAAACCCACTGTGGTGTTGCGGGGTATGAGAGGAAGCACCAGTGTAGTGTTGACATTAGTACCAGGTGGCTTTGATACTATCTTTGGGCGGCTTGTATCTGGATTAATGTGTCTCAGACTAGTTCCTGGTTAAATGAAAGGAGACGATTGAAGCAGGAGTCTCTTTGCTTTGTACTTGATCCAGTATGCTGGCAGTGCTACCTTTGGTGCTCTTGTTTTCTTTGCTCATGGTTGCACAGTTTACACAAAGGCTCTGGTTGTTGTTGGAATAACCTTCCCTGTACTGCTGTCAGTGATCAAAGCCTTCATTCCTTTTATTGCTCTTGCATGTCTGTGCCTGCTGTTTCCTACAGAAGGGGTTGGGTTTTTGCATCCATAGGATTGGTTTCTGTGGTTTTCCTATTTTTGCATGCTTCACAGTGCTCCAGAGTTTGCCAAATCCAGTCTGCCACAAGTTACAGAAAGTGTTTTTAGCTACAGTAGAAATTTAAAAACTGTCCTGCTACCATCACAAGAATTATTTATGTTCTAAAATAAATTGCTCTCTCAGGGGAAGGAATTGGAGTTGTACTCTGAGGAGTGAGTTAACAGGTTGGAAAGTAGTCTCCACAGGCATAGCTTGGGCCTTGAAATTGCATGTGTTGAAAGTAGGATTGTGGATATTGGAGCAGGTGTTGGTGGTTATGTTGTGTTCTGTATGAATATGTGTGTGAAACTAGAGGATCCTGTGGGAGGGTTGAGTAACCTCTCATTGCCCTTGGACCCATAGGAGGAAGTTCTTCCAATGGTTGGGTTTAATCACTGGGTGCAGGTGTGCATTCATGCAAATTGAGTCTGGTACCATAAGGGCTAAGAAATTTCTGAAATCTGAAATCAGAAATCAAGGGCATGGGCGGGAGGATTGGTAGTATTTCCCTCTCAAATTTTTAATTCTGCAGACCTGTTTCCTAGAGCTTCCAACTGTGTTTCCAAATATGTTTCCAGCCTCCATCTCCTTGCTATTTGTTCCACTGGTAATGAAAACAGGATTGCTTGTAAAGCAGGAGGATTGAAACACAGTGTTGTGCCTTTAATTTGTACCTGTTTTCTTTCTTTCCCCTATTGTAATAGGAGCATGGAAGAACTCAATAGAAGAATGGACAGCTGAAGACTGGAATGAAGATGTAAGTGCAACTGGCTGGGTATACCAATTGATTATTTATTCTCTTCAGTTTGTGGTGTTTTCAAAAACTAAATATTTGAAGTAACCCATTATTTCAAATTTATTTTCAGTTGAGTGAAAATAAGTCATCCCTTTTGCCTCCTCCTGCAAGGTGGAATGTTAGTGTTAGTCCTGGAAATGTGTGAATGTTTCATGTAACTGTTATGGTAACTCCATCCCTACCTAATTATAGGGATGTATCTTTTGAGAGAATTGAAAGAAACTCTTAAATTCCCTTGTTTTCTGTATCAGTTAATACCATCAAAAGCTGACATATTTTAAACCTGTCTTTAGTTTCCTCAGTGTGTGCTAGAGGTAGACTAAGGGCTAAGAATGATGGAAATCCATGAGCTGTTCTCACCCCTGTTTGATGCTGGTACAATACAGTTTGTTCTAAGGGAAGGGTGTTGAGCAATGCTGACTATGGATAGAATTTGTTTTAATTAGTTGTTAGAGCTGAATAATTTGCAAATTAATTTTGAAATTTCTAGCCCATTGTTAATTTTTTACAATTTTTGATCCTGGAAAAGTCCCTATAATCTAGGAGAAAATTGTTTGTCTACTAATATTCAGAAAGAGTGAATGAAATGTCAAGATACAGGTACATTAGCCCAAAACACACACAGAAAAAAAAGAGAAAAATGTGTTGTATCTTTTGTTCTAAAAATAATTGCATTCTATCTCAAAAAAATTTAGCATATTGAAATCTGCCTTGCAAATTTTGGCAACTCTGTTACAGGAGGACCATTATTGAATGTGGGCTTTTTAGGAAGGCCATTAGTCCTCCCAGTCTGGGACCAGATGCCATCTAGTGCCTTGATCAATGATTGGGAAGTAAAATTAAAGTAATTGCTTAATAAAATGTTTGTAAAGTACAAAATGTACTTGGAGTAGCATTTGAAAGTGAGCCAGTCATGCAGTGAGATTTGGACCTCTACAAGATTGCAAATGAAAAATACTTTAGTATAGCCAAGTATCGGTTTGTTTTATAGGAATAAAGACACACTTTCAGAACAAGGGTCTGGAAAGCAGCAACTCAAAAGTTTTCAGCATTGTAGTGGATGATGAGAAAAGAACAGCTCAGCATGAGCTGATGCTGTATTAAGAAAGGTCCTATTGTAGTATTGTTGCCTGCTGGCACTCTTCCCCGTCTCTTAGTCATTCTTGAGTTATATTTCTGTATGTGGATGCTCTTAACTTGATTCTTAAGTACCAAATCAAAATTCTCATTGCTTTTACAGATGAAAAATTGTGTATAATAGCTGAAAATGTCTGATCAAAGATCCCTTGAGAAGGGAGATTTTAGTTTAGGGAATCTGAAAGGGTTACTTTTGGAGCATATGATGGACTCTGGTTTTAGTCTAGCAGAGGAGTAGTATGAACCTGTGTCTGGAAGTGTGTAAGAAACAGTTCTAGTGGCATGACTATTGGTTAAAAGAACCAAGGAAGCTGATCTGTTTGCTGTCTGCAGGGAAAGATCAGGTGTTTAAATGTGGTGTTCTCTAGTCAGATACAAGTTATGAGCAATTGAGTGAAGTTTAGCAATTGTTTGACCCAAGAAGAATTAGGTCTTTGTGACCTGATAGCCCTGTCCGGTCCTTATCTTTTGCAGTAAGTATTAAGCAAGTATAATAGATCGTCAAGGTGCTATTGAATGAGTGGAAACTGCTTGCAGTGCAAATAGGAGGTTGTATTTTGTTAAAGGGATATTCAGGGCATTAACAATGAAGGACTAGACAAATATTGAGGTACTTTAGCTGGCTCTAGATTTTGCTCTTAAAAGAAAGTAAAGTTTAGCTACAGCAACTATTCCAAAGGAAAGAAATAGAATAAATACAAATTGCTGGAAAGTGGGTAATGGCAAACATTTTCTGTAAAGTGTTGGTAGTGCTAGTTTTTATTTGAAACCACAAGCAACACTTTTTAAAAAAAGGAAAGAAAAAGTAAGTGCGCTTTGGTGGAAGTGGTTTCTTTACCAGGAAGCAGCATGAGAAGTTGTTTGAATTTCTTTACCTTCACTACATCATACCAAAACAATAGTAAGTTCTTTTAAAATTTCTGATTTGTTGATGTTGAGTTTCTGTGAGGATGCTGAGTATATTTTCCTCTTCTCCTCACCGTTCCTGTACTACTTTAGGAGCTGATAGTTAGTTGTCAAGTGCATTGTGTTTGGTGATTGGGGAATGATTTTATCATAGGAACAGAAGCTGGAAAGCACGGGTATTTCCCTGCAGATGGAGGACATACCCTTGTGAGCCCAGCACTGACAAATGGCTCACAAGCATTCATTCAGTTCTGGGAAAATGCCAGAGCCTCAGGAAAAGATTTTTGAGTGTAGTGTGCAGCAGGTATAATGGCTTGATTGGGAGCTGAAAATACTACTTCTGAGAAATACATATGTGGTAATAAAACTTCTCAGCTGCCGCAGCATGAAATACGTGTTTTGACAAATGATGTAATCCCTGCAGAGTACTGAATTAAGTGCTTGGCTGGACATTTTGGCAGTGAGTTTGTTACAGGCTGTAGTGTAAATCTCAATGTAACTGAGCCGGAGACTTCTGCTTGCATGCTGGTTCGTCTGTAGAGAGCATTTACTTTCTCATGCATCAAGCATGCATTTGCATTGTCACAAAAATCCTCAGTCTCCTTACTTTGCTGAATTTTTGGGGTTCATCAGTGTTTGTCCATAGTTAGTCTCTTCCTTGGTTATGTGAGTGTAAGAAATGGTTGACATTACAAAGAATTTAATACTTAACTGAGGTATTGCAGACCACAGAGTGTTGCTTGTGCCATTAGCTGACCTCCTTGTGCCACGTAATGCAGGAATATCATAATACCCCAGAAAGTACAGTACACATTGCTCTAAAATAAAACACATAGTGGGGAAAGTGCTGAACAATAGAGGAACAACCTTTTTAACTTAAATGTACTTAAGTGGAATTACTTAAGTGGAATGTTCTTTCTTTGTTTTGGTCAGTACACAGAGTTGTGGGCTGTCAGCATTCATCTCAGGACAAGTGATGCAGAAATGAGGGATTAAAGTGCATTGTGTTGACAGCAAGGGAATAGTAAGAAATGGAGGGAAGAACTGTGTTAGGACCGATTTCTTCATGGTCTCATGTGCTCCTTGCAAGAGGGTGCTGGGGAGAGTATGTGAGATATTTCTCCTCTGCCTCTGAATGATGATTTGCTCCCAGTCAGCCCTTCTGTGCCCTTCTTAAATCAATAGTGTTTCATAGGAGACCCCTATCAGATGACCATGTTCAGGGATACACTTGGTCTGAGTAGAACTGCCTGTGGGATGGCAAATGAAATCAGCTTATGTCTGTGATGTCCTTTAAACTGCTAGAAATGTATGCAGTTAAAAATGCGTAATTCCTAGAAGACCTGTATCAAATGGCACATTCTAAAGGTATTTGAATAGGTCAGTTATTCTTCAGTCAAAGACAAGGCTACTAAAGGAATTAAGGATGATTTTGTGAAAAGTAAATTTAAAATACAAACACGGTACATACATAGCTGTGTCTTACTAAATCTAACCTGTACTGTCTTAAGATCTATTCTGGTTTGCAAGTACTCCTGTAAATAAAAACAAATTAGCCTTAGGAAGTTGTAGCTGTTCAACAAATAATTTTTAAATGAGAAAAAGTATTAAAAAACCCAACAACATGGCAAAAAACCAAATCCCTCTTTTCCCCCAAAGTCCCAACCAGCTTCACTTCCCTAGGTATCTGTATGAGTATCTCTCGGTATTGTAACAGCATGGTGAAAACGGTGCAGCTTTCTTCTGTGGGTGGTCTGACTTGTTACATGAGTGTCAGCATGGCTCTCATTTTATTGCTCTTTCCCAGCTCATGCTCTCAGAGCACTCAAAGACGTAATTGCCTCTCCTAACAGAGCTACCAAGAAGCAACCATGAATGCTGGTTCACTGCACTTACCTGTACTTACTTGACTCTGCTGGTGGTGGGAGCTGAAATGTCAGATGCAAGGATACATGGAATGAGTGGGAGCAGTGCAATGTGTTACCCTTGTGCAACAAGATTTGTCAGAGTGGCTCTGTAGTGTCATAATTTGTCTGTGCATTAATGGTGGAATGGCTGTCACATTAATTACTTTCTACTGGTGTATTTCAGTTGAAGTGTTTTCCAGGCTGATGCAGTTACATTGGTAAACAGTTCTGTGCTGGTGTGTGTTGTCAGTAGGTCAAATTTCCTAACTCAGCCCTCTAATTAAATAGGTACTTGACTCTGTGGAGAAGATTTTACTGGAGCTTGATTACGGTTTTGTCTTTTTAAGCAGAGCTTCAGAGTAGCTGTTTGTAATGGTAGTTTGACTTTACTTTTATCTTGAAAGTGCATGACCAAAATGGAATTTCTGCAGGGAGGAAATATGAGCATATAAAATTCTCCCCCATCTCTTTTTCAGCTTTCTGAAACAAAAGTCTTCACTGCATCTTCTGTTCCAGCTGAAAATCATGTGACTCCTGGGCAAAGGTAAGCTCTTCTTCCATGTTTTCCCTATACTTTAAAAACCTTCTCCTTGATTAAGTAATGTTAGCTTGCACATATAAAATATTGAATAAAAACTCTGTCAGAGATTGGTCTAACTACTCTAAAAACTGAAAAAGCCTTGGTTGCAAATTGTTGTTTCTGTGAGTTCCTGAGTTATGTATTTTTGACTGTGAAAGTGGAGACAAACTTATCAAATGTGTGAGCATAACACATCTTCTGCATCAGGACTGCTTACAGGCAGGGAGAAAAGTAGCTGGGAAGAAAAATTTTTTTGCTATTGAAAAGGAAGCTCTGGCTTTAGTGTACAGAAAATGGAAAGCCTGTCTTTGTAGGTGCAGGAAGTGTTCAGAATGTAGTGCTTTGACAGATGTGTTAAATGAAAGCATGCATTGGCAAAAAGGTGAATTCCCTGGTGAAAATCAGTTACAAGCCTTTACTGATGATAGAGGGTTAAGATCAAGAACTAAAACTAGATCAGTTGCTGCCTCCCTTTGCTTGCCTTTGTCTTCAAATGCCTTGCTGCTGATGTTGTGGAATCAGTTGCTTCCATTAGCTTCATGTTCCTGGAGAGCATGTTAAAGTATAGTGATGAAGGCTTTGGTAGTTGGATAGCGAGATCTGAAAACTAGGCTAATGGTTCTAAATGTCCTGATTCTGCTGTACTGCAGCAAAATTTTCCATATAATATGGATGTGATTTGCATGAGGCATGGTGTATAATTTATATTTCTTCCTTTCTTAAAAGGTAGTATGTTCATGTGGTTTTTTGTTCTGTTCTTCCAGTGAATGTCCTTCAGATTATGTTAGAAAATGTTTTAGTTCATCCACTCAAACTTGGGTGGGATTCTTTTGTTTGTTACTTACTGGCAAAAAGCTCCCTTCTCTCTCTTTTTTGTGATTGACAAAAAACATTTGAAAAGACTGCTAATCAGTAATAATTCTGTTGCTGGGATGGCAGCTTTGGAATTGCTAGTGCTTTCCTCAGTGTCAGTGAAGTTTAATCACTGTGTTCATTCCAGCGAGTTTCACTTTGTCTTATAGCATTGATTTGGTGACACTGCTTCAAAAGCCGGTGACATCTACCCAAGAGACAGAAGGCAACTCATTTGAGTCTCCTCAGCAGCAGACCTTTGGCCAAGCCTTAGTATTCACAAATTCTCAGCACAGCACCCAGATGGCATCAGGAACAGGCAGCTCCAGTGCTGTAAACTCTTATTCTCCTCAAAGTCTGGTAAACTATCTTATGCTTTCTAAATATTTTGTTTTCTAAACGTTATCAATGAGTAAATATTAGAGGTTAAACAATTTTTCCAGTGCTGGTCATATCATGAGATGTTTTGATATTTGTTGAAAAATGAAAATGAAGAATATCATTCTTTCCTTTCAGCTCCGTTCCCCCTCAAAACAAAAACAAACAACAAAAAACCAAAAACAAACAAACAAACCAAACCAAAACTTTTTTCATTTTGCTGGTTAGTTATTTCTGGATTTACATGAAGTAGTTATATTAATTTTTGATTAGAGAGCAGATGTGCACATTGCTTGCTGATGTAGGAGAAAAGAATTTGTTTATAGTTAAGAGTTCTGGGCCAGAAAACAGATGTGTTATTTCCAAGGACATATTCAATTGCTTCTTGTGGAAGCGTACCTTTTTCTGAGTCAGTTTTGGGAGTGAGATGAGGTATTTATCCTCTAAAAAGCAGTCCAACTATTAGTAAATCAATGATATTTTAAGATGCATGGGTTTAAGTAAGTTGGTATTATTGTGATTACAGTAGTGAAAGTTTTTACTGGTCATTTGTTAGTAATCTAGATCTGAAAATATTTTAGCTGCTACCAGATAGCAGCTGTAGACCCTATGATCATGTTCAATTATTAGTTAATATATTAACTCCGCTCCTTCCCCTCTTCTTCTTTGTCTTTTGATAGTCGGCAGTTCTTTGTTCTGGCTTTGGAGAACTCAGATCTTCTAAATTGGCAAACTCTACTGGTTCCCAAATCTTGGACCAATTGAAATCACCAGGACTGGGTCAGTTTACCTCTCAACAAACAAATAGCAGTTCTGCCAGCACTAGCACAGTTGCTGCATCATCTTGGGATCTAAAACCACCTAGTACTCAGTCCTCAGTCCTCAGTCAGTTTGGTAAGTGCTTTGACACAGGTTCTTCTCTATTTCTCTTTATATTAGCCAGTAAGATTCTGTAATTCCAATGATAGTTTAAAATTACTTTAATAAAAGACTTTTTCAAAAAAATTTCATCTTAGTAATACAGTTACTTACAACATTTTAAGTGTTATGTTTATTTGCTGGTAATAAGCATCACAAATATATCATAAACTAAGTTTTGTTAAGCTTAAGTCTATCCCTAAATGTCATTACATGTTTAAAGTTATTGAGCCTTCCAGGCAGTGACATTTTTGATTTAGTGTGCTTAAATATTTACACTTCGTTGGTGACTGTTTTTCAACAGATCCGGGAAAATACCTATTTTCATTGTACCTGTGCTGCTTTTAGCTGAGTGTAAAGTGGTGTACTTGTATTTTATTTTTTCCCCAAATTCTCTCTTCTAATCATTCCATGAATTTTGAATGAGTACTTTGTAATTTCTTCATAATGTGCATCACACCTCAGTGTTCTTTCTGTAGTGTGCTGTGAAGGATTTGGGAAGACATTCTTAAAAAAAAAAAAACAAAACAAATGTACATTTTAATGCTTTCTAGTGGACTTCACCAACTGAATAAAAACCCCTTCACACTGGAAATGCTGGAGGTCTCTGTGGTGGTTGACCGGTGCTTTAGGTCACCACATGGCTTTCAGCATCCAAAAATTGTGAAAGGGAAGACTGGGTAAAAACCTGTTCATGTGCAGCATCTCTTTGATTCTCAGGTATTATGAGATGGTAGAAAACTTCCTATTTTTTTTTAAATCTTCTCCTTTGCAGGGGAAGGGAATCCTAACTCACAATACCTCTAAATTGCAACAACTCTTTACTCCTTGGAAGTAATCACATTATATCAGCACAGTTAATTACAGTGAAACTTGAAGTGTTTGATTAGAATAATCTGTAACCGTTTTTGAGGACTTGTGTGTGATAATATTGTGACTGTGTAGATAGGTTTGTTGTCACATTTTTGGAAAAAACTAAATAATGCTTGGCCACAGTTGTTTATTTAAAGTAGGAGATGTATCAGCTGTTGTCCTTATGAGTGTTAGAGTGGTAGTGATCCATGTGAAACCTCTGTGATGTCTGAAAAGACTTGCAAATGCTATAGAACAATAACTATTAAGCATCACCTGGATTCTTGCATAAGAGTAGAACTGTGAAGAGCAGAGTTCAATGCTTTAATTTTGGTATTTCTTTTTTTCCAACACTGATCAGACTTTAAATCCCAGCCTGAGCCATCTCCAGTTCTGAGCCAGCTGACACAGCAACAGCAACAAATGCAGGTGGTTCCTGTTCCTCCTCCTGGGTTGGAGTCGTCCTCCTCCCAGGTAAAACTCCAACAGCCATCATCTGTAGACACCTCTACAGCTGTTAGCAAAATATTACAGCTCCCTACTATCTCTATGGATAACCAGGCAGTGACTGTTCATCAAACCCATCAGAAACAGATAAAACCACCAAAAAGGAGGATAACTCCAGCATCCAAGGTGGGTAATTGAGTGATAGCTTGTCATTAGTAAATTTAAAAATGACAAAAACTTGTGTCAGCAGTGGCATAGCCAGCTGGACCAGGCAGTGACTTGTCCCCTTGTACTGAGCACTGGTGAGGCTGCACCTCAAATCCTGTGTCTAGTTCTGGGTCCCTCATACAAGGAAGATGTTGAGGGGTTGGAGCTTGTCCAGAGAAGGGAACAGAGCTGGGGAAGAACTAGAGCACAGGTCTCAGGAGCAGCTGAGAGAGCTACAGGGGCTCAGCCTAGAGAAAAGGAGGCTCAGGGTAAACTTGATCACTCTGTAGAAATGAGGGTGTAGCCAGATGGAGATTGGTCTCTTCTCCCAGGTAAAAAGTGACAAGACAAGGAAACAGACTCAAGTTGCACTAGGGAAAGTTTAGATTGGATATTAGGAAAAATGTCATCACTGACGGGGTTGTCAATCACTGGAGCAGACTACCCAGGTAAGTTTCTGGAATTGTTTAAAAGATGTGAAGACCTGTTGCTTAGAGACATGGTTTGGTAGTACAGGCTTTAATAGTTGGACTTGATCTTAATGTTTTTGTCCAACCTTAATGATTCTATGATTTGATTTGGTATGTGTTTTATATAAATTGCTGGGGAGAAGGAGAGGAAAAATCTTGGTATATTTCTTATCCATGAAGTAGCATGCACTAAGCAGGATAGTTATTAGGTCCAAAATATTGTGATGATATCTTTTGCAAGCACATAGCTTGGAAGATGGCTGTTGCTGAGTGATTTTTAGATTGACTTAGTAGCCACAGTATGAATGTTGGTGGAGGTGGAAGGGATGTACAAAGATGATACTTTGTTATTGTGGAATAGTATGTTTTACTGCTTCAGCTCCAGCTTAGAGAAGAATAAGTGGATTAATTTCAAGTTGCAGATGCATGCAAAGGAATTATGGCTTCTCTTTTTCCTTTAAGATTCCTTCTTCTGCTGTGGAGATGCCTGGATCAGCAGACATAACAGGGTTAAATGTTCAGTTTGGAGCTCTTGAGTTTGGATCAGAGCCTACACTCCCAGAGTTTGGATCAACTTCAAGCAGTGAGAATACCAACCAGGCGACCAACAATAGCTTATATTCAAAATCTGTAAAGTATGTGTGAGTTGCCCTCCTGCATTCTCAGGTGTTCTTGTAGGGGGTCAAGTTTGTGCCAGAAACATCATGACAGGGTTACAATGTAATGAAAGGAGAAAATATGATAACTTGTTTTCTGTGGACGGTATCTTAAATGATAAATTTCTACTCTAATGATAATCAAAATTTCCCTGGGTTGGTATATGTGAGGCTGGAGATGACTTGAACATAAATAACCTTTCAATAAGCTATCCTTTATAGAATTTTTCTCATGTTAAATTGCCCTGATTTTCACGTGTTTTGGGGGTTTGTTCCTCACTACTCATGCTGTTCTCCATCTGATCCAGCAGAGTTGATCTTTGTACTATATTAGTACAAAGTATTACTTTATTAGTTAGTAGACCGGCAGCAGGTTACAGATCTGATGCTCCTACAGGATAAAAAAATGAGAAAAGAGGCTAGGCTTTTTGTATGCAGAAGCTCTCACTGAAATGCTACAACAGCCATGTTGAGTGCCAGTGTTCCAGTAAACCATTTTTAATTCCTTACTCATTGAAAAATTGGCATCAATAAAAAGCTTCCTGAAATTAATTCAGAAATATTTATAAAAATGAACTTTCACATAACTTCTAGTTTTATGTATGATATTTAAACTAAGTGGACAATACAATATTCCTCCATGTTTTAAAGTATTTTTTAGCTCTTTGCATAATTAATTCTGTAACATTAGAATTCTATTCTTATTGTTGTTATTCATTATATACCAGACTTTATAAATTCTGCTTGTTTAAAAAAGAAAGATTATGATCATTAATTTATCCTTGGAAAAGGTGAAAATAACATGACGGAAAAGTGCTTGCCTTGTTTGGGCTGGATCGAGGAAGGTGAATGGTGCTTAGTGCAACTGATGTTTTGAAGCAGTGATTAGTGACAACCAAAGCAATATTACCATTTTTTTTTGCATTCTTAGATTTTCTAATATAAATAGTGTAGATTTTTCTGTATGTTTAGGGTAGTTCTAGATAGCTATATAGAAGCTGATATTTTCATGAAAGTATTTGAAATACTTACCAAGATGATAAATAATTCTTTTTTTCCAGTGATCCTTTGAATACCTCTTTGCCAATATCCAATACAGCACAGGACTCCACCTACACAACCTCTGCCATCAGCTCTTCCAGTCTGACTTGCTCATCCCAGAACACTAGCCCAGTAACAGCTTCCTCCTATGACCAGACTTCTGTGCATAGCAGGATAGCGTACCAAAGCTCCATGGCTCCATCTGAACCAACCCCTGTTGCAGTTACGGTGAGCTCATTGCAGAAACAGGACCTAAGAATACTTTTACCTGTGTTAGATTTGTATTCCCCTGATACATTAATGCTGTAACCAAGCCAAGTGGTATTTTTGATTCCCAAGCCTACCCTCTTACTTGTTTTTGCTTTTCCTGCTGTGTAGTTATTTTTGCTAATACTGTATTTGGGATATAAGAGCATCTGATTTTGTGGGTGTTGACATCTTAAATTGTGTTTTGACCTTTTTATAGTAACATTTAAAATTCTACTCGAGTTTCCTTCTCTCAAGCAAAGAACTGTCTCTATATGTAAATATTAGTTATGGTATTTTGCCATAGCTAGTAACTTGACAGTTCCTATACAAATGTATTTTATTTACTAAATTTACATGGCACCTAGCAAATGAATCCAAATTTTTTCTTGGCCCCTCCAGTATTACTTTTCTGTTGTATTTAAACAGCAGGGGGAATTAGTTTCATGTGTTATTTTGATAAGCATAAGAAGAGGTCTAATATAGGACAAGGAATCTCTTGGGCGATTCAGACACACCTGCTGTCTTGGTATATGGAATGTAGGTTTATTTTCAAAGAGCTGAGTTTATTGAATGTTTTAGGAACTTGTGAGAGTTTGTAAGTTTATTTACTTCTGGCCTTTGTTATGTGTTGGCTCAGTCACACTTGTCTTCTGCACTAGCTCGTATGTACTGGTGAGGATCAAGCATAGACTATCCACTTCTGTACTCCAGCGTTATCCAAAAAACAACTGGTGCTTCTCAAGTCTTATCTTTCAATGGAAAAAAATTGGCGTCTCTGTGTAACTTGGATAGTTAAAATTGTGAGTTGCATTAGATCAAAAGCACAACCATTTTCTATATGTTAATGCAATTCCTTCTTTCATATTGGTGTGAACCTGAAATTTATGTTATATACAGTACATGGGAAGGTTTGCTGCTGATGGGTGTATTATGGGCAGTGTATGGGTTTCTCTATGTTAGGACACCTTGCACTTGAGACAACTTTATGATGTAGTTTTTCTTAAGGCAGTAAAAATTTAATTTTCTGTCTTGTTCAATTTAGTATGAATATAGAATTTTGCATGAAGCATGTTCAATGTGTGATTCAGTCTGAGCATTTAATATACCTCTAAGACGATTTATTAATTCATTTCTTCTTTTTTTACAGAATGGGCACAGTGGTGTTAGGACACAGGCAACACTTGACAGTAAGTTTTCAAAGCTTGGTTGAGCACAGGACTTTCTGTTTGTTCCTTGCTACTTGCTGTGCACACAAGCATATCAGTGACACCGGGTTTAAGGTTTTATATTGTTCTCCATGACTAATTTATGGGCTGACCAATTTGACTTTATTTGTGCTTGCTAAAATGCTGCTTGCTTCTTGTTTACAATTGAAATATGAAGGCAGGTCTATTAAATCTACAAACCTAAACAACCTTAGGATTAGAGGAGCTGTTTTGCTGTTGGTTTTCCTTTTGAATTTACCTGTCAGAAATCATTTAATATAAAATAAAAAATACAAAATTAGAAATAAATATGAAATTTTTTAGCAGTTCTTCCAGTTCTGAGCTGGGAAGCTGCAAATAGCATTTAGCTGTAGTGAAATGAAGTCACATTCTTTGAGTACACCTCTCACTAGGTATAGTTCTATCTTTGCCCTGTTAGAAGCCTGTGGGGAATAAAGATGAGAAACACATTCCCTCTTCTGAGTTTCTTAATACCTTGTAAACAATACTTCAGTATTGACTCTGGTATAAGTGTTATTTCTTCATCTTGGCCTGTTTGTAATGTAGCATGGACCTGTACCAGGCCTGCAACTCTCCCTGGAGTTAAAATAATTAAAGTATAGTATTCACTCTTCTGATCTTTGCGCTGCGCAATGGAAGTTTTCAAGGACAGTGGTGTGAATTAAAATCTTTTGGAATTCCAACACATCAATTTTAGGTCTAACCTCCTCTTAAACATCTCTTCAGGTAGACCATTAGTGGGTCAATATTTTGTTAATGCCAAGTTGAATTTAAAGGAGCTGGAGTGTACACACTTCAAGTATACAAAGACAGCTTTTCAACAGAAGAACTCTTCTAGTGTTGTGTACAGAGTTAATAAACAAGTTATGAAATTCACTACAGAATCTGTCCTTTTTTTCTACAGAAAACAAAGATCTGAGTATTCCTAATACTTTTGTATTCTGTAGTGGCTTTACTAGTCTCTTTTCCTATACCAGTTCTCCTTTGAGAGCATTTCTGTTTTCTTCTTCCATCAAGTCTATTTCATGCATCCAAATGATTTTGAATTTGTCTTGACTTTTATAAGTACTTTCTCCCTTCCGTATGTATTATAGTGTTTTCAGTTGTGCATCTCTCTTCTTTGCTGTTCTTCTTTAATATCCAGATCTCAAGCTTCCTAAATCTTTATTTCAAAGTACAACTGATGTGTTTTACTCCTGACCATCGTACTCCTGTTTTTTTTCGTGTTGCACATTGCATTCAGGCATCTTGTAGGCGATCTTAAGATGGTGAATCTGTCCCTTGTGTTGAGGACGTCTACTTCTACTTCAAGATGGGAATCCTGCTCTTAATATACTGGGAGTTTTAAATATTATTTACTCCTTTTTTATATGAGTTTTACCAGGAGTTACTAGGTGATATAGTTGCTGCCTTCATAACCATGTTTGTCACTTGGATTTCCTTCTCTTAGAGGCCATACTTATTGCCAAGGCCAGGACCTTTTAATTCCTGTTTACATTGCAACCCAACAACCTGACTTTGGTCATTTAGCTAGGAAATCAAATCCATAAAGTGAACAAACTCTAATATATAACTTCCAAGTGTGTATTTGATTTTTGTTTGATGACCAATCTAAAAGTGTCTTCACATACATTACAAGTTAGTGATAATCCACTAGGTAGTGAACCCTGGTGTGGTGTGGAACATAGCCCAGCAGAAGGTAGGGCTCAACTCTTTTCTGAGATTTATTGGTGAGTGAGTGTCTCTAATTCTTTGTTATTTTTTGTAGGAGTAGAAATAAGTGAAACAGGTGGGAATCATGTTGGGCAATAGGATTTTTAGGCATCTTATCACAGTATAGTGATCCTATAAACAAGTTTTTTTCTGTGTACCTAAAAATGTAAGATAAAACCTAACACTTTTTAGCACCTAAGTAAAGTGAGTCAATATTTGACAGCTCCTTAGCCATAAAAAATGCTTAATGTATGCTCAATTCTGGCCTTTCATTGTAGCTTTTTTCATTCTGTTGCAGTACACTTTTAACTGACTATACCGAAGTGATAAGTTATCTACCCGTGTACTCCAGCAATCTCAGTCTCCATTTCCAAGGGTGCTGCGTAGGTCTGAATGAAGAAACAGAGCTGTAGGTGAAACTAGATTTTTAGAGTGCCTTGAAAAGGCAGAAATTACTTGTGTTTGCTGAACCAAAAGCAAGAAATTTTGGATTGACGTGTGGATAGATAGTGGCAAGCGAAGTGCAGAAGACAGTTGTTTATTACATGTGTAGAATGATAATTGTACATTTATTATAAGTAGAGAGCTTAAAGGGGAAGAATGGTAGTTCCGTTGTATTTGAATTTTCCTTCATAGCCAAATTGCTTGATATGGTTATCAGTTCTTAATGGTCAGATTATTGCAGACCAAGGGGAGAATGCTACTCTGTTCCTGCCACCTAGTCTGGGATGTCAGGTATGCTGGAATTTTAATTTGAATGTCTCTTTTTAACTTGTTGCAGCTATTTCATCAGTTGCAGCACCTAAGACAGAGTCTTCTCCCTCCCTACCTTCAGCTGGTTCTCTGCCCAGTGTGGTGTCTACCACGGCCTCACTTCTGCCTTCAGCATCACAGCACATGGCAGCATTGCCCACCTTGCCTCAGTCCAGTGATCTGGCCAGCAGTTCACTCTCCCAGCTGAGCAGGTACAGTAAAGTTGTGGTAAACTGAGTGGGTTAGTTTTGAGGATAGGACAGGTCTAAGAGTGTTTCCATATAGGGCTGGAACGCACCAGGGGTCCCTTTTCTGATGTGAACCACAATTAGGAGGGAGATTCAGAGGACAACAGAAGGCAGCTCTGGGCTGCCTTCTAATGGCAGAGCAGCTGCTGCTCTCATGATACATATACAACTTTGTGTTTCAAGAGGTTTGCTTCAATCATGCCAGCTAAATCAGCTAAATTGAGTCCCCCAGTTTATTTTTCCTACTTTGTGCCTGCTGTTTTTGATCAGTGTTATATGTTTGAAACTATTCTTTAACAATTTACTACATGGCAAATTTGAAATAGCGTAGTCTCATTTGTATTTGTATTTCTTAAAATTAAAACCCAGAAACAATTTCACAGGGAAACTGTGTGTATTCTCTTTTTCTAAGATATTTCCTTAAGATATTTGAAAATAACAGTTGGATATTCCTGGAAGTGCATCTAGCACAATTCAGCTCTTTTGCACTGTCTCTCTGTTTTTCTGAATGCCTGTTACATCGTCAGTCAGGTTGATGTGTTAGGATTTTAGCTTTTACATTTTTCATTTATTTGTAATCCTGCAATTCTTTAATGTATTGCCTCTAAACTCCATATAGAGTGTTAGCTACACAGTGTCTTCACATTTTGGTTTGACAAAATAATTCCTCTTTAGGTCTGGGACTCAAGGACACCTTACTATCTCAGGCCCTGGAAAGTATAAACAAAAGTGAGATGGTGGGGAGCAATCTTGGGGTAAATGAATTAATTACCTGAAGCTGTAATTGAAACATTAACTGCCAGTATGCAAATTGACCAAACTTCATAGTGTGAAAACTCGTGACTGGTCATCCATGTCTGGGTGTAGTCCTTGGGGAGGCTTCATATGCTCTTAAGGTACCTGAAGGCCCTCCAATAAATATATTCACTTTTTAGTCTCTTAATTTTGTCTGGCCTCTGGTTTTAAGGAAGCCTGAAAAAGGCATCAGGATGACAATCCTGAAGCTTCATTGATTGAGTTACAGTTTTGATGTTTACCTTTGTACTGTATTTGTTAATACAATAAACTTATCTGGGATATTAGGGAGTTTTTTTCCTGTTTAACAACTAGGACATAGTTTATTTTCTTTTAACACTCTATTTTTTGTTGAATAAAATAGTAAATATGTTGAGCAAGAACTATTCCCTTTACATTGGTCACGTTTCCCCTGGTTTGTTGAAAAGCTGTGTAAACTGATGGAAATTTCAGCTGGAGGGCAAGGCTGTTGGACAGATACAAAGTTTCAGCCATCATCAGGATACCTGAAATCCAAATATGTCCAACTTGGTAGAGCTGATGGCTGTCGTCTGTGTCTCTACCATAGGTCAGATGGTGAATTAAGACTTATCAAAAGAGCTGGGGAGAGTGATAAGGGAGTGGTATAAAACTTAAGTTTCCTTTGCTGCCTGAAGTGATGTGGTTCCAGTTCCTGAAGAAAGGGGACAATTTTGAAAGTTGATCTATGAAACTGTGAAAGTTTATTCTGAGCCCATGCCTTGAAGAGCTACCAGAAGCGTTTGCCTTTAAATTAGGTCATGTAATGAAGCTGTCAGCTTTGGTATGAAAACTGTGTTTTCTTGTGGCTATTTCCGTAGACAGCACTAAACTAATTTTGTTGTTAGGATCTCTCCTGCTTCTTATTTAATAAGGAGGGGGTTTTTTTGAGCACCAATCTATACAGGTGTTGTATATCTTCATTTTGGTTACCTTTGTTCTATGTCGGTTCAGTTTGTTGCATACCCTATACAGTAGGTTACATTCTTCACCTCGAATATAAGGTATAACTTGTCTTTTTAAATGTTCAAATGCCAGTTTTAGTCACCTTTCAGGGAGGGATTTAAAGGTCTCTGGATGAATTATGAGACAAGTACCTTGCAGTTGTAATTGTTTGAGTTAATGTTATGCAACTCAAAATGTGAGAAACAGCACAGTGAGTCAAACCAAAGTACTGCCTCACTTAAAATCAGTCCCCCATGGTATGCAGCAGCAGAGAAAGAATGAGAAGCCAGGCTTGCGCTTGTGTGAACCTTGTTTTGATTTTGGACTTCATGTGTCATGGAATCATTGCTATTTGATTCCTAAAGCAACTATAGTTTTTCTAAAGATACAGTAAATTGAAAAATATAAACAAATGGAGTGTTAGATGTTTCTTCTTAATAATAATGACCCTGTGCTTGATTTTTTTCATTGAAAAGTAGTAGGCTACTAATTAAAGGAAAAAGTGCCTGTAGAGGTGTCTGTATTTATACAGACACATATACATGCACATATACATGTAAGAGTGTGTGTATGTGTACATATGTATGTGTATGTATACACACACTCTTACATGTAATTTTTTCTTTAACTACACTGTTACTGTAGGTGTGTACACACGCCTAGAATTTTAATTCTTCAACTAATGCTCTACTGCATATCTGTATTTGTTAAAAAGGGAAAATTAATTTTATAAATTCTTTACAATTTCCTTCCAGCTCCCTTCCCAATCATCAGACCAGCCTCTCTCCTGCCTCAGTGTTGTCTTCAGGCACATCACATGTGGTACGTCTTGTTAGTATTGAAACAAGTGCTTGGCAAATAGTCAATTTATCTCATAATTAGGACCATCTCTTAAAGTTGGATGTGTCTCAGTACCCCAAGAGCCAAAAGAAGAGCTTTACCTCGGGGAAGAAGGACTGTCAGCCCTCTTGTGGGGGAAAGGCGATTACCACTTGTGATTTGTGCTAGATCAGGAATAGCTATGACAGAGACTTGCCAGGTACACAGCTGAGGGAAATTGTCGTGCCAGCTAGAGAGGATGAAATAAAAAAAAAGCTGCTTACAACTAATTTATTACAAAACAAAACAAAAACAAACTTCAAAGTGGCAATCTGAAATGTCTCCAAAATGTGGACTGTTAGCAGTCTGCACTGGAGAGGTTAGCTGACAAAATGCAGGTGATGGAATGTTATATGTTACATTTGAGTTACTGTATTATAATTTTGTGGTGGTACAGCAGTTTGAGTTTAGCTCTCATACAATAATTTTCCTTAAATTACAAAAGCATTATAAGCATGCAACTTAGTTGCTTGCTTGGTACATGGATAATGCGTATCTTTTGCATGTGCTGCTGTTACTTTAGAAGTTTTTGGGTTTTGGGTTTTTTTTTCCCCTTTTCCCCATCATCTTCCACTGTGGTTTATTTGCTCTGTGATCCTCATTCTTTTTGTCTCTTTTTCTAGCACACTAGTATTGAAAACACAACTTCTCTCCAGCCTTCAACAACCTTTTCAACTGCTTCAACCTCAGCCACTAGCACCACCTCCTCCGTTGTCAGCATGACAAGCAGTATGAACACTACAAACAGCCTTGGCCTGAGTGTTACCAGTGTGTCTATACCAGCTGCTACCACACGGGCAGCTCCCTTAATGTCTTCAGGTTGGCAATATCAACAGGTCACGTGGATAGACAGAGGATTTCAGTCAGCAGGGCTGTCAGTTGAGCATCTGACCCTCCATAACAACACTTAAGAAGTCCACACTCTTCACTGGCGTTTCCAGCATGCTTTATTTGCTGGCTTATGAAATAAAGTTTCCTGATTTTATGTATTTGAAATATTTGTTAGGGTGTTATGTGGCATTTTTATAGCATATTCCATCCCCAAAGAGCTTTATAAATACACACCAGAGCAGTTCCGGCTTGGGAAGTTTTGGGCTAGAAAATTCGCCCAGTTTGTGTTCCGAGCTGTGATTAGCTCCTGACTATGAGTTCACATAGGCTATAGTTTCAGGCTGCTCTGTGACTTGAATTAATTTGGCACTATCAAAATATACTGTAGTGGCCTCATTATCATGTGTCACATCCCTACTGCCACTTCCACAGAAAGGAAAGAAATGTCTGGGTCATTGCACAGAAAATAGCACTTCAGAAGGAGGGTCCATGGAGAAGGAGGGCTGGGAGGCTTCTTGCACTAAAGTTAAAGTGATGCTAAATTCTTTCTTCTCTGATGATCCTGAACTGCTGAAAGGAAATCTTATAGAGAGAAGTGAGTGACGTATTGCTAAGGATTAGACTTAGTTGCAGAAGTGTTCCTCATTTATATAGCTTGTAAATGAAGTGTCTTGTGACTGGCCAAAATGCATTGTTCTACTGTTCTGCTTCCTAGCACTGCTTCATGAAGGCAGCTGAAACCATTTCAGTCTTCTCTTTACTATTCCTAGTTGTAGTAAGTCACCACAGAAAGCATGGTGGCAACATTTAGTGCTTTCCAGTCTATTGCTGGTGATAAAGGGAATGCATTGACCAAGCAGGAAATGAAAGGAGAGAATTATCTCTCTCAGATTGAGAGCAATTTCTAAATTTGCCTTCAGGAAAGGACTGAGCAAAACTGAAGTTTTGTAATCTTGTAAGCCTTGTACTCAGGTAATGCTTGTAATCTTCTTGGGCAAAGTAAATGACATATTCAGGCTATTCTGTGATAGTACTGTTTTCACGAGAAAGTAGCCCATGCTTTCCCTCCCTTGAAACATGGTTAAACTCTTCAGGCTAGTTTGAGCACCTTCATCAAACAGCATAAAATCTCCTCTTTATAATCTTAAGATGGTGCAGCTGCCACAGTTTATGAGCTATCTTATCTCAATGCTGAAGCCTTTTCTAAAGGCTTGTTAAAGTGTCTATATTTTGATTCTACAGGCAAAGCACCCCCAAACCTGCCCCAAGGTGTACCACCCTTGTTGCATAACCAGTATATTGTGGGACCTGGAGGACTTCTGCCTGCCTACCCGGTAAGCAGTTTCATTGTTTCTCTTTGATTTCTTAGCCCTTGGCGCAAATGAGCCCTCCAGACCTGCTACTGTCTATGCCAAGTCATTTCTGGTGGCACATGTTACACCTGGAATTCTTGTTTCAAATACTAAGAACACCTGAAATATGTTCAGTAGAGGCTTACTGCTGATTGTAAACTCCAGAGATTCTGGTACAGACCTGTTCTGGCTACTGTTGAAGCTAAACATGGGTGTGGCTATGGTTTTCAGTGTTAACAGGTTTTAGGCCCTTTGAATAAATTTAGGTTGTTTTAGGTTTGTGTTACTGGAATGGATTTGCCATAGTAGTGACTCAAATGTGCCATGTGTCCTGTCTATCATGATTTGAAAGAGACTGCGCATAGCTTTTTGATGTCTGACCAACTTCAACGTATTTTTGGTTATCTGTTTTTTGAATCTGAACCTTTATATCAGTAACTTTTCTATATCAAACTGAATGTGAGGAGATACCCAGGAGGTTGTGTTGTGATCAAGTCATCAACTCTTTAACCTTAGTGCTCTTTGAAGTAATGATTACAGCAAAGAGGGCTGTTCTTACTGCCAAATCTGAATGCCCAGTAGATTTTTCGTAAGTTCAGGAATGATGTGTCTGTGAAAACTGTGCTGAAGATGAGACAGTCAAACTCTCCTCAGAGGACGTTGTCACCAGGAAACAACATCAGAGTGACAAACCTTTCTAACTTCAGTTCTACTCTCCTTGTAATGCTGCAGTGCCCCATGATAGCACAATGCGACATACGACTGTAGATCTTTAACACAGACTGGGCTTAAGTCAAATTCAGTTCAAAGCCCCAAACTGATCAGCATCAGAAAAAAGTGTTATAATGATGTTGTATTTTTATCTGTCTTTAAGCAGATTTATGGTTATGATGATCTCCAGATGCTTCAATCCAGACTGCCAATGGTAAGTAAATGACTTACTTAATTTTAAAGAAATTGTCTTCACTGTTGATCATTTATGCCACATAAATTGATCCATTTAACAGTGGTTAAGAGCTTTTACTTATATTCTCTATTCTTTCTTTTTAAATTTATACAAGGATTATGTAAATTGATACAGAGCAACTGTTGCATCATGCATTTGTCCAGCTGCAAAATCTCTAAATAGACACAAGTGTGCTCTGCTCATTTCTCCTGAGTAAGAAATGTCAAATTTTTGTAACAACATTATGACATTTTGTCTAATCTAGTTGAAGTCCTAAGTGTTTTCTTTTATCAAGAGGTAAGGCTGAACAGCAGTTACACAAGTTGGTAGCCAGTAGGTGTATCTGAGATTTTGGATGTTGTCAAGGTATAGATCTTTGCATATACATCATGGCAACAAATGCAGGTGAGCTGCAGGAGGGAGGGTGTACTAAGTTTCTTTCCTTATATGGATCCAGAATGCAAAAGGCATATGAGACAGTCTGAGCTTCCAGATAGGTGCAAAAAGGGCCTCAATCTAGACTGCAAAATGATAAAGAATTTTCCTATCAGATATGTAGGGTAAGGAACTTGGAGAGAAGGTTTGGTAGTAGATAGCTGAGAACAGTTACATACGACAGTGATGCGGTGTATCTGTAGAGGCAGAAATGGAGCAGTGAGCAGTGATCAGAGAAGACTAGATGAATGCCATAATGTAAGGCCCAAATAAGTACCAGGTATTCCATATAGAGCTTGGAGCAGTCAGGGTCAGATAGTTTAAAGGTGAGTACAGGGACGACTCAGACAAAGCCCTGTCAGACTGCAGACTGTGAATGTAAAAAAACTCCAAAGCTGAGCACATGAATAAAGACTTTTACTAGAGGAAATTGTGGTACTTGAGGAACTGTCAACTGAAATGCATGGAATTATCTTTATGGCAACAAGATGCAAAATATTTGAAGTTGCAGGGCCAGGAGGTACATATTGTAATGTCTTAACAATGGCTAGATGCCTGGTGACCACCAAGGTGCTCTATCACTCCCCACCTCATCTAGTCAAGGGAGAAAATAAATCCTAAAAGGCATGTGGGGTGAGGTAAGTACAGGGAGAAATTACATGCTGGTTGCAGTCATGGGCAAAGGAGACATGGGCAAAGGAGACATGGCTTGGGGAATTTAGTTTAACTCACTAGCAATCAAATCATGCAGTTGACAAGTAAATGATGGAATAAAACCAAATCTACAGAACACCTTCCCTTCACCTTTCATGTTTTCCTGGACTCAGTTTCATTTATAATTTTCTCTACCTTCATCTCCCAGGTGACATAGGAGGATGGGAAATGGGACTGCCTTCTTTGCCATGACACTTTTGTTCCTTCCTCCTCACGCTCTTACCTCTTCCTGATTTTGGTTCCATAGTCCTCCAAAACTTCAGCACAAGTCCTAAAATATTTTATGTTGAAAGAGGTAATCTGATTGCAAGCAACTCTGCCATAGGAAGGGAAACTTTCTCCTGGATCACATGGCACAAAACCCATCCAGTCTGGCCTTGAACACTTGCAGGGATGTGGTAATCTGGCTCACTCTAGGACACTTTCCAGTGCCTTGCAGCCCTCATAGAATGAATTTCTCCCTAATGCCTGATGCAAACATACTCTTTTGGTTTAGAAACATTCCCTGTAGACCATTGTCTGTCACTCCAAATGCTGTTCAAAATTGTTTGCTTCTTTTTCATAAGGTCTGGTGAAATGGTAAAAGGCCACAGCAAGGTCAGGCTGGAGCTTTCTCTTCTTCAGTATAAATAAAACCTGTAAACTATCATGATACCAGAAGTGATCTGATGCACCAATTATGTTTGTAGCCCTCTCGTGTAATGTCTCCATTAAGTCCATGACATCCCTGACAAGAGACTTTCAGATGGAAAAATTGGAAAGAGAGTTGGAATATACTGAGAAAACAAGGCCTCAAGACATAGGTATGACGATGACATCTACCACCAAGTGATGTTTCTCCAAAGAGTGGACAGAGGCTGTTTGGAGGAAGGCTTGTAGTAGGTTTTGAGTGAGGATGGCTTTGGCTGGCCCAGAGACTGGTTGCTGTGCTAGAGAGATGAGAGGCAGTGGCAAGTGTTTTGTCGTAGGTCTTTATTTTCAGTGGCATAAATAAGTGAATAAGTAGAAAAATAAATACGTGTATAAATAAACAAACAAACAAACAAACAAATAAATCAGTCTAGAAATAAGTGGAGAAAGTCCTTTGTCCGTATCACTGGGAGAGGCTGAATCAATGGGAGAGGGAGTGGTTGGGGGCTGCGGGTGCCGTGCGGTTGTTGCAGCCCTGTCTCTGGTCCCAGGTGAGAGGAGGCGTGGGGTTGGAGGTGGGTTTGGGTGGTAGGTGTGGGTTGGAGTGTGGGTGTTTGCGCTAGCGGCGCCTGGCACGTGTGAGGTTGTGGAGGTGCCGTAAAGAGGCTCGAGCTTCGAGGCGGACGTGGTCCCAGGCGCAGGCGCTGTGGTTGTGGGCGTGGAGGAAGAGGTGGATGTCCCTGAAGTACTTGTTGATGGTGAGCAGCGGGTTGCGTGGTCCTTTGAAGAGCAGGGCGTTGTCGGGGAGGCATTGCTCGAGGTGGTGGATGTGGTGCTGCAGTTTGTTGAGGAGGAGGTTGCGAGCGTGGCTGGGCCAGTGCTGGCGGGTGCTGTTGGAGCTGAGGGTGTGGAAGAGGTGCTGGAGGATGCGTAGGGCGGTGGCGGCGGCTTGGTGCGGGTGGAGGTTGGGGTGGAGGAGGGTGTCGGGGAAGAAGGGCGGCTCTTGGAGGTGGCAGGGCTGTGTGTGGCTGGGAGCCATGTCCTGGAGGAGGCGGAGTGCGTCGCCGGGGAAGGAGTCGTCGTGTGTCCAGAGGCGTTGGCAGGCGAGGCTGGTGGCCAGAGCGGTGAGGAGGAGCAGGAGCGGCGGTGCGGCGTGCGGCAGCCGTGGCTGTGTGGCTGTGGGCGCAGCCATGCTGGGTCTGTGGGTGCTGTCGGGTGGTGCTGAGCAGGAGGAGCCCGGTGACGCCCGGTGGTGGTGGTGGTGGTGCTGCTGCTGCTGCTGGTGGCTGTGTCTGGGGCGCTGCCGGGTGCGCGGCTTTGTACGGCGGCAGCTTTCCCTTCATCGCTTTCTGATTGCCGGGAGTTTCCGGCCGTGCTTTCCAGTCTGTGCTGGTGGCTGTGGTGGTCTTGGGCAGTGCCTTGTTGAGGTGGCCGTGGTTGGGGATTGTGGTGACAGCGGTGTGCCGGGGCAGAGTGGCAGTCATGGGTGAAAGGGGTTGTGAAAGCTCTGGGCCAGAGGCGCTGGGGTCAGGTGCGTTGGAGAGGGTGTTGGGTGTTCCTTTCACTTGCCGAGCCAGCTGCAAGGTCTGTGCTGTTCAGCTGAGTCTCTGTTTGTGCCCAAGCATCGTTTCCACTTGCAAAGCCCTGGTTTTGGTTGTGGTCACTTTTCCTTTCACTTTGAGGCTTGCCTTTAATTTCATCTTAGCCACTGTTTTCCTTTTGCGGTTGCAAGGGATGTGCGGTGATGTCAGTGGGTGAGGGCCGTCGTTTCCCCTCCTGCGGTAAACGCCCAGAGGCAGTGGCAGGGTTCAAGGGGCTGTCTGTGCATGTGGGCCTTGGAGGCCTGAGTGTGTCCTTGCAAGGAGGCACTGCACCTGCTGTGTTTGGGAGGAGCGAGCCACAAGGCAGGCAAGAAAGGCTGAGTGAAGAAGTCGCGGAAAGGGAAAGCTTTGGCTGTTACTGTCGTTCTTGGTGCCATGGCTGTGGCCCCAGAGCATCGATCTGCTTTTGAGATCCGTGCCTCAGTGGCTGAGGCGGCCAGAGGTCAAAGGAGGACATTCCCCCATGAAAGAAATGGGGTTGCGCTTTGGGACTGCTGGAGCCCTTGCCTGGAACAGCGTGTCCTGTTCAGGGCTCTTTAGTCCATGAGAGGTGTGGCGTCGTTGGAGGTGATGGCTCTGAAAATGCACGGGGGTCCAGAGGACGTGACCTGTGAGAAAGGCTGAGGGAGCTTGGCTTCTTTGGCTGGAGTATTGTAGGTTTGCCAGTAGTTTCAGATGCCTTTCCAAAAATGCACAGAATCTGCGGCAAGGTGAAGAGGTATTTGGGGTGTGCACAGACTTGCAAGGGGATGATCACTCTGGCCTCGTGGAGAAATGGTGGGATTGTTGCTTGGAGCGGATCGTGGGATTTGAAAGTTGTAGGCCTTTGGGGGACAGAGAATTTGGAGGCAAGCGGGTGTTTGTCACCTTGTGTGTCAGTGATCTCCAGGCAGGCTGCCGAAGTCACACAAGGCAAATGCTGGGAGCCCTCCCGGAAAATCCCTGTAGATCCCCAGGCCAGTGTAGGAGAGGGTCAAGTTTGAGACCATCTTAGCAACCTGAATGTGCACAAGTCCATGGGACCTGAAGAGGCTAATGCGTGAGCCCTGAGGGAACTGTCAGATGGAGTTGCTGGGCCGCAGTGCCTTGTTTTTGAAATCCGGTTTCCGTCAGTTGAAGTTCCCGGAAAGTGGTAGAAGGGAGGTATAAGCCCCGTTTCTGTAAGGGGAAAAGCAGAAGAGTGTGGGAACTACAGAGCAGTCTGGCTGAGCACAGTGTCAGGCAAGAAGATGAGGCTGTTGTGCTTGGTCACAAGACTCGGCTAAGGCCTATGGAAAACCAAGAGGTGATCGGTAATGGGGAGCATGGCATTCCAATTGCGTAATCGCCATTCCTGTTGATTTTTTGTGATGTTGTATGCTTACGGCTACAGAGCAGCGGTGGATAGGGGCAGAGCAAGTGAGCTTGTGTGCCTGGGCTTGAGCAAAGTGCTGGGCCGTGTCCTGCATCCTTGTCTGTGAGTCAGAGAGGCATGGATTGGATGGATGGAGCACGATGGGGGTAAAGCAGATGAGGTGCAGCGGTGCTGTCCAGCCTTTGCGTGTTTTTCTTTTTGGGACTCTGTGGTGGTGGCCTGCCGCTGGCAGTGTTTTTCCAAAGGGTTTGCTACAGCGTCTTGCTTGGTCGGGTGCCATTGAGAAGAGTGGACAGAGGCTGTTTGGAGGAAGGCTTGTAGTAGGTTTTGAGTGAGGATGGCTTTGGCTGGCCCAGAGACTGGTTGCTGTGCTAGAGAGATGAGAGGCAGTGGCAAGTGTTTTGTCGTAGGTCTTTATTTTCAGTGGCATAAATAAGTGAATAAGTAGAAAAATAAATACGTGTATAAATAAACAAACAAACAAACAAACAAATAAATCAGTCTAGAAATAAGTGGAGAAAGTCCTTTGTCCGTATCACTGGGAGAGGCTGAATCAATGGGAGAGGGAGTGGTTGGGGGCTGCGGGTGCCGTGCGGTTGTTGCAGCCCTGTCTCTGGTCCCAGGTGAGAGGAGGCGTGGGGTTGGAGGTGGGTTTGGGTGGTAGGTGTGGGTTGGAGTGTGGGTGTTTGCGCTAGCGGCGCCTGGCACGTGTGAGGTTGTGGAGGTGCCGTAAAGAGGCTCGAGCTTCGAGGCGGACGTGGTCCCAGGCGCAGGCGCTGTGGTTGTGGGCGTGGAGGAAGAGGTGGATGTCCCTGAAGTACTTGTTGATGGTGAGCAGCGGGTTGCGTGGTCCTTTGAAGAGCAGGGCGTTGTCGGGGAGGCATTGCTCGAGGTGGTGGATGTGGTGCTGCAGTTTGTTGAGGAGGAGGTTGCGAGCGTGGCTGGGCCAGTGCTGGCGGGTGCTGTTGGAGCTGAGGGTGTGGAAGAGGTGCTGGAGGATGCGTAGGGCGGTGGCGGCGGCTTGGTGCGGGTGGAGGTTGGGGTGGAGGAGGGTGTCGGGGAAGAAGGGCGACTCTTGGAGGTGGCAGGGCTGTGTGTGGCTGGGAGCCATGTCCTGGAGGAGGCGGAGTGCGTCGCCGGGGAAGGAGTCGTCGTGTGTCCAGAGGCGTTGGCAGGCGAGGCTGGTGGCCAGAGCGGTGAGGAGGAGCAGGAGCGGTGGTGCGGCGTGCGGCAGCCGTGGCTGTGTGGCTGTGGGCGCAGCCATGCTGGGTCTGTGGGTGCTGTCGGGTGGTGCTGAGCAGGAGGAGCCCGGTGACGCCCGGTGGTGGTGGTGGTGGTGGTGGTGCTGCTGCTGCTGCTGGTGGCTGTGTCTGGGGCGCTGCCGGGTGCGCGGCTTTGTACGGCGGCAGCTTTCCCTTCATCGCTTTCTGATTGCCGGGAGTTTCCGGCCGTGCTTTCCAGTCTGTGCTGGTGGCTGTGGTGGTCTTGGGCAGTGCCTTGTTGAGGTGGCCGTGGTTGGGGATTGTGGTGACAGCGGTGTGCCGGGGCAGAGTGGCAGTCATGGGTGAAAGGGGTTGTGAAAGCTCTGGGCCAGAGGCGCTGGGGTCAGGTGCGTTGGAGAGGGTGTTGGGTGTTCCTTTCACTTGCCGAGCCAGCTGCAAGGTCTGTGCTGTTCAGCTGAGTCTCTGTTTGTGCCCAAGCATCGTTTCCACTTGCAAAGCCCTGGTTTTGGTTGTGGTCACTTTTCCTTTCACTTTGAGGCTTGCCTTTAATTTCATCTTAGCCACTGTTTTCCTTTTGCGGTTGCAAGGGATGTGCGGTGATGTCAGTGGGTGAGGGCCGTCGTTTCCCCTCCTGCGGTAAACGCCCAGAGGCAGTGGCAGGGTTCAAGGGGCTGTCTGTGCATGTGGGCCTTGGAGGCCTGAGTGTGTCCTTGCAAGGAGGCACTGCACCTGCTGTGTTTGGGAGGAGCGAGCCACAAGGCAGGCAAGAAAGGCTGAGTGAAGAAGTCGCGGAAAGGGAAAGCTTTGGCTGTTACTGTCGTTCTTGGTGCCATGGCTGTGGCCCCAGAGCATCGATCTGCTTTTGAGATCCGTGCCTCAGTGGCTGAGGCGGCCAGAGGTCAAAGGAGGACATTCCCCCATGAAAGAAATGGGGTTGCGCTTTGGGACTGCTGGAGCCCTTGCCTGGAACAGCGTGTCCTGTTCAGGGCTCTTTAGTCCATGAGAGGTGTGGCGTCGTTGGAGGTGATGGCTCTGAAAATGCACGGGGGTCCAGAGGACGTGACCTGTGAGAAAGGCTGAGGGAGCTTGGCTTCTTTGGCTGGAGTATTGTAGGTTTGCCAGTAGTTTCAGATGCCTTTCCAAAAATGCACAGAATCTGCGGCAAGGTGAAGAGGTATTTGGGGTGTGCACAGACTTGCAAGGGGATGATCACTCTGGCCTCGTGGAGAAATGGTGGGATTGTTGCTTGGAGCGGATCGTGGGATTTGAAAGTTGTAGGCCTTTGGGGGACAGAGAATTTGGAGGCAAGCGGGTGTTTGTCACCTTGTGTGTCAGTGATCTCCAGGCAGGCTGCCGAAGTCACACAAGGCAAATGCTGGGAGCCCTCCCGGAAAATCCCTGTAGATCCCCAGGCCAGTGTAGGAGAGGGTCAAGTTTGAGACCATCTTAGCAACCTGAATGTGCACAAGTCCATGGGACCTGAAGAGGCTAATGCGTGAGCCCTGAGGGAACTGTCAGATGGAGTTGCTGGGCCGCAGTGCCTTGTTTTTGAAATCCGGTTTCCGTCAGTTGAAGTTCCCGGAAAGTGGTAGAAGGGAGGTATAAGCCCCGTTTCTGTAAGGGGAAAAGCAGAAGAGTGTGGGAACTACAGAGCAGTCTGGCTGAGCACAGTGTCAGGCAAGAAGATGAGGCTGTTGTGCTTGGTCACAAGACTCGGCTAAGGCCTATGGAAAACCAAGAGGTGATCAGTAATGGGGAGCATGGCATTCCAATTGCGTAATCGCCATTCCTGTTGATTTTTTGTGATGTTGTATGCTTACGGCTACAGAGCAGCGGTGGATAGGGGCAGAGCAAGTGAGCTTGTGTGCCTGGGCTTGAGCAAAGTGCTGGGCCGTGTCCTGCATCCTTGTCTGTGAGTCAGAGAGGCATGGATTGGATGGATGGAGCACGATGGGGGTAAAGCAGATGAGGTGCAGCGGTGCTGTCCAGCCTTTGCGTGTTTTTCTTTTTGGGACTCTGTGGTGGTGGCCTGCCGCTGGCAGTGTTTTTCCAAAGGGTTTGCTACAGCGTCTTGCTTGGTCGGGTGCCATTGAGAAGAGTGGACAGAGGCTGTTTGGAGGAAGGCTTGTAGTAGGTTTTGAGTGAGGATGGCTTTGGCTGGCCCAGAGACTGGTTGCTGTGCTAGAGAGATGAGAGGCAGTGGCAAGTGTTTTGTCGTAGGTCTTTATTTTCAGTGGCATAAATAAGTGAATAAGTAGAAAAATAAATACGTGTATAAATAAACAAACAAACAAACAAACAAATAAATCAGTCTAGAAATAAGTGGAGAAAGTCCTTTGTCCGTATCACTGGGAGAGGCTGAATCAATGGGAGAGGGAGTGGTTGGGGGCTGCGGGTGCCGTGCGGTTGTTGCAGCCCTGTCTCTGGTCCCAGGTGAGAGGAGGCGTGGGGTTGGAGGTGGGTTTGGGTGGTAGGTGTGGGTTGGAGTGTGGGTGTTTGCGCTAGCGGCGCCTGGCACGTGTGAGGTTGTGGAGGTGCCGTAAAGAGGCTCGAGCTTCGAGGCGGACGTGGTCCCAGGCGCAGGCGCTGTGGTTGTGGGCGTGGAGGAAGAGGTGGATGTCCCTGAAGTACTTGTTGATGGTGAGCAGCGGGTTGCGTGGTCCTTTGAAGAGCAGGGCGTTGTCGGGGAGGCATTGCTCGAGGTGGTGGATGTGGTGCTGCAGTTTGTTGAGGAGGAGGTTGCGAGCGTGGCTGGGCCAGTGCTGGCGGGTGCTGTTGGAGCTGAGGGTGTGGAAGAGGTGCTGGAGGATGCGTAGGGCGGTGGCGGCGGCTTGGTGCGGGTGGAGGTTGGGGTGGAGGAGGGTGTCGGGGAAGAAGGGCGACTCTTGGAGGTGGCAGGGCTGTGTGTGGCTGGGAGCCATGTCCTGGAGGAGGCGGAGTGCGTCGCCGGGGAAGGAGTCGTCGTGTGTCCAGAGGCGTTGGCAGGCGAGGCTGGTGGCCAGAGCGGTGAGGAGGAGCAGGAGCGGCGGTGCGGCGTGCGGCAGCCGTGGCTGTGTGGCTGTGGGCGCAGCCATGCTGGGTCTGTGGGTGCTGTCGGGTGGTGCTGAGCAGGAGGAGCCCGGTGACGCCCGGTGGTGGTGGTGGTGGTGGTGGTGCTGCTGCTGCTGCTGGTGGCTGTGTCTGGGGCGCTGCCGGGTGCGCGGCTTTGTACGGCGGCAGCTTTCCCTTCATCGCTTTCTGATTGCCGGGAGTTTCCGGCCGTGCTTTCCAGTCTGTGCTGGTGGCTGTGGTGGTCTTGGGCAGTGTTTTCTTGGGTTAAGTGTGGCTGTGGTTGATGTTGTTAATGCTCTTTTTGTCTTTAGACGTTGTCTTTTGCCTGGTGGTTGTGGTGTAGTGGAACCCTACGTTTCCTCCACGTCATGTATTTGCAATGATGTGGTGTGTTTCTTGTGATTTTCCTTTCTCTCTGTGGTCATCTCTTATTCTTCATGGTTTTTTCTGAGTTTCTTTTATTGCCCTTTACAGGACACTGCATCAATTGTTGTTTCGTATCTTGGGCTTTTCCCTTTTTTCGAAAGGTATGTCTGATGTTGGGTAAGGGCAGGAACGGAGTTTTTCAATTTGAAGAGTGCTGAAATCAATCTCGCTGAACTCTTCTAAAGTTTAATATTGTGAAGATTTTTAAAGTAGTGTTTTCTTACTGATTATTGCTCTTGTCAATATGTGTCAACTTGGTTCCTAGTGTTGAAAAAGGAAGTAGTGGTACTTGTAAATATCTAGTAACTAACTCGTAAATTTCTGTTAAGTTGCCGAGCTCTTTGACCTCTTCCAGCTTTTAATGCATTTGAGTCAATAATTTTTTTCTGTAAATTCTAGTTGCAGACCTTTACTGCTGGGGTATTCAGCACAAACCTTCTATTAGTCTGCCTGGAAACTTGTCCCTTGAGTGGGGGCACACCTCTAGGTTATTGCTTGAGGTAAAACAATAGTAATTGGATTAATTACATATTTCTCTAGTTTGTTATTAATCTGTCTTTTGAAGGATTGTTGTAGTGGAGCACTGTAAAAGTAGTTACAACTGTCTGTAATGTATCATAGATAATTCTGATCAAAATTATTTGAGTATTGTCATGATTAATTTTAATTATTTGTTTTTCCCATATTTCCCATATATTTCCTTTTTAAATGTGTAAACAAATATTTCCCTAATCTTGCAGGACAAATTTGTATAAAAGGTCAATTACACATATATAATTCTTTTGAGATGAACCATTTACCTACTGTGGGACTAGGAGTGTAGTAAGCTGCCTCCAGACTTCTTTGAGAAGGAGTTTAGCAAGCAAGGAGGTATTTTCTGAACCTTAGTGGGAAGCCTTCTCTGATAAATGTTGTCCAAAGCTTCCATTCTGCCTGGGACACTTCCCAAGTATTTTTGTAATTCTCCATCAGATTTTTCTGGTTTTTTACCTACACTATGCTTGTTTTCTTTGTATTTATATGAATAAGTTCTCTCTTTTTAACCTTTGATAGAGTTGTATAATGGTTTATTTCTCAGGAACCTCAGGAGCTCATTAAGTCATTGAGTTGAAGAGATGGCTCTGGGTCTAAGCACCTAGGCACTGAATGTTGATGAAGCTTCTGCAGTGTCTTGCTTCCCTTTTGCAGTTTGATTTTCATTGTGATGGAGTTTAAGACGTCTCCTCTAAGCTGTTGCTTTTGAACGATAAAGGGTTTTCAAAGTTAATTTTAATTGTCTGTTTTGCCCTGGATATCCCAAGTGCAGTGTGATGCTGAGAGGAGGTGGTATCAGAAGAGCCTGTTCATGGCCTTGTCCAGTGATGCTTTCAGCTATGTCCCCAGGAACGGGTATCACTCAACCTCTCTAATCCCTATTCTGGTGTTGTATCACCAGAATACAAAAAATAACACAAATGTATTTCTTCTTTCATGTTTGAATTCCCTGTATTCCAGCTTGTGTCATTACCACCGCTCCTGTTTTTGCCTGAGAGTGATTTAGTTCCTTCAGCTGCCTCAGAAAAGACAGAACCAATGAGGTCCTCATTCCTGACATCACAGGATACTTCTGGATAGGAGCATTAGGAGGACAGTGGTACAATGTGGAAGTTTCATCTTGAGGGGTCCTGCTGTGTACCTGAATATATAAGAGAGCTGGTGGAAAAGCTCACCAAGCCACTGCCCGTAATTTACAATCAGTCCTGGCTAACAGAGGAGGCCCCAGGAACCCGGAGTGTGGCCAGTGTTATGCTTATCTTCAGGAAGGGTCAGAAGTAGAATCTGGGGAGCTACAGGCCTGTCAGCCTGACCTTGGTGCTTGGGGAAGCTCATGGAGATCATCTTCAGTGCCCATCACATGGCACCTCCAGGAGATCCAGGGGATCAGGCCCAGCCTGCATGGGTTCGTCAAAGGCCTAACTGCACGACCCAATTTCCTTCTGTAACACAGTGACCCTCTTAGTGGACAAGGGAAAGTCCAGAAATGTTGACTTCCTGCACTTTAGAAAAGTCTTTAACACTGTATCCCACAGAACTCTCCTGGAGACACCTGTGGCTGCTTGTGGCTTAGATGCTCTGTTCTTGAGTTAAAAACTGGCTGCAGGCCTGGCCCAGAGAGTGCTGGTGAATGGAATTACTTGCAGCAGGCAGCTGGTCCCTAGTGGTGTCTCCCAGGACTCTGTACTGAGGGCTCTGTACTGTACTGTTTCTTATCTTTATTGATGATCTGAGCTCTTGAGGGAATCAAGAGCTCCTTTAGTCAGTTTGAGGACAACACCCAGCTGGGTGTGAGTGCTGATCTGCTGGAGGGCAGGAAGGCTCTGCAGAGGGATCTGCACAGGCTGGATCCACAGGCCAGGGCCAATTGTGTGAGGTTCAGCCAGGCCAAGTGCTGGGTCCTGCCCTTGGGTCACAGCAACCCCCTGCAGCTCCAGGCTCCAGGCTGGGACAGCGTGGCTGGAAAACTGCTGAATGGGTGCAGGTTTTCAATGGCTGGACACGAGCTGGAGTGTGCCCAGGTGGCCAAGAAGGCCAATGGCACCGAGCTTGTGTCAGCAATAGTGTGGCCAGCAGGAGCAGGGCAGTGGCCAGCAGGAGCAGGGCAGTGGCCATCCCCCTGTGCTGGGGGCACTGGTGAGGCCACAGCTGGAATCTTGTGTTCAGCTTTGTTTCCTCACAGCAGGAAGGACACTGAGGTGCTGGAGCATGTCCAGAGAGGGAAATGGAGCTGGGGAAGGGTCTGTAGAGTGAGTCATATGAGAAGCAGCTGAGGGAACTGGGTGAGTTTAGTGTGGGGAACAGGAGGCTCAGGAGACCCATATCACTATGTATGATGATCTAAAAGAAAGTTATAACCATGTGGGAATTGTTTTTTTCTCCCAGCAACTAGCAATAGGAAAAAAAAATGGCCTCTAGATGTCCCAGTGGAGGTTCAAGTTGGATATTAGGGAAAATTTCTTCACTGAAGGAGTGGTCAAGCATTGGAGCAGGCTCCCTGGGGAAGTGGTGGAATCACCACCGCTGAAAGTGTTCAAAAATTGAGTAAATGTGGCACTTCATTATATGGCTTAATTATATGGCTGGGCTTGATGATCTTGGAGGTCTTTTCCAACCTTAGTGATTCTATGAATCTGTATTTGGTCCTCTTGTTTTTTCACTCAGCTAAATGGGAAGCAATCAGTTGTGTTTGCACGGAGCAGTATCCTTGCAGTGATGCAGTGCTGGAGGTTGTTTGAGCACAGGAAAACAATCTCTTTGTGCCATGCAGGAGAAGGCTGGAGCTGCTGACCTGGGGAGATGCTTCTGGATTGATAGTTGGAGGGTGAAGGAGCAGCTGGTGCTGGTGATGTCTGGGCAGTTCCCTTCATGGGGAATGCTGTGCTGGTTGGGTTGGACCATATCGAGTGGGAGTGTTTGCATGATGGATCTCTTTGCTTGCTAATGATGTTTTGGGATGAATTGTCCAAATCTCTGCAGACCTTCATGGGTCCCCTCCTTAATTCTTTGAGGTGCACCTTGTCTATGCCACCCTGTTTCTTCTAAGGCAGTGCTGTGGTGTTGCAGAATGGTTATTTTTGGTGGGATGATGGTTTGGAGGTGGCTTTCAAGTCTTTGCATTATTGGAGGGTCTAGAAGGCAGAGTGAAGTGGTGGAAGAGAAGGAGGTATGCAGGGCAGGCATCATGCCATTTGGGGCAAATGGGTGCCCCAATGGTCTGGCAGCTATAAGAGGTGCCTGGGGGCTGCAGGACCACCATTCCCTGAGAGCGTGCTATCCATAGCCTTCGATCCAGGCAGGATGCATTGGCAAGATGGGCTGCAGGACAGAGACTCATCCCCTCACAGCCTGAGGGGACCATGTCTTTGCATGTCAGGTATAAGCATGGAGCACAATGAGCACAGCTTTGCTTTTTCATTCTTTTTTGTTTTTACAAAAAGTCTTTATTTCTAACAAAAGAATAAATAAATAAATGGCCAACCAAAGAAATAAATAAACAACTAAGTTAATTAATTAATTAAATAAGTAAGCAAACAGAGTTCTGTGATAAATAGTGATTGGCATTCCCACAGTAGTTCCCCAGTGTCCATGATCCCCTTCCCATTCATCAGGTGAGGTTGCAGTCTGGCTGAATGCTGTAATTCCACAGGTAACAATACCATCTGTATCCCCAGTGTCTCGTAGCTGTCCATGAATGTGTAGCACAGAAATTTCCTCTTCCTTCCTCTCCAGTGCCTGTGGTTTGGGTGTGGGCTGTGCCACATATTGACCCCAGTGCCACCACGGTCATACCCCTTTCCCCATTAGCTCATTGGTACCAAGTGATCCCAGTCTGGGCTCCTGCTGTCACCACTCAATCCATGGCTACTGGTGCTGGCTGGGGATGGGTGTTTGCTCTCCGTGGGTTTAGTGGGGTCCAGAGCAGCTTGGTGCTTCATGCGCCGTATGAGTTTGTCCACGTGTTGGAAGCAGACACGAGCTTCGAGGCGGACATGGTCCCAGGCGCAGACGCTGTGGTTTTGTGCCTGGAGGAAGGCATGGATGGCACTGAAGTACTTGTTGATGGTGTTGCGTGGTCCTTTGACGAGCAGGGCGTTGTTGGGGAGGCATTGATTGAGGTAATGGATGTGGTGATCCAGTTTGTTGAGGAGGAGGTTGTGAGCGTGGCTGGGCCAGTGCTGGCGGGCGCTGTTGGAGCTGAGGGTTTGGAAGAGGTGCTGGAGGATGCGTAGGGCGGTGGCGGCAGCTTGATGAGGGCTGAGGTTGTTGGGGAGGAGGCTGGCATTAAAGAATGGTGGGTTCTGGAGATTGCAGGGCTCTGTTGTGCTTGGAGCCATGTCCTTCAGAAGCTGGAATGTCTCTCCAGGATTGTGGCTTCGCAGGTGTCGGCATGGGAGGCCAGTGGTGAGAGCCACGATGAGGAGCAGCAGTTTCAGGGTGCTGTGCCACAGGCAGGGCTGTGCACATCCAGGTATAGCCATGGTGGAGCTCTAGGCGCTGTGCAGGAGCCACCAGTGTCTGGTCTGGCTTGGTGGTGGTGGTTGCTTTGCCTGGGGTGCTGCTGGGTGCGCAGTTTTATGAGCCCATGCCCAGGCTTTCCTTTCATCACCATCCTCTAGAGAATTTCCCTTTTCCGTTTTCACTTTTGTTTTTTCTGTTTGCTTTCTCCTGAGGGCTTTGGTGCTTGTCACTGACCAGGAGGGGACGCTGCTATGAGAACGGGAGCTGACACTTTCTCAAGGCTGCTGCCAGGGGGAAGCCTGGCTCCTGAGCTATTACAGGAGACGAAAGTGTGCCATAAGTTTTCTGGCTGGCTGTGCTGGGGATTTGTTTCAGGGTTGTGTTTTCATCTTTTGTGTGTTTTGTGTGTTGCCTTTTTTTTAGGGTTTATTTTGAAATTTCTCTGCCTACCAGCATCTATTTTTTCTTATTGCATGCTCTAATATGATTTGTATATAATGTTTATTTTGCATGTTAATTAGTGCTTTCTTATATTTTTAATTGACAAATATTGTTAATTTCTCAGTATTTTAAAATTCTATTTGTATGTGTATATGTATACATATGCTAATACTTTTTTTTTTTTTTTTTGTGTTACCTGTAGCTTTGCTAATGCAAGAGTTTTTCCTCTCCCTGCAATATCTTGCAGAATATTTTTGGAGCCATCTCTCATACCCCTGTATCCAGAGTTAATTCCCCTTGGTATGTTGGTAGTTAGAAATGAATGCACAGATGTCACACAGGATTTTTTAAATTTACTATTCATGCAGTGTTTGTTCTTTCTGGATTTTGGGTTCTTTTTAAAATTATGTTGTGGATTCTTTGTGAAAACGTGGTAGTGTTAGATGGTCTGAGGGCAGGAGCAAGAGGGAATATTTCTATTTCATGTGCCAGCCCACTTACATGTGAAAAGTGAAAGTGGGCAGTGTTCCAAGTGTGAGTCATCACTGCTTTTGCATGTAACTTCAGCAGCAAGAGATGCCCATGGTTGCTGATAAAGCAAGAATGGGATTTTCTCCTGACATTTTTTTTTAAAAATTAACCCAAGTAATGTGTGTATTGTTGATGTAAAGTCTCACTGTGGATTTTTTTTTTTTTTGGTTTTAGGTTCTTTTGGTGTATGTTACATTGGGATATGCTGTCTTCTCTGTTCATCTGTTGCAGAGATCTTACAAATGTGTCAGCTGGTGTGTGTGGTACCCAGTGAGCTGCTGGGTGGAATTTAAATTTATTATGTCTCACCACTTACTCTGCTTTCATCATTTTCTGCTTCACTTTTTGAGCCTATTCCTGATATTTCACTTTTGGCTTTAGGCAGCTTCTCCTTTTGTAGGTTAGGAGATATCTGTGATGTTTGAAGAGCAGAGTGTCTTCCCCGATATTTTCCTTTGGGCAGGCATGAACTGCAGACATAACTGCCTTGCACGCATATTTTCTAATGAGTTTTTAGTTTGAATGTGCGTATGCACAAGTAGGATACAGATATTCAGTACTGATGTGGTTTTCTCTTGCCTGAAGTGCAGTGAGAATAATTGCTACCCATAACACCATCTTCTCATGCAGATTTGATCATATCTTGTCCAGTTCGTATAGGAGGAAAATGTTAGTGTGCTAGTTCATGTCAGCTGTGTTCACATCTCTTCTCTAGATCTTCTTTTCATGGCATTTTCATCAGAAGGTTATGAGAGTGCTGCTTTTGAGCAACCTGCTAAGACTTTTAATGTGAATTTAGTTGTGTTTTGCCAAGTGATTCAGGCTGGAGTTCCTAAGGAGGGGAATTACCAGGGAAGGAAATGTTGATGATGTAACAGCACCATTACAAGTTACAGAAAGCACATACAATACTAAAACTTGGCCACATTATTTCATATTCAGTGATGGAGGATTTGGTATAGGAGACAGGGAAGTGATGCACAGAAGTGGAGCAAGGTGGAGGGTGCTGTCCACTCTGAGAAAACATGTAAGGCACTATGGCATTTGCAGAGAGGGGTTTGATAAAGAAGACATATATCCAGTATTTGAAAAAGTGTGAAAATTTGTACATTACTACTTAGACTACTATTACTTACTAGACTTACATTACCAAAACTACTTACATTACTTAGACTACTATTACTTACTAGACTTACTACTACTTAGACTACTATTACTCCAATCTATTTTTGGATCGGAGGAGGTGAGGAGAACATGAAAATTAGGAGACAAAAACCAGATTACCAGACCCACAGGTGGAGTTCACCCAGAGAGAGAAGGGCAAACTTCTTGCCTTTTCTCCCAAACTGAGGTCAAAGTACTGCTTTGGTTTTGCTGGCATGTCCTGTCATTTCAGAGTGCAAGCTTTCTAGTGTTGCTTACGTTCTTGCAGAAGACCTAGAAGAATGATCTAAGGCAGTGGTTTTCACCTTTTTTATGCACCCTATTAGCAAAAAATATGTGAGCACTCATCTTCAGTATATTTTTACTTCTGAATTATATACATATACCCCTGTACTAGTATATATATATATTATAAAATGTACACTAAGATAAAAATGAAAAAAAGGAGAGAAAGGTTAAACGCTGTTTTAAAATTATCTTAAGTTGTATTTATCAAATCCATTTTCTTCCTGCAACCCAATTGATTGGATACCCACCCCACTTTGGAGACTATGGCCTGAGGTCTCCTGTAAAGGAGTTTAAATAAATTTTCTAGTCATCCAATAGTAACTGGTTTTCTGTCTCTTTTGATGTATTTGTTGTTTTCGTAGCTGACATTTCCATTTTTAGAAAACAGGGCATGGTACAAGGGCAAAACCCTTAGACTTATATCCATGTTGTGATTACAGTCCTGGCCTGACCCCAGGCCTTTGAGACACAATGCTCAGTTCTCTTTCAGGCAGTCTCACTGGAAGATGACAGTTCAGTGTTGGGAGCTGTGTGGGCTATCATTTAGTTATTGCCTTTAACTTACCATTAAGAGATGAAATATTTGTATATAGCACAAAAAGTGTCTATAAAGTAGGTTTATTTTTAGCTTGAGACTCCAGGTAAATTTTAAGCTCTGCTGCACAACATAAGGTCAGCTTCCACTCAAACCTCCTTTAGTTCTTACTTTTAGAATTTTGTTCTGTCTCTAGTGTGCAGTTCATCAGATCTGTAGTTTCAGCTATTAATAAATGGTGTTGTCTCTTCCAAGGATTACTATGGAATTACATTCCCGGCTCCTGCAACCTTGACAGGCAGAGATGGGAGCCTTGCTAACAACCCATACTCAGGTGAGTGCTAGTAAAAGATGAGGATGGCAAATGAGATATGCTGGTTTCTCAGTGCAAGTCATCCTGCTGTTGCTCAAAGAGCATCTGCTTTTCCCTTCTGTGGTCAAAGAAATCCTTCCTTGTTCCTTCTCTTGCTCTTTAGCTGTCATTGTGCAAAAAGATGGTATTAATGCCACCCAGGATTTCACCCAGTGCTTTTCATCCACTGCCAGTTGATTGCATCTTAAAACTGTAGCCATAGGCATTGTGGTTCCTATAATGATGGTATTAAGTGCTCTCATACTTCCTAGTAACCAACAAAAAGGAATTCTGGTTGGGAATGAGGTAGAAGGGATTGATGTATGTCACCTCCTTGGTAAACATGTGAACATGCTGCTCTTTAGGCTGCCAAAAAGTACAAGTGTTTGTGAATTTTCTGCTTCATGATCGCTTTTCTTGGAAGGCTGGTTGTGGGTTAATAACTGAATTTCCCTTCCTGCTTCTTCAATAAGGTGGCCCACGATGCAAGCTTTGTTTTCCTGGCCTTCAGCTACTGTCTTCAGAACTGTGGTGGTGTGAGGAACTGGACGTCTTAACTAATCATGCTTGACAAATAAATAGACATTGGCAAAAATATGCCCATCCCTGCCTGTAAATCTTAACCTGCTTTCAGCCCATGAAGCTTAGCTAAACAGGTTAACCTCCAGGAGAGTCACAATTTAACCCAACAACCATTGGCTCTCTGGCTATTTACCATGCTTCTGCTTTTAGCATGTTTTATTGCAATGATCTGATAGCAATGAGTCTGCTCAGACCGTGTGAGATAGGTAAGTATTGGTATCTCTCTTTATCAGTGGAGTAGCCATGGCACAGACTTCTGTGCCATGAACAGGCAATATCCCTGTGGCTGTCAGGAACAGAAACTGGGTGATGGCTTCCCATAAACAACTGCAGGCTTTCAGGTGCAGGATGTGTCCTGTTCTGTAATTGTCTGCTTCTGTTCAGAGGATGTAAGTCGATTGAATTCTCCACCTTTGCAGTATCTTTGATAGCTTTTCTGACCAGTTCTTTCTTTCACAGGTGATGTAACAAAATATGGCCGTGGAGATACTGCCTCTCCTGCTCCTGCAACCACTCTGGCCCAGCCACAGCAGAACCATACACAGACTCACCACACGACTCAGCAGCCCTTCCTCAACCCGACCCTGCCCCCAGGGTACAGCTACACTGGGCTCCCTTACTATGCTGGGATGCCTGGTGTTCCCAGTGCATTCCAATATGGGCCAACCATGTTTGTAAGTGTGACAGCCTCAACTGTAATGCTCCCTGCATGCCTCTCTAGTTTTGCTTTCTCCAGCCCAAACACTCCACATCTTGGAATTATAGGAAGGTTTGGGTTGGAAAGTATCATCAAAGACGGTCTTGTTCCAATCCACCTGCCGTGGGCAGGGACACCTTCCACTAGACCAGATTGCTCAGAGCCCCATCCAACCTGGCCTTGAACACTTCCAGGGATGTGGGCCATCCACATCTTCTCCAGGCAGCCTGTGCCAGTGCCACACCACCCTCATGGTGATGACTATTTTCTTTATATGTAATGTGAATCTACCACCTTTCAGTTTAAAACACCTGCCCTTCATCCTGTCACTGCCTGATAAAATGTTTTTCCCATCTGTCCTATAAGACTCCTTTAAGTGTAGAAAGATCACAATAAGGTCTCCCTAGAGCCTTTTTTTCTCCCGGATGAACAGCCCCAGTTCTCAGCGTGTCGTCATAGGAGAGCGGAGCCCATCCCCTTGATCATCTTTGTGACTTCCTCTGGATCTGCTCCAACAGGTCCACATCTCCCTCATACTGAGGATTCCAGAGTTGAAGTCAGTATTCAGGTGGATTCTCATTAGAATGGAATATAGTCAGCTTCCCCAGTCTGCAGGAGAGCTCCAAAAACATGCAACATGAGAAAATAGCTGCAGTCTCACCCAGAAGAAAACAAAAATTTTTAAAGGCAAGAACTCACGCACCCCTGTGCAAGTTTTTGCAAGTTTCTGTAAATAGCTGACAGTGGCATTTTGTGGGCTTGCTGTGCCTGAAAACCCTTACTAGTCCCGGAGAGTCAAGGGGAGACCCAAAGCTGAATCAGTGAGCCTAGATGGAGGAGACCCCATTAAGAGAGCAGGGCAGGAAGTCTCAGGAGGAAAAAGGTTATTTGGGAAGAGGTGTTGCTCCAGGCAGAAGGGTAGATGAGGCTATTAAGGGCCCTGTAGGATAGTATTTTATGAACAGCCTCAGGCAGGAATTGATATTTACTTTGAGTCTGTGGTTGTTCTCAGGTTTGTGGATAAAAAATTGCTGTTTACATTCAGCATATGAAAGAAACACGCAGCCTGTTCTGAGGGAGGGCTGCACTGCAATCACAGGGGGGACAGATCTAGGAGAAATCATGTGAGGCAAATTCACTATAGCAACTGCTGTATTTCCACTATTATTGCTTTAAGCAGTCCCATGCCATCCCAGTCCTCGCAACTCCAGACTGAATTCCCGACATGAGGTGGAAGGTGCCTTCCCCACTAGATGGCAGAGGGAGCCTGTGCTCCAGCTGACGGCCGTTTTTGTTCCCGTCCTTTGTCTAGGTACCTCCAGCATCTGCTAAACAGCACGGAGTCAACCTGAACACGGCATCGACTCCCTTTCAGCAGACGAGTGGCTACAGCCAGCATGGCTATGGTGCAGGTAAGGCCCCAGCCCTGCTCCCCTCTGAGCACCCACGGTGCTGCTCACGCACCGTAACGCCCGGTCTTGTGCACCCTGGCAGGCTACGATGACTTATCGCAGGGAACGGCACCTGGAGATTACAGCAAAGGAGGCTACAGTGGGTCATCTCAAGCACAAAACAAATCTGCTGGCACTGGACCTGGGAAAGGTAACACTTCGAGACTGGAAGTTCCTCTGGAGTGGGATTTAGTAGGGCAAACTCCCAGTGCTGTGCAGTCAACACAACAGCCAGCTCTAAAGAGGGTTGTGATCCAAGCTGTTTCTCCATCTCCTGTATACAAAGTGCTTTTCTAATGACCCAGTTGTTCCTTCTAAACCTCATGGCTGAACTTGGCATAAAGATTTGTGCAGCTGATGCACAGCTTGATCCAGTTACACATGGGAGAAATGGTATGCTTCCTAAGCCAAAGCATTCTTTGCTGAAGAATACAGTGATCCTTCAACAGTGCTGCAATTTTAAAACTTGAGCAGTTCAGTGCTGTTGCTGAAATGATCCTCTGCCAAATCATAGCTAGATTTTTAGTTTTTTGGAAGGCACCTGAGACACCCACGTCTTAGAGAGGAGCAGGGCACTTCGTGAATCTCTGGGCTGCCTAGATGCTGCCTGTAGACACTCATAATGTTGTGTAGTGCCTTGAAATGTTTCCTTTGTGACTGTAAAAGCTGAAGAATTTATCCAGATCTTACAAAAGCTTTATTTGGCACATGCTGGTTAGATCTGAGAAGTGTATACTGGGCCGCTTAGCACTATATGGTTCATCTTCATTCTAAAGCAAGTACAAACCATTTGCTCTGCATTTGAAACACCAGGTGGTCACACTCTTTTCAGTGGAGAAGCAATCCAGGAAGTATCCAAGCAATTCAGCAGTGTCCAAGGAGGGTTACAAAAGCTTAGAGCAGTAACCCTTGAGCCCAGATCTCTGATTCACTGAACAAAACCACCGTTGGCTTTATTCTGATCCACGTGGAATTATCAGAGCCACTCTCTATAAAACTGTGAATAAGTGTCTCTGAGCCAGTGATGCTGATTCTGTCAGGGCAGAAGAGCACTGCAGACTTCACTCTTCTGTACGATGTGAAAGGACAGGGGCTCAGATTTGTAGGAGATGCTGAGTCTCATCACTCAGGGCACTACTGGAAAGCTCTTGAATGCTGCAATAGAGCCAAATGCACTTCGGATCCTAGGGGAGTGCTGGCTTTTTGTGGGCTTCAGTGAGTGGTCAGTGCAGCCAACTGCTGCCTGGTGAAGTGCACTGGAATGCGAGTGTTAATGGCTGGGTGTGGACCTGGAATCCCAGTGAGCTTCAACAGGGGGAACAAGAAGCTGAGCCCTTTCTTCTGTTCCCACGTGGGGAACAGAAAATGGAATGCATTCTGAAAATGGAGAAGCAGCAGGGCAGTGCATCCCCTGAGGCTGCCAGAGGTGCCAGGAGCAAAGCTTGGGATTCTGCTGGCTGGTGGGGTGACATTCTCACCTTTGGTGGTGTTTCTGTTTTCCAGGTGTTTCTGTGACCTCCAGTAACACGGGTGTGCCTGATATCAGTGGCTCAGTCTATAACAAGACTCAGGTGAGGAGTGTTGGACCCTCCTCCCTCAGGGCCCAAGGCTGATGACTCCTACTCCAGGCTGGCCAGTTTCAGGGTCAGCAGGCCACGGCATTTCTAATGCTGGCTCTGTTTGCTGCTGAAGTGAAGTCTCATCCTCTGTCCCACTGTTTCTGCGGTGTCAGCTCCTGACAGCAGCTGCTTGCAGAGGCTCAGTGCTCCCTGTGCTGCACACTGCCCACGCTACACCATGCCAGCAGTGTCCTGGGTGCAAATGAAGTTATGGGTGTTAGCATTTTTAGCCCAAATAGCCCCCAAAGCAGGTGAGTTGAAAGGCTGTTTGCTTTCCATCAGAGGGACAGGCAGTAGTGCCGCCTCTAACACCCAAGGGTCCCTGTCCCAAGCTCTCCTGTGGCCATTGCTCAGCATGCAGCTTCCCAAGCAAAGAAGAAAATGCTTTGACAATCTGATCTCTGCAGTGGGCTTATGTCCAGCTCCTGTTTGCTCCTCCCTGCACCCTCAGTGGGGGAAATAGGTGTCTGGCTGCAATCCATGCTTACAGGTAGGAAGCTAGCTATCAGCTCCATGCTTAGGGGTCAAGCTTTGGCCAGCTGGAGGAAAATATACTGCAACTTCCTGTGTTTTTGTTGGGTGCCCTGGATAGGTTGAGTAATTCTAGGCTGAGCCCTCTTACTAGGGGAAGGACTGATTAGGCAGCTGCTGCAATCCCATGTCCCTTTGAATGGAAAGAGGTCAGGAAAATAAAACCCTACAATGTCTGTGAAAATAATTTCAAGAGCCATTAGTGCAGAAATACAGGTGAGAACAGGAGCTGAAACTCATCCTCTGGTGTACTTGCAGGTATTCAGTGTGACTTGGCTTCCTTGTGGGGTAGGTGAAAGGTTCAGGTGATGTGTGTTTGGGCCAGTCATGTTCTGGTCTGCCTGGATCTACTCACACCAGTGTCTGACACTGTGCCCGTTGCCCCCTGTGCAGACGTTTGACAAGCAGGGATTCCATGCTGGCACTCCGCCTCCCTTCAGCCTGCCTTCTGCTCTCGGGTCCACTGGGCCCCTGAACCCTGGTGCTGCCCCGGGTTATGCTCCAGCCCCGTTTCTCCATATCCTCCCTGCGCATCAGCAGCCTCATTCCCAGATGCTGCATCACCACCTTCAGCAGGATGGGCAGGTGAGTCAGCCCCTTCTGCCGCTGCAGCATCCCCGAGAACACATTGCTCCCACTTCCCAGCAGGGTCTTGGGGTATTTATTTCCTTCTGCTGTTTGCTTTCCTCACTGGGAATGGGCCTTGGCAGCAGTGGCTGTTGACCAGCTTGGGGAGGGAAGCTGAAGTTCAGCAAGGGGAAATGCCACTTCTGTCCCTGGGGAGAAAACAGGCCTGTGCACCAATATAAGTCAGGAACCACCTGCTCAGCAGAAAAGGCCCTGGGGGCCTGGTGAGCACAAACTCCATGATCCAGCAATGTCCCCTTCCAGCAAAAAAGAGCAGTGACGCCCTGAGCTGCACCAGGCTCAGCATTGCCAGCAGGTGCGGGCAACTGCTCCCTGCCCTCTGCTCAGCCCTGGTGAGGCCACAGCTGCAGCATTGTGTCTGCTCGGCTCCCCACTGTGGGAGAGACATGGATGTGTTGGAGAGTGTCCAGTGAAGGTCTGATGTGGGGGCTGGATCCTGTTTCCTGTGAGGAAAGGCTGGGGGAGCTGGGACAGTTTGGCCCAGAGAGCACTGAGAGAGGATCTCATCAATGTACAGAAAGGGAAGATGTAAAGAAGATGGAGCCAGGTTCTTTCCAGTGGCAGGAACAGGGACAGTGGGCACAAACTGGAGCTCAGGAGGTTCCCTCTGAATATCAGAGAAAATGTTTTTGCTGGGATGGTGACCAAGCACTGCCCAGGAAGCTGGTGGAGTCTCCATCCTTGAAGTTGTCTGGGAATGATACTGTGATTCTGGGGAAGAATCAAGCATCCCCTGCAGGTTGCATGTCAGCTCCAATTCGGTTTCACCTGCACATGTGTTTACTTTTCCAACCACTAAATATTCCCTGAAAAAAACAGTGTTCATCTTTAGAGTCCAGTAATAGGACATGATTTTGCACTCCAAATGTGTGACATCCTTGTCTGGCTCACCTTGGGAAAGCTCCTTTGCTGTGCCTGACCCTGCTCCTCACTTCCCTTGTGCTTGAGCCTGTTGTGCTTGGGAGGCAGTGGGATGGTGCGTCCCCAAGCTCCTGCCGGGTGTGCTCATGGTTGCTTGGCCTGAACTGCAACCATGTAAGGATGTAGAGATGGTGCAGGGCAGAAACAGATCTGTTCGGGGGGGAGCATTGCTGTGCTGCTGCATGTCCGGGCTGTCCCTGGTGATTTGGGGCATGCTTGTTTTCCTGGGAATGCTGGTGCTGTTGCAGCTGATGCTCCTGTTTCCTTTGTTTCCCTTTCCTAGGGTGGATCTGGCCAACGCAACCAACCCAGCACCATGCAGCAAAAGTCTCAGGCTACCAAAACCACCTATGGCACTTCTCCATACTGGACAAACTAAACCCGAAACCGGGGAGGGGGGGAGAGAATGAAAAGAGAGGAGGAAGGAAAAGAAGAAAAAGAAAAGAAAAAAGAAAAGAGAAAAGAAAAGAAAAGAAAAGAAAAGAAAAGAAAAGAAAAGAAAAGAAAAGAAAAGAAAAGAAAAGAAAAGAAAAGAAAAGAAAAGAAAAAAGAAAAGAAAAGAAAAGAAAAGAAAAGAAAAGAAAAGAAAAGAGAAAAGAGAGAAAAAGCTGAAGCCTATTCTTGGAATTATTAGGAAAAATAACTGCTCAGCCAAATGTCTGTGCGGGGAGAACTGCAGCCAGCCAGCCATCCTCTGTGTGACTCGCCTGCTTCCTCTTTGAGTTGCTGTTATATGTAATATATTTATGTATGTATTTGTAAATGTAATAGAGCCTAAATGTGGTTTTCTGCATCTTGCAGCCTGTTTTATTTTCTTTGCAGGAAAACTAATTATTCATTTTCCATCGGCATTGTTCTTTGTTTTGTATTTTAAGTTCTATGGGTTTTGTAACTGTCAGACAAAGACAAACTGAGCCCTTTTTTTGGAGCTGGAGCCCATTTATTTAATGCAGTTCTAAATTCAGACAAATAAGGAGACCTGCCTTTCCAAAAATGTAAATCAAGATGTGTCCTGTTGGTTTGATTTTACCCCACAATCCCCAGTATAGCTGTTATTTTAGAGGGGGAAAATAAAAGAAAGAAAAAAAAGTTCTGTGGGCCTTCCCCTTTCTTTCATTTCCTCCCTCCCGCCCTCTTGCTGTGGAAGACAAGCTCTTGTGGGCAGTTTCATCACTGCAGCCTTGAGCTGCAGTCTCAACTTTTAATTCTTCAATTTTTTAATAAGAATAATAAAAAGGACAGGGTTTATATTTTTGTTTGTGCAGAGGCTTTTTGTTGGTGGTGATTTTCTCTAGAAAGAGACTTTGGATGGCTCAGTGTGTCCTGGAACCTCCTTTGCATCATTAGAGGGAAAAACTATGTAGCGGTTTCTTAAATAAAAGTATAAGCTGTGTCTTGTACCTCTTTTTGCCCTGAGCCACCTTCCCAGGAAAGCCAGAGCTACCGGATGGAAACTTCATCTGTCCCTCCCCACTTTTTTTAAAACAAAGACCTTGGAGGCAACTCCTGGTCCTTCTTGTCATGCACCAGTGCAATGAATGTTCTAGGAGTTTCATTTCTTTATAGCCCTTCCTCCACCTAATAAATATCTGGTCATATCACTGGTGTTTGTCTACATTTTGAAAGGCTCCAGGAGCAGTTTTACTCTTACAACCCATCCCATTCTACCTGTTTCTACAACAGGAGCCAAGCTGGGAGGGGTGAGAGCAGCAGGTAGGTCTTACAACAGTCAGTTTACCTGTGTGCTGACAGCTCTCAGGCACCCACAGCAAGGATGGGATCTGGGGCTGCACCCTTGCTGCTGCCATGAGCAGCCTGTTCTGCCTTTGGTGTCTCCTGGGTGGTGCTCCGAGTCCCTTTGAGCAGCTGGGATTGGTAAGAACAGAGCACAGCTGCAGCTGCAGCTCTGCCCTCTCACTTTGCTCACGAGCTCCATGGGCTCCACTGGGAGGAAGGACGGGTGTGAGAGCTCCTGAGGGAAGTCTCCTACCCCAGAATTACCCTTCTGGTCATCCTGCCCCTGTGCAGCAGAGGAGGTGGGTAAATGTAAAGTATGCAACAGGCATGGAGCTTTTATTTCAGTATCAACAAGAAAAAAGTCTGTTTCTATCCTAAGGACCATTTTTCTTTCTCTGTTACCAGCTCTTGGCCCCTGTGAGACCCAGTTCTCACCTAGGCTTCCCTCAGCCTCTGAGCAGCACAAGAACTATAATGGCATTCCTCTGCCCTGCCTTAGGTTTTGACACTGGTTGAATTCCAATAGCTGCTCCAAGCCCTTTTCAGCTGCTGTCCCACTGCCAACAGCTTTGGGGCCTGAATGTCAAGGAGGGCAAAAATGTTTCTGCAGGCTGGGGCCCATCAGTTTGTACAAGACTGCGCCAGCAGCTGAGCCCTCACAGCAGCAGCACCTCATTTACCTGTTTCAAATCACTGACTTGCCCAGGGCTGCCTTCACTCTCTTGAGGTCTTGTTCATTGACACCCAGTGCTGCCCTGCAGGTCTAGCTCTGTTCTTGTGTGCATGTCACAGTCCAGAGGCAGCTGGAGCTGGGGAAAGGCAATGGGAGAGATGGTGCCAGTCCCAAGCAGCCCCTGAGCCTCAGGTCTCACACCTTCCCAGCTGCCCTGGGGTCCTGCCTGCAGGCAGAGCACTGCCTTCAGCCACAGGCAGGCTCCTCTGCTCTCTTTGTGAGACTCAACAAAATGTTCCTCCCTCCCCTTACACTGTCACTTCGGCAGGATTTGCCTGCAGCAATTTCACTCTCTAAGCCCTGTTCCACTGATGGCAGAGGCAAGGTTGCCCAGCTGCACTTGGCTACCAAGGAAAGAAAAGGAAACACCCCCCCCCCCCCCTTTGCTGCCCCTGAGACTTAGCCAGGGCAGGGTGGCTGGACCCCTTGCCCTGCCTTTGGTCCCAAACTGCTGCGGGAGGAAGCAGCTGCTGGCAGTTCTAGGCAGCCCATGCTGTAGGGTCAGGCAGGAGAGAGAAGCAGGCCAGATCCCAGACAGCACCATCCCTCCTGCTCCCTTTCCATAGATTGGAGATTGCTTTTGGAAGGGAGCTCCAAAGTGCCATCGCCCTTCCTCCAGCTCAGCTGTGCAGCAGAAGCACTTGGGCTCCAGCCACATTTGACTCAGCAGCTGCTGTGCTGCCATCAATACCTAGTGCAGCCAGTGCAACTCCCTAACACTTGTCCTGCTAGTTTTAGCTCGACTGCAGCAGCTGGGGCACTGCAAACACCCTGCTCTCCTCCCGAGCCTGCAGGGAACAGCATGGGACCGGCAGGGCAGGTACCCAGCAGGGCTGGTACCCAGCAGGGCTGGCACCCTTCTCTACCAAAGCTGTTCCCTGACCCAGCAATCAAACTGCTCCTCCACCCTGTCCAACCCTTTCAGGACCACTGTGCTCCTGCCCTGCCAGGGCACTGGCCACCATTAGCTCTGGCCCAGATCCTGCTTCCCTGCTCCAGTCACATGAACCCATGAACCACCTTCTCACCGGTCTCCCCCTTCCTACTTAGGAAAACTAAATACAACTGCAAAGGTCTGGCCTTTTGCCAAAGTCCTCTAAATCAGTTTGTTCTTTAGTCTTAGGTGCAGGCAGCTGTCAAACTGCAGCATTATTCTGCAATAAACTTACTGGTGTATAAATATGTCCACTGATCCCAGAGCAGCAATGAACTCACAAACAGCTGCTATTCAAAGGTTTGAGTAATCCATGCAATGCTACCAGCTCAGACATGGAAGTAACTGCACAGAGATATTCATTTCACATTTTTATTAGTAGACAGATGTGCAGAAAAGACAAAATATAACTACCGAAGGAGAAGACAACACAAAAATGCATCAGTTAATTCTTTCTGGTAAATTATACTGAAGAAAAAAAGGAAAAGGTCCGGGAGTTCAGCTAAGAAAACTACTAAGAAATCTAGTGTACCCTGCTGGTTTCAGAATGGTTGAAAACTGCATTTGAAGGGACATGTAGCTGCAAATGTAAACGCTAGTATTGACTGAAACAGGAGAAAAGGGGCTAAGAAAAACCCAGAATACACAGAGCAGGTAAACATTTTTCTGCAATCTCTTAAATAGTTTCAAAAAAATCCCCTAATACTTCAGTTGTATTTCAAAAAAAGGAAACCAGCAAGTCAACAAGCAATGACACTGCACAGGACAGTGGGGAAGAGAAATTAATCTGGTTAATGTCGGAGCTCTCAAAAGGGGTTGTTTTGTCATTAAAAAAGGGTAACAGAAGAGTTGTAATAATGCATCTTACAACACCAAGCTTGGAAATACAAGTCACTGGAGAGTATACAGTGAAGACGGTCAAAAGTACAAGGGAAATCCTGAAAGATGCAGTATCCTCATTTCCAACCAAGTCATCAGCAAAGCCAGTGTTGCCACACTCTGCTCCTTCACTCCCTACTGCCGTCTGAAAGTTGGAGGTTGGGCCCCTGCCCTGGCGTGGCCCCGAGGCCAGTCCTGCAGCTGGGAGCATCAGGGGCCCATTTGCCAACCCTGGTGCTGACCTCGCAGGGCTGGTGTGAAGCTGGGGGTGCCCCACACTGTCACTAAACACAGGGGAGCCCTGCAGCAGGCTCCAAAAAGCACCTGGGGCTGAGTCAGTCCTTGCTGGAAGAAGGCTGACACTTCAGGAGGGTGCAGCTGCCTTCCCAGGTAACATGCAAGCAGGAGGGCGGGCGGCCGAGGGACCATTGGGCACAAGGAATTGCCACTTGGGCAGAGGGATGCACCACCAGGGCAGGGACTGTCCCTGCAAACCCCAGCCAAGTAACACTTTGGAAACAGATCTGCCTTGATCACCTCATGCAGAGCCCCGAGGGCCTTTCTCTCCATCCGGGCAGCGCACTTGGAGCTTTTTTGCTCGGTCTTACCCCGGGACACAGCCACGGAGCAGATCCAGAACAAAGCCTACTCCCACCAAAGCACCCCCGAGGGACCTGCAGCTGGGGACGTACCATGGAAAACCCTGAGACACACGGAGGGAAGATGTAGGCTCTGGTCAGGGTGATGCCTCTGTACCTCTGGGGACCAAGGGTCTCGCCCAAGCAGGGCCAGCACCTCCAATCTGCTCCTGGGGCTGCCAGGCCCGGCTGCCGATCCAGGGATCATGCAAAAGGGGAACTTGAGGCACCGCACCACAACCAAACACGAGCACGTTGCAACAGGGAGAGCCGACAGCCTGAAGAAGAGGGGTCTGAGACATGGACATGCAGGATCCCCCTGCCCATGACGGAGTGCCTTAAGCTCTGCCAAGGGCCCCCAAAGACATGCGGGAGGCTGAGCTTGGGCCATCAGCTGAAGCACACTGCTGAACAGCCTGTCAAAACCTGCTGCCGGCCAGCTCTGCTGTGGGGCTGCACATACTGCTGTGCCCCAGGGACACAGCTGGGCAGGAGAGAGCCCAGCCCTGCCAACCTCTGCCCACAGCACAGACAGCCCGGACACCCCATGGGCACCAAAGCGAGCTCCAAACTCCCCTGGCCCCAAGGGCTCTTTGAATTCTTCTGGGAAATGCATGCAAAATATTTCTTAGAAAAAAAAAAATCTAGTCTTTGTTACCTCTTACCACTCTGCTGAAAAACCACAGTAAAGAATTTGCTTCCATAAAAATGCAAGTGCTGGAGGAGAACAAACAGAATTCCCCTCTTTTAGGAGCTCTTCTGTGTGTAGTTGAAACCTCAATCCGTAACTTTAGCCTCCATGTTTAGGCAGAGAATTAGAATGGAAGTCAATGCCCATGAAAGGTGGGCAGAATTCCAGGTATCATAAGGGAGCTAGGATCTCACACTATATCACTTGGATTGTCTTTTTTGAAATCATAAACCTTTTTATTTCCCATGTACCTAATTACCTTTTCTGTGTAGACAAACCTGCATCTAAGCAAGTGCATGTCAGCTCTTTTTAAGTTCAGCCGCACAGAGCTGCACATGCCCACAGGTGACCTACTCAAGCGGCAGAAGGCAGCTCCCGATGCACAGGGCTGGGGGCTGCAGGGAGCAACGGCTGCCAGCCAGCATGGAGCAGGAGCAGATCTCAGCAGAACAGCTAAACTGAACTTTTTCAACTCTATCCTAGTCTGGGAAAAAAAAAAAAAAAAAAAAAAAAAAAGAGCAATGTGAAGTGTTAGGTGTTTATTTGATGCTCATATCACAAGCCTTTTCCAGAGACAAAGTTGCTTGTGCCCTCCGGGGCTCCAGGGGCTAGCTATTTGCTAACTTACTTAGCAGGCTGAAAAGGATTACTGTACCTTTCAGTGACATCCCGTCAAGCTCAACACACAGTAGCTTTACACTCTCTGCCCCACACCTTATAAAGGAAAAGCCACCACCACAAGGCTAAACGAATGTACACACGCTATTATTGTAAATGGAGCAGCTAAACCTTGGCAATTTGTTTTGTGGGGATTTTTTTTTCTTCCCGGTAAATGCAGCACTTTGAGCTCCCAAAAACCCGGCTTCCAATGGATTTGTTCCAGCTTTAAATACATTAAACATCTCAATGCAGGACTGTATTTAATTCAAGACTCTAAACATGAGCAAACCTGTTTTGCTGTGAGCATTTCGTAGAGAAGTGAAAAGGAGAGTTTATTTTTTAAAAAGAAATTGTAATACAGTGATGAAAGGGTTAAGAATGCAAGAATTCAGACATTCTGTGGAGGGTCTCTAAGAGGTCCATAAAAAAGAAGCAAACAGATCCATACAACAGGAGACAGCAGGAGACAAAGTTTTGTGTTGGGTTTTTTTTGTTTTTGTGTTTTTGTTTTTTTTTTTTTGACACCCCCCCCCACTTTTTTGCTGGACTGCTGCTAGGTTACCGCTGCTCCCTTCTGGCCTGAGTCGGCAGGGCAGTACAGGGGCATAGAGGGAGCAGGTCACGACTCCTCATTGCCAGAATCATCATCATCGTAACAGTCGGCATCCTCCTCCTCCTCATCTTCATCGTCAATGTCGTCATCGTACAAGTCGTCATAAAGCAAATCTGAACTGTTATCATTGGAAGGCACTTTAGTTTTGATGCAGTACTCTGCCAGTGTAGTGGGGACCTTCACGCCATCCTTCTCTGCCTCAGCTTTGGTAGCCAAAACCTGTTTCCTGTGGGGAAACACAGAGGGGATGTGAGCAGGGCCGTGTGCCAGTGGCTCAGCTCCCCGCCCTCCTCTCCAGGCCCTGCCCAGCCCTCCTGGCAGCTGGGAATGGGAGCTGAGGTTTGCAGGACGCACCACAAACAGCACTGGAAATAGATTTCATTCCTGCAGGCCCAGGCTTGGGAGCACGCCAAGGGGGTTTGCAGCATACATGCTCTTGGCCACATATGAAATCAGTTATCCCACAGACTCTGAACTAGAGACCTGCCAGAGGCCAAAGCAAATTCCATCCACCGTAGGGATGGTCAGGGATTTCCTAGAATGATTTATGGACTCTGCCACTGACAATTCTTCCACAGCATGCTCAAAACTGCAATTCCCACAAGCCTTTGGCAGCTCTCAGCTCCCACCGGAGGGTCAGAGCAGCTGGGGCACATGGCAGCGCCCCAGGGCACAGCCTGGGGCTCACAGAAGCCAAGTGTTTTCCCTCACCTGGACCCAGGCCTGGCTGCTGCATCCCAGCAGGGCGGAGCAGATGGCAGCCTGTCCTCTCAGCCCCCCAGGACCCATCACTCTGCCATGCCCTGTGTGCAGTGCACCCGTCTCTGCTGGAGCCGAGGGAGCTGAAGGATTCTCTGCACAGAGTCCCCCTGGCCCCACCCAGGGCCACATCCTGCCTGCCCATCTGGCAGAGACAATGCAGATGTGGCCTCATGCTAGCAGTCCTGCTCCAGGTCGGGCTGTCCTTCCAGAGCAGCCTTGGCCCACACTCACATCATGCCCCTGCAGCTCCTGATGAACCATGGACTTCAAGGGCAGGACTGAGCAGTGGTTCCAGCTAATCCAACTCAGCTCTGCAAGACCTTGACAAATCCTGCTGATGCTCCTTTGTATTGGAGGGACAAGATTATGATTCATGCAGGCATAAAGCACAGAAATTAGTAGGATGCAGTCAGTTTGCATCACATCCCAAGCAATGCAGGGCTTAACGACAAGCAGGGACTTTGACTAGGATTTACTACTAGCCAATAGGTTTTGCAGAGCATCATGACATATTAGTCTGAAAAAAAAACTATTTAAAGAAAAATCAGCCCAGTCCTCCTGCCCCAGAAGTTTGCACTGCTTCTCTGTGCTGAAAAATTCTAGAGGGACTTGAAGCATGGACTTTGAATAAGACACTGAAATTAATTTCCAAATGACATTCTGCTGCAAGATGCAGGTTTCAGCAAATTCTGGAAGCAGCCTGTTTGATAGGATTCAAAGCAGAATGCTGGTAGCCCAGCATCACATCTGGCAAAGCTTACCTTATGATTTCGGCGTACTCCTTGTCTTTTCCTTTACTGTCCCTCCATTTCCTGAACATGACTGATGCATCCACATTGGCTGGGGAGAATGTGTTTGGCTCATTAAGCAAAGAGATTACACTCAGTAAGATAGTCCTGAAAGAGGTAATCACAACGGCAGAGTCAGAGCTAACGCATTCATGGATTCTAGATATCCACAACTTCTTTAGGTGTTGCATCACAAACTTGTTTGAAGCCAAGTCTTAAGCTGAGGACAGTATTTTTAAGTGAGAAGAGGTATTTATGAACCTCAGGCCATGGACACTGGTATAGGAAAGGTGACACAACACAAACCTCATGTGACTACAGACCATTATGTCTGTGCTTGGGACAGGGCAGCACAGAAAGCTACAATCAGGCCAGAATTCAGCTTGTCTGCACTTTCCACAGATGGGGTGGGGCTGGAAATCTGCTCTGTGAGCTGTTCCTGGTGGCTTGCAGCCTCCATCAGGAAGCCAGGCTGTTTGCCTGCCCTGCAGAGGGAGAAGGACCACTATGATCCAAGGCCAGCAGAAATTACTGTACGACTGACTTTTCCCCTGCCCTGCCAGGTGGTTGGGAGGCTGAGGCTGGGGCAGGACTCCTTTCCTCAGCTTGTGCCCTGCTCAGGCTGCAGCAGCAGCTCTCAAGCTCTCAAGCACAGCAAGGGAAAGACAGTGTAGATGTCTTTTCAATGCCCAGGCAAGGTGCCAGGGCCCAGTGGGATTCAGCTGCTGGTACTCAGCAGAGCCAACATGAGCCAATCATGTAACCCCTGGCAGGCAGGCAGGCAGGCAGACAGTCTTCTGGGATTTCCAGCCAGGTGCCCTGTTCTGCTGGCATTTACCAGCTGAAACACCATCCTCTTGCCCAAAGCTTTCTCCCGCAGTTCTTAGAACCCTGCACTTGAAAGATGCACCTTTACTGCTCACACCGTGTCTCAACCAGCACAGACACTCATAGCCAGCCACCTGCTGTAGCTGCCACCATGACAGCATCACTCATCCCAGTGGTCTTGCCAGCAACAGCTTCCCTTTCCAGCGGAAGGGACAAACAAGGGATAGGGACAAGCTCTTGAAACACAGCACTACCTAACAGCCACTTTGCAGACCTTAAAGGAGACTGGGAGCCGCAGCTCTGTTTGCACTGATTCAGGGGCATGTTCAGAGCACATCTACCAGATCATGTATCTGGGTACAATTCCAGGAAATGCTTGGTCATTTGGATACTGAGTATTTTGAAAGATTTGAAAATAAACACTTGTATCTGAACAGACTGTTCAGCACAGCTATCAAGAGAGGCTTATACAATTCATTTTCTAAATTATAGAATTCTGTACGAAAAGAGAACAGCAGCTCTGGAATAAACTGTCTCACTGGATTGGAATGATGAGCATAAGAGATCATTTTCTACTTCATCTCAAGAATTCATTTAAGAGCCTTTGATTCTCTGCGAACAGGCCAGCATGTCAGTTCCAGCATCATGCAGCGGCTTTCACGTAGAGCAAACAAAGTCTAGGGAAGGTCAAGGACAGGAATTCATATCTGGATTTAGCATCTGCTCTACCACACTTCCATCAACAGTGAAGAAAAGCCAATTTTCACTATGGTGTCCAGACACCAAAGTTACTGCAAAGCTACTTAAATACACCAAGACAACTGTATCAGCAGTGAAGCTCTCCGAGCTCTTCCTTCCCATGCAGCACAACAGACCAGCTCCAGCACTGCTGATATCTTTAAAGCTGGACAGCGTCCTACAACTCAAACCTGGCTGCCCTGAACAAGGTACAGTAATAGAAAGGCACCCCAGCATGGGGGATCTGACAGGACTAAAACCTCTAAAAAAGCTCAACCATGTGGGACTGAAAACCTCAGCGCCAGATGCAAACTGCATGGGCTGGATACAGGCTGAGTCTCTGGAATATTGTCAGGGATCTGTCTCCCCTTCAGACAAGGCTGCTGTAGCATGGAAGAGCAGCCAGCAGAGGCTCAAGGAAACAGACCTGTTCTCGTTTTTTCTCCTGTATCAGCGTAAGAAGGCTCAGACACAGATCAATTTCTTCCCAAAGAGACATGACATAGACTGGCTGGTGCTCCCAACCAGCACATCCTATTATATTCCTTGTTGAAAAAGGAATTATTTTTTTCATTCCAGCTGCTATCTACCTTGTAGCCTTTTTAGAGCTACCTCAGGAGGTAGGTATAGATTGGTCCAAGTGCATTTTTGCCTTCTGGTATAAAGGTAAACGTTTTAGCCTAGGCTGCACTGACAGTCACGTTACTGCGTCAAGCCATTTGTGAAATCTGCCCAAATCTTAGGCGGCAAAAAAACCCAAGAAAAATGGCAATCCTCAAGAAACAAAGCAATAGGCAGACAGTACACCACCTATCCGCAGGAGATACAGGTGTACCAGTACCTTGAGTTCAAGCGTAGGGGAGGCAGAGGGGATGTGGAGAAGGACAACTAAAATGCTCAGAGAGCCCCAGCCCCGACCCTTCTACCACTCACTCAGCTCCATGGGACATAGGAAGCAGTATTCTCTCCCAAACAGATCAGAGCTGCATTCCTTCACATCTTGCTGGGTTTTGCTGTGTTTACTTATGCCTGCATTACCTAGCTCCCAGTGACAGGAAAGTCCATATTGATTGTGTTTAAAAAAATAAATGAGCCTGCTTGACACTCTTAGAAGAAGCACATGTGAACTCTCACAGTTGAAGAATGAATTTTCCCCTTCAGACACTTCAAACCCGTTCATCTGTGGAGAAATAGTCAACATTTGGCAAGATTTACAGAATTCAGCAGCAGAGGAGCAGCTCCCTCCCACATTTTCAGCCCCTCTGCCTCCTGTCTGACACTCTGAAGCTTTCCCAAGCCAGATGGGACCCCAGCAGGATGCACTTCTGCTGGCACTCTGCCCAACTAGTGATGGTTAGAAGTAAAGGACCAGTTTTATTTTCATTTGCTGATACATTTATTTGCTGAGGAATATTTTGACCTGTCACCTTAAGCCCAAGATGATTCAAGAGCTATAGCACTGAAAACTACAACTGTGGTGAGGGAGAGCAGAAATTAGAGAACAAACACCATGAGAAGTTCCGTGTCAGTCTCTACGGTTGAATATAATGAAATACTCAAAATGTACATATGATATAAGTAATTAATGCCCAAAGCTGTTTCCTAACTGTGAGTTAAGGCTTGTCACCTAGTTGGTTCTTTGTTTGACTGTCTTGTAATGAGAATGAAATTCAGCTGCCGTTTCAAAAACATGGACAGGTTAGGCCTTGAATGTCTCTGGTGCTTAGTGATCCTTTGTATTTTTCTCAGGAAGAAAACCAACAGCTGCTCCCAACACCACTCAGTAGGACAGGAGACAGACAAACAAAGGAAGGCAAACAAAAGGCAGAACTCTGCAAAGTCACTTCTGCTGGTCAGAATACTCAAAATCCTGTATTGGGTTTGCAGGGCCAAGCTTTGGTAGCCAGAGGGCTACAAGGATGGCTTCTGTGAGAAGCTGCTAGAAGCTCCTCTGTGCCTGGCAGACGTTGGCAGCTCCAAGGACACGTGTGCCGCTGGTCAAGTCTGTGCCAATTGGAAAGGGCAATAATGTCTCTGTGAAAACATACTTAAGAAGTTTTAACTATGTTCAGAGAAGAGTAGAGTGAGAACATGTGAGAGGAACAACCCTGCAGACACTCAGATTGGTGTAGAAGAAGAGGCAGGAGCTGCTCCACGTATTGGAGCAGAGATTCCCCTGCAGCCTGTGGTCAAGACGATGGTGAGGCAGCTGCGCCCCGACAGCCCAGGCAGGGCATGGGGGAGCAGAGATCCACCTGCAGCCCCTGGGGGAGCCCAGGCTGGAGCAGGGGGATGCCTGAGAGGAGGCTGTGATCCTGTGGGAGACCTATGGAGAGAGTATCTCTCACTAGAGCAGCTTGTCCTTGAAGGACTGCAGCCTGTGGAAGTGTGACCCACTCTGCAGCAGTCTGGGGAAGACTACTGCCCATGGGGTGGACTCATGCTGGCAGAGTTCATGCAGATCTGGCACGCTATGGGAGGGACATCATGGTGCAGCAGGGGAACACTCCTCATCCTTAGCAGCGGGAGAAACAATGTCTGATGAGCTGACTATAACCCCCATTCCACTACCCCCATACACTGCTGTGGTAGGAGATAGACTTGGGAAGGAGGGGGGGGGTTTATTTTTTCTTATTTAAGGTCTTATTTTACTTATTATCCTGCTCTGATTTTGTTGGTAACAAATTTAATTAATGTCTCTAATTCTAGCCTGTTTTGTCCGTGATGGTGTTTGGTGAGTGACGTCTCCTGGCCCTTACCTGCTGCAGAAGAACACCAGAACAATGAACAGATAAGTAAGGTTGTGAAGATTGGAATAATTCAGGTAGACTAAGGCTGGGAGCAAAAGGGAGAACTACTTGTAGCCCCAGGCCACTTCAGGACATCTAGGAAGGGGTGCAACACACAGATGGGCCCATGACTGAGAGGTGGACCAGACCATAGAAGCCATTACACAGGTTATCCATGAATGTGAAAGATGTGGTGCCATCAAGCGAGCCACACAAGTGAAATATCCCTGGACCAAGAGCTACATACTCACTATGGCAGAGGCAACAACTGGCTAGAAATGTACCATGCTTGGAACATGATCTCAGGTCTCAAGAGACACATTTTGTGGTGACATGGTACCCCAGAGAGAACTGAATCAGAAAATGTGACTAATTTTCAAAATAATCTCATAAACTCTTGAGCAAAGAAACATTAAGTGAATACATCACATCCCTTACCACCCACAAGCCTCCAGAAAGACTGAGAAATGCTGAAGACTGTTAAGAGCTTTAGGTAATGGGACATGGAAGCACTGGGATGCAAATTCTGCAGAAGCCACTTGGCTGGTCAATGCTAGGGGATATGCTAACTGCACTAATCCTGCCCAAACTAAGCCCACAGACACTGTGGGAGGATATAAGGTCCCTGCACTACACACAGGAAAGTGGCTGGGGAAATCAGCATGGATTCTCTGCCCATGAGAAAAGGAAAGCACATTAGTGGAATTGTCTTTACGCAAGGATCTAGGTGTACTTGGCAGGTAACGTGGAAGGATGGGGAGACCCAGTGTGTACCTCAAGGAGACTTAAACTTGGGGGAAAAACAAACTGTGTGAGTTTTATGTTGCCGGAAGTAAAGGAGCAGGAATGTCATGACCTGACAAAGAATGATTTTTGTGAGGAGCAAGGAGAATGTAATGATGATGTGAGCCAACAATCAAGGCTGGTGACCAAACAATTAAGTGTGCTGCTTCTCCTGTCCTGATCACCTATCCTCATGGAGTAGAGCATAAGTCACAGATCTGGAGGGGTGGAGGAAGCCATGAAACAGGAGAATAATATCCATCTGTGAAAGGACAGATTAATGAAGATGTATGTTTGGTATAGAGATGGTTCAAGGATGTAGTTTGGGTTTATGTGTGGGTAAGAAGGGATTCCAGTAATAAGAAAGAAATACAGTGAAACAGTTGGAAGAAAAATAAATTATGTGGGATCTAAACATGACACAAATGGTATGGAATAAAAAGTGGAGATTGTATTGAATTTGCTGAGCTGTAGCTCATTTTCCCTTAACAGCCCTAAGTGCTTTCCATTCAAAGTTAGAAAGGGATGATAACACGCAAGTGTTTTAGCTACTGCTGAGCAGTGCTGGCACAGCATCAGCACTGTCTCCAACATTCCCCACTCCCCCATCAAGGAGCTGAGAGGTGGCAAGATCCTAAGATGGGACACAACCAGGCCAACTGGTCCAAATTAACCAAAGGGATACACCATACCATGTAACATCAGCTCAGCTAAGTGAAAGAGGACAAATGAGGGACATTTGTTATATCACAATGTTTGCCTTCTGGAGCAACTGCTATGTGTGCTGAAGCCCTGCTTCCTAGGAAGTGGCTGAACATTGCTCACCAATGGTAAGTAGAGATTAATTTTTTCCACCTTTGCTTATGTGCACAAGCTTTTGCTATTGCTTTAGTAACTTGTCTTATCTCAAACATGGAAGTTGTTTTCTACATTATTTTTCTCTCTTCTGTCCCACTAGGAATGGGAGTAATAGAGCAGTTTGGTGGGCACCTGGAACCCATTACACATACTTTTCCACCAGTGGTACTTTGAAGAAGATAACAGCGACTGAGATAGGCTTCAACATTTGAGATAATTTGCCTTCTGAGTATGAAACCCTGTGAACAGGGAGCTCTGCACTGTCAGCCCAGGATGACAACACAGCAGACCAGTACATATGAACAGACAGACTGTTCAGACAGGCTGGTAAGTCTGGTTCCCACTGATTCAAGCCCTAAGCCCCACAAAACCTTAAATTCCCTCCCAAACCTCTCCCACCACAGGCCTTTGGTCTTGCAGAGATGGCAGGCCTTTGAGGTCACCACTGTAAAACATATTCAGTTACCTGACATTTTGGGTAGGGTTCCACCTCTCTGATGGCAGCTCTCCACTTTGTGGGTCATCTACAGGTGGGTGAAGAATTGAAATACATACATCTCCATTCTGCAAGACAGAAAAAAGCACTGAGAATAGCTTGTCTGGAGGCTGAGGCATGATGACTCAAATCCACCACTTTGGCTGTCTTCTGATCAGCTTAACCTTGTTGATATGAACATCCAAGTGCCAGCAAAAAACAGCAAGGGCTGGAAATGGTCCTGAATTCTTCCTGGATTTACTTTATACCCAAGGGTTAGTCTGCAAACTGGCAAAAAACTCCAATATAAAATCAAGAGGTTTAAAGAATGCACTGAAGTAAGCAAAAATAGTAATAATGTAATATAAGACTGAATTGGTCTCCAGATAGCAAGTACTACTGTCACAGTGACATAAGGTTTAATCACAGGAGACCCCAAGTAGGGTTAAAGAAAATTTGTATTCCCACTGGTAGCTTAAGCCTGCTACAGGAAATTTTTGAATTGAAGGGTTTAATCACTGTCTACTAGCAAAGGTATGAAAACATTGCGTCTCCCAGGACACAAGGATCTTGAACAGATGTTGTGGGGCAGGCTTACAAAGCTCCCCTAGGACACAGCTGTTCAAAATACCGGACGAAAAAGCAGGAGATGCTCTCTGAAGGTTTCAGCGAAAATCCCATGCTGCATGGAAAAGCAAGAATATTCTGGCAGCATATGGAAGCCATACAGCCACATAATCCTCAATATGCGTTCTACTCACCAGTGTTATGGCCTGAATATAGATTTAAAGTTTCATAATGCCTATTTAGGAAAGCTGTCAACCCAATTCTCCATCAGCCACAGCACTCTGACACAACTGCTTTGTAGGAGGGCTGGAGTAGTATCCAGCCCAGCTAATATCCTCCACTGAGACAGACGCCAGGGACTCAAATGTGTCTTAGTGCAAGATGAGGTGAAGGTGCAGATGAGGCCTGAGGCCAGCCAGCTGATATTTGCCTGTCCAGGCCCCATAGGCTTTGCTCTCTGTTGCAGCCAGCTGTGGGGCAGCATTCATGCTTGTCACCCCAGTCCAGGGCACAGGCTGATGACAGGATCAGCTCTGTCAGGACTCCAGGCTGACAGCTTCCCACACACCTGGTCTCACGTTCTTCCAACACTGCTCAGAGCACAGAGCAGGGCTGCTCACAGCAACAGCATCTGTGCCTTTGAGCCCAGGCCAGTGATTACAGCTACATATAGCAGCGGCCCACCTGGGGGGGTGTTGTGATCCGTATCCAGATTTCAGTGGTGCACTATTCATTCCAGGTATGCTAATCTAGCAGGCCCTTGTCACTTTGAAGCAGGTTTTAGTCAAGAACATAGCGAGGCAGCACCTGGAGCTGCTGAATTCCAAAGCACATACTTACATTGCTGGAACAGTTTGATTTAAGAAGGCTGTTTCCCTTTTAGGACCCCAAAAGGCTTGTGAAATCTTGAAATTTTTTTGGTATCACTCCAACCTGAAGTTAACTTTACTAATATTAGATTATGCTCAGTTTACTCTGCTATCACTAATAATTTCCATTAGTTTTTCCTTTAACCTTTTCCTGGAAGAATGCAATGCTAGTGACCCAGAGAAAGAATCTCAGCACTTGGGAAAACTTCCTAAAGCAATCAGGTCAGCAGCATGTGGACAAACACATATTTGACAAAATGAAGACAGAGGGAAGCAACAATGGGAGAAATTTTTGTCTTACCACAATCAGCGTTACATGTTTGGGAACTGCACTGCATTAAGAATCTGGAAGGGTAAAGGTATAATGGGACCTAATGAGGTCAGCAGAAAGTCTTAGGGATCAGGACAGTCAGGGGCCAAGCCTTTCCCTACATGCAGTTTTGGAAGACCTGAACAAGGAGAATGGGATATTTATCTACCATTGAGATATAGCCTCCATTTCTATCAGGACTGAGAACTGTTATGCATTAAAAATAAAGAGCAAGTGAATGCAGTTTTATCAAAATTCAATTAGATGACCCAAGTAAACCAGAGATAGGAAAAACACACATTGCTCAAGTCTCATTGCTCAGAACTGGAACGTCAGCCCCAGCCTCTTCATCTGGTCCTACCAGCAGATTCTGTAAACTTCTATTTTCTTTCATCTTCCTTGCACTAAGGGTTTTTTGTCCCCCTCCTCCTGAAAAACCCTCAAACCTCAAACACTTTGGTGAGATACTCTCAGTTTCATTTGGAGTTATCCCAGTGCCTCATCTTCATTGCTTAAATGTTATTTGCAAAACAGCCTGCAAGCTGCTTCAGATTCAAGAAGTATTGCTATGAACACAAAGCTGAGAGCTCGTGTAAACTCAGCAAACCCAAAATACACCCATCAAGTTTTGGGTTTGAGCAAACCCAAAATACACCCATCAAGTTTTGGGTTAGTTCCTCCTGCTGCCTTCAGTTGTTTCTAGTCAATTTTTCTCACCAGGACTGGGAAAGGTCCTTTCCAAGGCTCGTTTTTTGTACATTTCATTTTGGTAACCATTTGCCACCCACCTCCTGCATGAGCACTTCCAGATACAGAATCAATACAGACAGTATGGGTCTGCAATTATCTGAAGATTTCAAACTTGACTTTATTTACAGATCAAAATTCCATGTAACTGAAATAGAGCCTCAAGAGAAACACCATCCTTGGATACAGGAAAGATCCTGTGCCAAGTACAAAACCCACATCAGAAAACTGTCAGATAACTGATCTGAGCATGTCCCTGGATTTAGGGCAATCCCCTAAGCAGTCAATAATTAAAGTGGGTTACTATTCTGTTCTGCACTGAAGTTTGGCAAGGTTTCTAGCCATTTATTACTAAGCCATCAATGCAGATCTCACCATGATATTTGAAGCACACACATTCCAAGCTGGGCATTTGGCAGCAAGAACGTATCAGAAAGGACTTTCCAAGCCCAAGCCATCAAATGAAGCCTCGATTTGTTCAGGGATGTAAGAGAATGACATTCCAGTTTTCAGGCGGGTTCAAAGGAAGTCTGCAGAACCTCACATAAGAAAGCCTGTGATAAGGTGAGAGACCTGCACCAAAAGGAACATTTTGAAATCCTTTAGCTCCCAAAACTATAGAGGCCGTGCTCCTTAGCAGGTTGACATTCTTCTAGGATACCCAAAAGTCCAGCTAGGATTTGGCTGACCTCCACTAAAAGTCAAGTTTTGAATCAAAACAAGCCTTCAGCCTTCAAATACAACTCTATGGAACTGGGTGATATTGAACCAATTGCCTCTATATAGAATCATTCCTCTTCTGGACCTGCTGTGTAGTTCTATTTTGATCCAACTGCTGACAGTCCACAGCCTTGACTACCCTCTGAAAGTAGCCCATACATGTACTGAATTTAAGGAAGCAGGATGCTCTCTCACACACCCCAGAAAAAAATTATTTAAAAAACACCTTACCTCATAAATGTTGGGGTGCCACATTTTGGTCAGGAATCTGAAGGTAGGTGGTGAATATGGATAGTCAATAGGAAATTTAATGTGAGCCTGAAAAAAAGCAGAGTAATTTAGCTATGAAACAGAACAAAAAAGACCAACAAGCAACAACTACAGTGAAAAGATTGGGGGAAAAAAAATCATTAAGGCTACTAAATTGCTCATTTTATAAACGAGTGCCCAAGTGGCCCAACAGTGTAACTCTATGCAATTTCTTATGAGCAAAACACTAACTGAACAAGAAAAATCAAAACACCTGGGCTGGTAATGCTCAGAAAGCAAGCCAAAATGCATTTACCATGTCCTAATTCAAGAAGCACTATTCAACAGTTGTTGTTAAATACACTGGAAAATATGTAACTTGAGAGAGCACTGCTCTTTGAGTTCAAAAGCAGACTAAAAGATGTTTACTAAGCTGAAAAGACCTGTTTTATATTTGCCTGTAAAAATACTTAAAATTATTCTTCCCATGATAAAAAAAAAAAAAATTACATAACTTGCTCTAGTTATTTTGTCTTTCTTTGAAAGTTAAGCTGGTCCATCCACCTATATTTCTAATACTACATGTTTTGCCACCACAGGCATTTTTGAAGTCTCAACATCATCAGTGTCTGTTTAATAAATCAGTGTGCCCTGAGGAATATTGATGGCTAATGACAGCAAACATCTTGCAGTCAACATCCATCTGTGGGGCACAACTCTAAGTTGAGTCAGTTGTGGGAAGGATGCAGAGATCCTGGCACTGGAAATTAACTTTTCTGTGCTGTCCTGCCATTCACAGTAGTCTGAATATGACTGGTCAAGTGTTGAAAATACTTCTCTTTGGAAGGTGGACTGGCACACTGCTTGCTGTGCTGTGGAGCACAAAGCCTTTCCTTGGAGCTGTTCAACCCACTAAAAACTCCTACTGCCAGTCCAGCAAGGGATCTCCAAAGAAGCATCTTCTGGTCCTTCAAGCACAGTCAGGTTCATTTGCAAGAATGCAAGAAGAGATCCCAAAAGCAAGATTCATATTTATCCTGGTTTGAGACAAATTTAGGAGGAAACCTAGTCACCCTAGGACAACATGGTAGGAGCAGAATTCCAGGTCACTCTCCTCCACTTAAGTACCTAACCATGCTACTTGCTCAACCAGAGAAACTTTGGAAAGCTTTATTCCATAGTATATAGAAGCAGACAACCAAATAAATGGATTACAGAACTGTTAAGTACCTGGCTACAGTTCTACTTATCAGCACATACCTTTGCCCTACAACCCAAATTTTATGAGGTCAAGAGTGTCAGATAGTCAAGAAAATAAGGTTTCCTATTCACCTTTATGAAAGAAATTCACCAGTTCACATGGCCTTATAGTCTGTAGATGCCTACTCATGACTGTGTTTCGGCATATTACAGCAGCACTGAGTCCTCACCCCACAGTCATTTGTCACAGCACACTCCCAGCCAAGAGATTTATGATCCACTTAAACAATCCCATAGTTTAAGGCCAGTTGCATAAATGCCATTGCTCCAAGAGCAGTGAGTGAATGGCTCTTGTCACCACACACTGCTGCAGCAACGACATGCCTGGGTCCACAACACGCTGCACAGTGAGTAGAGATCTGCCCAGGGCAGGTCACATTCACTCCAACTCAATTGCTTGCATCATATAGCTGCAGACTCCTCCAGACACCGGGGTTTTCCCAAGAAAGCCCATTCCTGTGTGTACACACAGTTTTGTGAGATCTAAGACACAAAACAGCAAAAGGACCTAAAAATGCAAGAGACTCCGGGTTGAGCTACCTACAAGATGTCTTAGCAAAATCTGTCTTCTACACAGCCACAGCTTCCAGGCGACCAAAACAAAAAGCCTTGTGCCAGTAGATTACCAGCACTGCCATGCTTATAGCCCATACAGATGTTCAAGGAGTGCAGTCTCATTCCTCCCAGTAAATCCCCTCTGCTTTCAAATTGTCTGATTCTGAGGGTTTGTCTCAGCAAGACCACTCCAGAAGCTGAGCCTGAGGCACCAGTATGTCCCTGTATGTGATGCAGACGCTGTAGATCCTGGATCCACAGGATTTGGAAAAACTTTTCCAAATTTCTAAATCCTGTTCGACAAACACAGTTCTTTATTAGAGAAGGACTACCTACCTACAATAACTATCACTATGGAATGCAGTATTGTGTCACATGAAGGATTCTCCTGAGCTCTAGGATCAGAAAAACGCAACTGGAGAAATAAGAGAAATCTTTCCTTCCACATGCAGACACCTAAGAACCTAGCTTCCCTTGTAATACATCACATATTTAGAGAAAGCAGTCATATTAAATGGTAATCAGCTATTTCTAACTAGTCTGTAGCTCTTTAGCACACTGAGATTCTGTACTGGAACATAAAGCAAATGAGGCTTCTCTACAAACCTGATTTCAAAATCAAAAGCTCCCAAAACAGAAAACCTCAAATTACCGCAGGGATTTTTTCCCAAACAAAAAGAGCACCACTGTCAGGTTCCCTAGTGAGATCATCCAGAATCTGAAAGTGAAACCAAACACTTTTCGAGGCCATTACAAACAGGTCTGAGAGAATTACCTCATCTCTTCTGCAAGAGAAACCATGGAAAGTTACATAAGCCTACTCTGCTCTCACTGAATGGTATTTGAGTTTCTGTGTGGGTTAAGCAAGCCAAGAATTTCCAAGACAAGCTGCAAGACTGCTTGCAAAGATGCAGCAACAGCCACAATTACAGGTCATCTTTTTCCCCAATGAAAGCCTGATTCCAAACATGCTAAAAAAAAAAAAAAAAAAAAAAAAAAAAAAAGACCAAATTAAGCAATCAACCTAATTTTAAATAGAGCTCACAGAATAGTTCTTCCCTACAATTGCACTGATATAAGGCAAAAAAATCTGTTAAACACAGCCAGGCTGCTAGATACTAGAGAGTGGCAGAGTTTCCAGGGAGCTTTTGTTAGCTCAGTTACAGCCACACAAACTAGTTTAGGAGGACTAAATATGCTAGTAATAGTAAACTAAATATGTAGCTCAGTTCCCCGCTTCAAGTTCCGAACAGTTACCGCATTTACCGTGTTCCTGACTCCTCAAACTGAGTTTAAACAGAACAGAAATAATCCTGTTTTGGTGTTGATTTTAGCCAGCTGCATGCCATGGCTCCCTGACATCACTGAAGATACTCAATAGATAGCTGGTGAAGACCAGTCACAATCAATATATTCGTCCCTTCCCCAGTTTGTAACTAGTCATGCTTATAGTCCCTAGAAAAATAATAAACTCTTCTAAATAGTCCAGCCTGACAGAAGATACATCCCTTTACAGACATTTACAGCCACCACAAAACCTTCAATGTACAAATTACACCATAGCATATATTTTAAGAATATTGCTATCAGTGAAGTCACTTTGTTTCCTATTTTACTGCTTCTCTGCATCTTCAACAGAGACTGCACTTCAGGTTTGTTAAGTTGGAAAAGACAAAAGCACACGTTCTGCTATGTATGCCAAAAAAATACAGTCTCGCTATACCTTATGTGACTGAAAATATAAACCTAATATTTCTGACAACAACTGAATTATTTACTGATTCAGTCACTATAAATAACTATTACAGCAACTTTGTTTCTTGAGATCTTGCCACACACTTGACTCAACACCTAAACTTGTGTCACAACTACTCCAAGCACTCCAGGCTTGGGGTAGAGAGGCTGGAAAGCTGCCTGGCAGGAAAGGACCTAGGGGAGCTGGTTGACAATGGCTGAACGTGAGCCAGCATGTGCCCAGGTGGTGAAGCATCCCGGTCTGGATCATTAATAGTGAGGCCAGTGGGACTAACACAAGAAAGACTGCCCTCCAGCCTCAGTCCTTGTTCCAGCCTAGCTATAATGACACTTCAGGAGCCTGACACTGATTTTTTACAGTCATTTCAAGCTGACAAAACTGAGATCCCCGATTTTTAGGCAGAAACTGAAGGAAAGTTGAATCCATCCTACCTACTCAGTGCAGACAGGCCATGGGGAAAGCATGCACATTTCCCGGAAAGACACCAGGATCACAACTGATCTGATTTCAGGATAATGGGGAGCCAGCAGCTTTTATAATGGCCAGCATAAATTGCAGCTGCTTGGTGTTCCTGGAAGTGCCATTTAGAAATTACTTTTATTTCAAAACATTGCATGCTTAATGCCAGCCTTTCTAGAACTCTGCATTAGTGAGGGCAAGGATCTTTAGCAAATTGTATTTAAGTTCAGATACAAAGGAAGTGGTTTGAGTTTTGAAATTATTTTGCTGTTATTTGTAATTATCTGCTACAGCCAACCCACAGATAAGCTCCTATTGACTGTGCAGGTACTACCAAGGTCTCTTATAGATCACCCACCTGCCCTAGCAGACTTGCAGACAGCACAAGGACTCTCCTCACTTTCCTTCTTAAGGGGCACAAGCAGGCTCCCCACAGTGCTCCTGCTGACTGCTCAACACACTGAACATGGACATGAACTACAGGCCACTACCAGGTTAAGTGGTTGTATCTAATCCCACAAAATGCCCTTTCCTGCTTCTGGTGTATCATGCATTATACAATTCATTTAACGGACTCTCCTCTTCCACATTAAGCCTGCACGCAGTGCAGGCAGTATGTGCATGCAGTATTAAACACTATGTGCTGGATAGCATGTTCAGTAGAGGTCAGCAGCCAGTACCAGCAGCCACGTTTAAAGCACCTCAGCATCATCCAGCTCACAACATGTAAAACAGCATTATGGCCAGTCCCACTGCACTATCAACTATGTGGTGATGTAAAAATGAATATAGGGCCAACACTGCTATTTAAGACTTATGGTCTAAATAGTTTCTTGTGGCAGAGCTGGGTGCTAGCCTGGTACTTTAAACCCAGTTATTGCTTTATTTCCCAGCAACACTGTATCAGTGTTTATTGATATCTGTTGTGGTTTCAGAGAATAGGAGGAGCACATCTCTGACCCAAGATGAAGGACCAGACCTGTGAGTCTTGTGAGTCCTGAAAAGTCTTGTGAGTCCTGAAAAATCCCTTGGTGCTGCA